GGTTTACGACTAAAGGGGGGACCACATGGATTTTTTCGGAATTTACCAAAAAATTTCGAGAAATTCATCACGCACTTCGATGTGGAGCTGAAAAAGCACCAAAAATAGTACCGAAAACAGTTAATTCCGAAGCCCCGGAGGCCCTGGTTTTGATTGCTACGATTTTTTGAAACTTTTGGTTTTGATGGTTTACGACTGAAGGGGGACCACATGGATTTTTCGGAATTTACCAAAAAAATTTCGAGAAATTCATCACGCACTTCGATGTGGAGCTGAAAAAGCACCAAAAATAGTACCGAAAACAGTTACTTCCGAAGCCCCAGAGGCCCTGGTTTAATTGCTACGATTTTTTGAAACTTTTGGTTTTGATGGTTTACGACTAAAGGGGGGACCACATGGATTTTTTCGGAATTTACCAAAAAATTTCGAGAAATTCATCACGCACTTCGATGTGGAGCTGAAAAAGCACCAAAAATAGTACCGAAAACAGTTACTTCCGAAGCCCCGGAGGCCCTGGCTTAATTGCTACGATTTTTTGAAACTTTTGGTTTTGATGGTTTACGACTAAAGGGGGGACCACATGGATTTTTTCGGAATTTACCAAAAAATTTCGAGAAATTCATCACGCACTTCGATGTGGAGCTGAAAAAGCACCAAAAATAGTACCGAAATCAGTTACTTCCGAAGCCCCGGAGGCCCTGGCTTAATTGCTACGATTTTTTAAAACTTTTGGTTTTGATGGTTTACGACTAAAGGGGGACCACATGGATTTTTCCGGAATTTACCAAAAAATTTCGAGAAATTCATCACGCACTTCGATGTGGAGCTGAAAAAGCACCAAAAATAGTACCGAAAACAGTTACTTCCGAAGCCCCGGAGGCCCTGGTTTAATTGCTACGATTTTTTGAAACTTTTGGTTTTGATGGTTTACGACTAAAGGGGGGACCACATGGATTTTTTCGGAATTTACCAAAAAAATTTCGAGAAATTCATCACGCACTTCGATGTGGAGCTGAAAAAGCACCAAAAATAGTACCGAAAACAGTTACTTCCGAAGCCCCGGAGGCCCTGGTTTAATTGCTACGATTTTTTGAAACTTTTGGTTTTGATGGTTTACGACTAAAAGGGGGGACCACATGGATTTTTTCGGAATTTACCAAAAAAATTTCGAGAAATTCATCACGCACTTCGATGTGGAGCTGAAAAAGCACCAAAAATAGTACCGAAAACAGTTACTTCCGAAGCCCCGGAGGCCCTGGTTTAATTGCTACGATTTTTTGAAACTTTTGGTTTTGATGGTTTACGACTTCAGGGTGGGACCACATGGATTTTTTCGGAATTTACCAAAAATATTTCGAGAAATTCATCACGCACTTCGATGTGGAGCTGAAAAAGCACCAAAAATAGTACCGAAAACAGTTACTTCCGAAGCCCCGGAGGCCCTGGTTTAATTGCTACGATTTTTTGAAACTTTTGGTTTTGATGTTTACGACTAAAGGGGGGACCACATGGATCTTTTCGGAATTTACCAAAAAAATTTCGAGAAATTCATCACGCACTTCGATGTGGAGCTGAAAAAGCACCAAAAATAGTACCGAAAACAGTTACTTCCGAAGCCCCGGAGGCCCTGGTTTAATTGCTACGACTTTTTGAAACTTTTGGTTTTGATGGTTTACGACTAAAGGGGGACCACATGGATTTTTTCGGAATTTACCAAAAAATTTCGAGAAATTCATCACGCACTTCGATGTGGAGCTGAAAAAGCACCAAAAATAGTACTGAAAACAGTTACTTCCGAAGCCCCGGAGGCCCTGGTTTAATTGCTACGATTTTTTGAAACTTTTGGTTTTGATGGTTTACGACTAAAGGGGGGACCACATGGATTTTTTCGGAATTTACCAAAAAAATTTCGAGAAATTCATCACGCATTTCGATGTGGAGCGGAAAAAGCACCAAAAATAGTACCGAAAACAGTTACTTCCGAAGCCCCGGAGGCCCTGGTTTAATTGCTAGGATTTTTTGAATGTTGCAACTAGGCAGCCCTCGTCGACCAGGCCTTCCAAGCCCGATTCCGCAAGAAATCGACGGTGCGAAATCGCTTTGATGTGTGCACCTGAAAGAGCACCAAAAATAGTACCGAAAACCGTTTCTTCCGAAGCCCCGGAGGCCCTGGTTTAATTGCTAGGATTTTTTGAATGTTGCAACTAGGCAGCCCTCGTCGACCAGGCCTTCCAAGCCCGATTCCGCAAGAAATCGACGGTGCGAAATAGCTTTGATGTGTGCACCTGAAAGAGCACCAAAAATAGTACCGAAAACCGTTTTTTCCGAAGCCCCGGATGCCCTGGTTTAATTGCTACGATTTTTTGAAACTTTTGGTTTTGATGGTTTACGACTAAAGGGGGGACCACATGGATTTTTTCGGAATTTACCAAAAAAATTTCGAGAAATTCATCACGCACTTCGATGTGGAGCTGAAAAAGCACCAAAAATAGTACCGAAAACATTTACTTCCGAAGCCCCGGAGGCCCTGGTTTAATTGCCACGATTTTTCGAAACTTTTGGTTTTGATGGTTTACGACTAAAGGGGGGACCACATGGATTTTTTCGGAATTTACCAAAAAAATTTCGAGAAATTCATCACGCACTTTGATGTGGAGCTGAAAAAGCACCAAAAATAGTACCGAAAACAGTTACTTCCGAAGCCCCGGAGGCCCTGGTTTAATTGCTACGATTTTTTGAATGTTGCAACTAGACAGCCCTCGTCGACCAGGCCTTCCAAGCCCGATTCCGCAAGAAATCGATCGTGCGAAATCGCTTTGATGTGTGCACCTGAAAGAGCACCAAAAATAGTACCGAAAACCGTTTCTTCCGAAGCCCCGGAGGCCCTGGTTTAATTGCTACGATTTTTTGAATGTTGCAACTAGGCAGCCCTCGTCGACCAGGCCTTCCAAGCCCGATTCCGCAAGAAATCGATCGTGCGAAATCGCTTTGATGCGTGCACCTGAAAGAGCACCAAAAATAGTACCGAAAACCGTGTCTTCCGAAGCCCCGGAGGCCCTGGTTTAATTGCTACGATTTTTTGAAACTTTTGGTTTTGATGGTTTACGACTAAAGGGGGGACCACATGGATTTTTTCGGAATTTATCAAAAAAATTTCGAGAAATTCATCACGCACTTCGATGTGGAGCTGAAAAAGCACCAAAAATAGTACCGAAAACAGTTACTTCCGAAGCCCCGGAGGCCCTGGTTTAATTGCTACGATTTTTTGAAACTTTTGGTTTTGATGGTTTACGACTAAAGGGGGGACCACATGGATTTTTTCGGAATTTACCAAAAAATTTCGAGAAATTCATCACGCACTTTGATGTGGAGCTGAAAAAGCACCAAAAATAGTACCGAAAACAGTTACTTCCGAAGCCCCGGAGGCCCTGGTTTAATTGCTACGATTTTTTGAAACTTTTGGTTTTGATGGTTTACGACCAAAGGGGGAGCACATGGATTTTTTCGGAATTTACCAAAAAATTTCGAGAAATTCATCACGCACTTCGATGTGGAGCTGAAAAAGCACCAAAAATAGTACCGAAAACAGTTACTTCCGAAGCCCCGGAGGCCCTGGTTTAATTGCTACGATTTTTTGAAACTTTTGGTTTTGATGGTTTACGACCAAAGGGGGGAGCACATAGATTTTTTCAAAAACGGGCCGCGCGCTTCCGATCAATGTAAGCAGACCATTCGAAGCGCTTTGAAATGCTGATTCCGGGTTGCTAACTGGCTCGGCCGTCGCATCGCTCCTTGGCGCAACCGCAGCTCGAAGACCCCTAATCCTCAATTGAGCCAAATCGGGCGTTTCCGCATTCCGGACGCTATTTCGTAGCGGAATCGCCGGGCGGACTCCACTGCTTGCTTCGCACCCGCCCCCCACCTGGCCCACTAGTGTGGAGGGGGTTCTTAGGCTTAGGCTTAGGCTTAGACTTAGGCTTAGGCTTAGGCTTAGGCTTAGGCTTAGGCTTAGGCTTAGGCTTAGGCTTAGGCTTAGGCTTAGGCTTAGGCTTAGGCTTAGGCTTAGGCTTAGGCTTAGGCTTAGGCTCAGGCTTAGGCTTAGGCTTAGGCTTAGGCTTAGGCTTAGGCTTAGGCTTAGGCTTAGGCTTAGGCTTAGGCCAGGCTTAGGCTTAGGCTTAGGCTTAGGCTTAGGCTTAGGCTTAGGCTTAGGCTTAGGCTTAGGCTTAGGCTTAGGCTTAGGCTTAGGCTTAGGCTTAGGCTTAGGCTTAGGCTTAGGCTTAGGCTTAGGCTTAGGCTTAGGCTTAGGCTGCTTCCTGAATAGACTGACCACCTGCGATAGTGCTGAAATTGGGATGGCGAACGTAAAGGAAGGTAGCAACTATCGAAGTGTCTGGAGGTAAGGAAGACCTAGAGGATTTATTTGTTCCTCAGGGACGGCTCACCTGTCGATTATACCTATTGGGCTAACGGCGAGCCCTCGTTTCACATACCATTCCGATACGCCTCTGAATTGCTGCCCGAGAATTGTACCGTGGTAAAGAATAACCTGCGATGTTAGAAGCACATTTTTAGATAGCAAGTGATGGGAAATGGAACGACAAAAAATGCGAGGAGCCCGAAAGTCCGTATACCAAAGGGGCCTGTGTTTGTATGAAGCGTTGTTAAAGGGCACGTTCAGGGACGTTTTTGGAAAAAGCAAAGATTTTTGCCGCGGCCGGCATGCATCCTCCTTTGAAACGATACTTCATGTTTTTAAGCCTGTCTGAGATCAATAAACGGTTTTTCATCTGGGAGTTGAATGTGGGACAGTCAGCGTTTTTTTTGCATGTCTCAACTCAAGTTTTGGCCTTGACACTGACGGGTTGCAAATTGAAATGATCGTCGACTTAGCGGGGGTCCGGCTCTCGGCAAGGTTTTGCGTACTTTTTTGCTCTTCCGGCCGCGGGGCCTCATTCCTATTCCATCCCAGCTTGCAGCCGCGAATTTTGGAACTTTCTGCTATGTTCCCACAAGTCTCCCTTGTTGTTCTAGCCATTTTCTGCGCTACGACAGATGCCTCAGTAAACTTTAATAAGCGCCCTTGTATCAAACACTTTAGCCCATCATCGCTTGGAACCGGGTTGCTCTCGAGAATACTCTAGAAATTTTGCGCAACGATTTTGGAATTAGTGAATCACAAGACTGGATTCCGACACCCAAGTTGAAGGTGAAGCCCTGTCTCTTTTGTTGATTTTAGCAAGAATTTTTAGGGATGCTTACAGCAGTGTTTCGAAGATCCAACGTGCAAATCAATCATCTGGTGCTGCGGTGTTGGGTGCAGAAAGAGTTCTTCGTTGCTCAGCGAGTTTCCAAAGATATCGATTGTTGGTGAGGCTCAATGACAAGGCAGTTCAGCTTCCTACCCCTTTTAGCACCAGCTGGCGTGGAGAGTTGCCTTGGTTTTGAGAAGATTCCAATCGGCGGCGATGGAGAAGAATCAATCTCCGAGGTATCTATTCAAGAAAAACAGGATTTAACGCGGGGATTTAATCTTTTATAGAGTACCACATCAACGATGACAACAATTTCGAACTCGGTGAAAACGATGCCAACTATTCCAACCACGAGTACAACTACGGATTCGAGCACGGCAACAACGAACTCAGCTACCACCAACGAAATTACGATTATAACTACAGCTCCAACAAAGTCATCTATGTTGCTTAAAACAACGCCAAGGACTAGAACAACGTCGAAAACAAGCCTGAAAACGACAAAGACTGCGTCCAAAACCGCCACCCCTACAAGAAAGACCACAAAGGCTACAACTAAAAAACCAAGTCCATGTGATAAAGGTATCAGCTTAATGTATCCCTCATTCCTTGTCTTTAGTGCCTCTAACCCCAACCTGGAGCTACAACAAAACGAATTACTATTTAATCGTTGCGAACTGTACTATGGGAGCCGTAAGGCCATTTTTGGATTTTCAAAAAATTTCCAGGCTTGCATCAAGCATTGTAATGTTCGGAATCTGGAACTTCCAACGATACACTCGACCCTAGAAAATGCAACCCTATTACGTATTAATTTTCAAGTACTTAGAAAATATTGGCGCTTTCAGGGCACATGAGAACTCGCAGCAAATGTGTGGATGGCCAGTTGGTTCATATTGGGATGTCTTGGCGATTAAATGCAGCAAATAAACATCAGAGTATTTGGCGGTAACTTGAATCTGTAGTAAATGAGCTACAATTTACAGTGACCACTCAAACATCGATTACACCAATTGGAAGACCTCTGAGCCGTCATTCACTCATACTAAAAATGGTATCAACTATAAGGAAACTTGTACTCTAGTAAGTTTTCCGACGGCTTTTTTTAGGCTTAATTTTCCTTTTTGCATTTGTAGGCTTGGACTACAAAAAAGTGGACCATAAAGCATTGTAACCTTGTATTTTAGATGCAACATTCTGGCGAATGGAATGATGTGAACTGTAAAGTGCTGCTACTATCCAATCACGGTCCCTGTGTTTGTATGAAACGTTGTTAATAAATTCTCTATAACAACAAGGGTTTTTCGTTGCCGTTTTTCGTCTTACCGCATTCCGCTAACCAGTTCCGAATCAAGGCAATTCAGACTAGTGATGGTAGTATTCAAATCTCAAATCTGATTTGCATCCGCCTAATCAAATCTTCCGCTTTGATTTGAATAAGGTTCCAGCACTTCAAATCAAATCGATTTGATTTGGACTTTCAAGGTTTGAGTTCAAATCTGACGATTTGAACGAGGATTTGAAAGGAGTCGAAAAAATCAATAGCTCATTACGCGGATGTTAATTTTATGATTGCATGCATAATCAAGGTTATTCCCGGCTCGGCCATAGCGATTTATTATGTTTTGCATGCCGACATCTCAATAAGATTTGATTAAGGACCGGAAGCTTAATCAAATCCTCAGGATTTGATTTGAACCAGTCCACTGGGTTTCAAATCAAATCCGCCGATTTGAAATTGAAATTTTTGCCTTCAAATATTCAGATTTGAGCTCCCAGATTTGACTCAAGATTTGATTTGAATAACCCCTTCACTAATTCAGACAGTTGCCGAGATACTCAAAAATTTCTGGCTAATCGCGATGACAGCTTTTGGAATTCGGTACCACGGAAATCGCTTACGACGCAGCGCCATATAATGTTGCTGATCGTTTTATTTATCATTTTAAGCGTCTCCGTTATGGCTGTAGGTAAAATTGATCGCCCCAAAGCATTAATGTAGGGAAACACTACCTGGAATCGGGTTGACGTGAAGAATCTGAACGTTTTTGTGCCCTTCTCACATCCGGGCGTTGGTCTTTGGGTGCAAGGCGCTACATTTAAGGTATAATCACACCCTTGACAACGCAAATACAAAAGTTTTTAGGTCTGCTTGAAGGGTTGCATTTTCAACGTCACGTGCGAATCTTTTATCTGGTGCTTTGTGGAAGGATGTCTCCAGATAGGTGGATCACTCAGCTCCCTGGATGCAATTACTGCGTACACTGGTATTTTTGTGAAAATAAACGATAGAGAGCTTCAGGATCATTGAATCTTGGCAGATGCGTCGGTTATGAAATTGCGGCGGGTTCTGATCGTCCCGCCTCTGAAGTAGATGAGTTGCCAACCACGAAGACTTGGGCATGGGTGGTCGCGGATTCAAGCTCAACAACAACAACGACCTCGACGACGGGCTTTACTTCAAGCTCGTCAAGCACGTCGACGACCACTATGAAGATCACGTCAACGACGAGCACGACCTCGACTACGACGACAACAGCAAGCACTACAACTGCTGTAAGTCCCTGTGATTCAGGTAAGCCACAAATTTATGCGATACCATTCGCTAACAGTTCCCCTAACCCCAACCTGGAAATACAACAGGACGAATTACTACCTAGCGACACCAAACTGTACGATGGGACATGTAAGTGATACTATCGACGTCTATGCTTTAAGGAATGCGTACTCCTATGTAATTCGCTCAATCTCCAATTACCAACCGTTCATTCGACGCAAGAAAACGCAGTGATACTGTGTGCGTTTCTATCTTTTGGTTTTCCACTACTTCACTTTACCTAGCCCCCTATCCTCCGTTCCAGCCAAAATGCTCAAACTTGGCGAATGCGTGGACGGCCGGGTGGTGCACCTAGGGATGGGCTGGCGCTATGCTAAAGATGGAAGCTATCAGAATTTCTGGCGGTGATCTTCCAGAGCGGAATTTGTTTAATATGTTTCTAGTGATGGTTCGACGATCGATTTTACGAATTGGAAGGATAACGAGCCATCATACATCCATATCAAGGACAACGTCACCTATACGGAGCCATGCACTTTGGTAAGTTATCGGAAGGCATGGACTGATCGAGCGAACTTTATAGATGCAGTCCGATGGTGGATGGAATGATGTGAGCTGTGTGCTACTGCTGATGATCAATCGGGCACCTTGTGTTTGCATGCAGCGTTGCTGATTTTACACAGAAATCCTTTTATGATTTTTTATCAATGTGGATAAACGGTTTTGTTATTTTTAATCTGCGTACTTTTCTTTAATATTTGTTTCGTTGTTTTAGGTAGTTATTCTTTGCATATTCGCAAAACCCCGAAAATCTCAGACGCCAGCTTCGATTCGCTTTTTGGGTCTGACGGATTGCTACGTATCTCGACGGTTGCTGCGTGACCTGAAAACCAATCGAAAGTGCTTCTCAACTTTGCGCTGACTGCTGACTTAATATTTCGACATGAATCGATACCTAACCCTTGTAATATTCATTTCTTGCCCTGGAATCACCATTGTCGTAAGCAATCCAGGAACTATACCCGCAATACCTCTCTTTAGGAAACCACAGCCTGGCGTCGCGTGGACCTACACAATCTTGTTAGTCTCTCTGCAGACGATTCCGGTGCTGAGCCGAACCGCGTGCTATATAGCCTCAGCTGGAGCACTACGTTAAAGGTATCTAGCGTTTGTTTGCTTACATAGTCGTTTTTTGGTGTGAATGGAGTTCTGAGTGAAACCAGGTCTATTCTGTGCAGAATTTTGCGCTAATTCCGAATATGTTTTCCATTTCTGCTAAATAGCTCGATTTCAAAAGTTACAGCTATTTTAAGACAATTTTTAGGCCCAGAGTAGCCATATGCTATGCTGTGCTACTTTTTTGTTATAACGTTTTAATTTTGTTTAAGTAGCCTATCTAGTAGAGAATTTTTTCTGATTCGAATGGTATATTTGATTAGTGAGCTACTGCCGATCGACGATGGCTTACAGGGGTGAGAAATAGTCTGTTTTTCACTATTTCCCATACAAAAATCGCAGCCCATACCAACAAGTATCGTCGATTTTTTCGATTTTCAACAATTTTGAGTTAAATAGCTCATTCGATAGAAAAAATTTTTCTGAATACGGCGACGATATTTATTTTTGGAAAAACAGCCGGGAAAAGCAATATAATGGTCCCTAAAGAGGGGAAAATTTGGGCTCAAATTATCTTAAAATTTCTATAACTTTTGAAATCGAGCTATTTAGCAGAAATGGAAAACATATTCGGAATCAGCGCAAAATTCTGCACAAACAAGGCCTGGTTTCCACTCAGAACTCCATTCACACCAAAAAACGTCTCCTTGTTAGTTCTGTCGACTGACAATTTTGATTGCACTAGGTTCAGGGATGCTTGAAGGACTGCCTAGCGATGGAAAATTGTAGATCCATGATGTGGTGTGATAATGCTGGTGAATGCCTCAAGAGTACGGCTCGTTTGACGAATCCTGATCCGGTCGCAACCATATCAGGTTATTAGCTGAGCCCTTAATTGGTTTTTTTGCAACAATCGAAGGACAACACGCATTTGCCATTTAATATAGATTTTTTTTAGCTAGAATACGCAATGCTACCTGTTTTGGCTATGAAAAGAGTATGGGATGTGATGATACTCCTTCAACTACAATGACGACGATGGTAAGGGATGCGCCAACAGAAGGATACACCATGATGACGTCAACCACGCAGCTCACGACGAGGACATTAACTACCTCAAAGCCGACTACTACGATGACGCTGAGTCCTTGTAAAGCTAGTTTGTTTCAAAATCTATCCCCATCCCATGATTTCCTAGTCCCGCTGGAGCCAACCTGGAATTACAACAAGACAAATTTCTATTTGCTGAACAAAGGCTGCATTCTCGGAAATGTAGTGCATTCGGCAAATCCAGATCCAAAATATCGTTTAGGCATGCTACAATTTGTGCAAGGCGCGAAACCTAGAGATGCCGGCAATTCACTCTGAGTTGGAGAATGCTGCATTGCTACGTAGGGAACTTATTCACACGCAATTAAACTTTGATCTCTTTTAGGAAAAATGCAGTCGTTGAATTCGGGTAGCCGTACGGGCCGAGTTGTAGCCCACATTGGCATGTCCAATCGCCTTACGCCAAGCGGCAATCTGAAGAACTATTGGCGGTGAAGCATTTTTATCCCACTATACACCGTGTCCCAAAAAAAAAAACACCCCTCCGGCATTTCGCCGCCTTACATCCAATCGGTCCCATACTTTGCACTAGGGTGTATCGGACCATAAATAACCACAATCCTGAGTTATAGCCGGATCGCTACAGTAGTTTTTAGGTTATCGCCAAAATCCTATTTTTTAACGCGATTCTTAACATTTTTCCGGCTATCTTTTTGGACTTTGCAGCCATTTGCGTCGAATTCCGGCTGCGAATCCCTAATTTCGCTTAATATCGGGTGTATCTTTGGGTTACAAAAATTGTTGAAATCAACGGTTATTTGACGAATTTTTACCAGGAAAAAATTTCCAAGGGTAAAGAACGCTTGCCGCTTCATTTTCACTCAATATTCGAATGGTCGATTCTGACGAAACCCCTATGAAAAACGGATAATAAGGTTTATGTTTTGTTGTATCTCGCAAATTACTGTAGCTGGCGGGCCATAACTCGGGATTGTGGTTATTTATGGTCTGATACACCTCTGGTCAAAATTTGGGACCGATCGGATTTAATATAGCGAAATGCCGGAGGGGTGCTTTTTATGGGACACCCTGTATATACAAAAATATTGTCTGTGTATCTGTGCCACTTTGCATGCAGCTTCCGTCAACGTGTGACACTAGTCTCCTTATACGGGGGTAGCTAGGGGGTATGTATTCTACCTGATTAGGTGCGTAGTGACCTTGAGCTGACTGCACAGTCATAAAATTTTCAAAAACTGGTTGTTTTCGACCTTAAAGCGCACGTTCAGGGAGGGGCCGTATACTCGTCCCAACGTGTACACCCTATGGACGTAGCGACCGCGCGCACTGCCTAGCCGTGCTGTGACAGGCCATTCCCCTCCTTTGCGCCCTGGGGCGCCCCTCGCCCCCTCACCAGGTTGTAGCTGTGGCTGACTGGTAAGCGTCCGCGCCTCCCGAGCGGGAGGCCCGGGTTCGACCCCCGGGCGCGGCAAAAATCTTTGCTTTTTCCAAAAAAACGTCTCTGAACGTGCCCTTTAAGATTAAGTTTTTGTTAAAAAATCGAGCACCCTCTTTGTTAGAAAACAATGAGCATAAGCCGGAAGTCGATGTAGCCTATATAAAGTAGCGGTAGCGTTTCCTTTTATGCCATCGATAGTGGCGAGAATTATGCAAAATGAAGAATATCATGGAATTGGACCGGGCCAGGGTTGGAAAGTAGCGAAGCGGCTTTTCAAACTTGGTAATGACCTAAAAAAAATTGATTCAGCGACGGATCTGCGATAGATTTTGCCAACTGGGAAACCGGGCAGCCGTCATTTTCTCTTACCCTCGCTGTTGCAGGGCAAAAGCAAGTTCTTTCACAGGAGTGCTCTGTGGTAACCTTTAATCCTATTAGATCTCGGAATTGGCATTCAAATTCACATCGTGTCCCTTATAGATTTATGTCAATGGCAAGTGGAATGACGTGTACTGCCACGAGATGCCCGACAGCGCTATCGGAAATAAAGGGCCCTGCGTCTGCATGAAGCGTTGTTAGCGAATTTGGCCGATGTTGAAAAAGTTTTCTCTGAAGGATACCTGGTGATAATAGAGATCTTTCCATCGATTTTCGAACCCTTTGTCTTATCATGTAATTTTGAGTGAGCTCGTAATTTATTGCGGACCTTCCTAGTGGGAAATTATCTGCACATGCTTTAAAGGGTTCATAAAGTCGAAATTCTCGTGCTCGGGAATCCAACCAATGGGTCCAACATTAAAGGAGCACTGGCTACAAGAGTCAGAAAACATTTCTTTCGTTGCGAAATAATGCGCATTTTTGGGAAAAAGGAAATGTTTCGGGGTTGTTGGAACGGCTGGCTTTACATGTCGTAATGCCCAAAAATTTGAGCCAGTCTTGAAACTGAAAACAGCTGGAATGGCCACAATTCGTTTATAAAATTTATTCTTCCTAAGGTTCTAAATCGCAAAATAGGTTGCGATAAAGCGTTTGTTTTTAGCCGGTCGGCTCGTCTATCGTGGAGGACTGCATCGGACGAGAGTGGGAGAGGGTCTAGGGGGCTAAAATGCATGTTTTTAAACAACAAAATTCCTACTGATGACGGATCCGTTAGGGCAGCAGGCCTGGCCGCTGAAGATCGAGTTGACGCACTGGGCGCCGCTCTGGCAGCCCAGTCCAGGGATGCAGGCTAAAAATTAGTTGAATCCCCAGATCATCATCGAACGCAGCTGCATAACGGTTGCGATGATGCGTCGAAAAACCTACGTCCAAGCTCGGCGCTGTACGGGCAGTAGGGCTCGGTCAGGGTGCAGTCGGCGACGATGTCGTCACCGGCGCAGCAGCCATCACCGTACTCGGTGGGGACGCAAAGCGAGTTGGGGATGGTGCAGCTATTTCCGCTTCCGCATGCTAAAATTCCTTAGCGATGTGTCGAGAAAACATACGTCCATTGGTCTTGCCGGCAGCGCAGTGGACGTTGAAGTTGGGGCTGGCAAGCTTGTCCGAGGGGCAGCACACCAACTGGCCGGGGCTGCCATCTACGCACACCTTGGTCAAGTCGAGTCAGGGTCCTCCGTTGCAGGCTAAAGGACTGGCGCGGTAAAATTTGGATGTCCAGATACTCATTTAATAGCGGTTAATTCTAAACTTACTTCCAGTCGATTGTCCGGCCTTGCAGCCGGGGCAAACCGGGACTGTTTGGTTCTGCATGCAGCATCCGAAGTCGCCGCCGCCGATCGGCAGGCAAACGGTGCTCGGAGTCGCGCAGGGCCAAGTCGCGTTGCACGCTAAAATTAAGGGGGGGGGGGTTTAAGACCTTGGGTATCGTTGAGGTTTCTCGAGGAAACATACGTCCAACGCTGCCTCCAGGAGCGCATTGTAGATTGGGGTTGATGGCAAGTGTGGCCCCGAAGACAGCGAGGGAGACGACGACGACCAGCATTACCCTATTAAGAACAAAATACAGTTGGAATTGCAATCAGTTGAACAAAATATGTAGATAGTGACAAGCCTTGTGTGATATTTCTTGTTTTGAAGTTTGCCGTTTTGCGTTCAATTTTGCACTTTTTAGATACGTTAACTGACCAGAATGCTTTAATCGGCTATTACGCCTGTTAATTAAAGAAGTGGACGGGCACTGCCTCTGATCTCCCATGAGCAAAATTTTTTGATAAAAGATATGAATATTAATGCTTTAAACGTTTAGAAAATTTTTATATCGGTGGACCTTACAAAATTAAACAAAATTGAATATTGCGAACAATCGTTCGCAACCGACAACCCGGTTAAGCCGCTTTTTAGAGCTGGAAACCGTTGCTGTCCTGACACCCCGTTCCCGCCCTACGCTTTTATAGGCCAGACATCTCGAATTTTTCACTGCGAGGACGGGGAGACCAAAACATAATTCCTCCACGACCAATCCGACTACCGGCGCCGGCGGTTCGAAAAAAATGGGATTTGGGTTTTAAACCGAAATACTCTCTAATGGACCCAGATATACGGACCCAAAAAAAGGGAACGGCTGCAAAGAGCAGCATCGAATTCACGCGGTAATTTGCATATTTATGTGGGACAGACTAGAGTGTTTGTTATCAAACTTTATTCCGGAGACAACGGCATTTAATGTAAACCAGGGTTGAAAAGCCGCTTCGCGACTTTTCAACCCTGGCCCCGTCTGATCGCATGATGCACTTCACTTTGCATAATTCTTGGACTTCCGATGACAAAAAAGAAAACCGCGCTCGCTAGCCCATTATATAGGCTACCGGAACTTCCGGCGCATGCTAATTTTTTCCTAACAAAGAGGATCGCCGATTTTCCAACAAAAACTTAATTTTAATGTCGAAAATAGGCAATTTTGATAAATCTGATCTGCGTGCAGTCATCTCAGGGCCATTACGCACCTAATGACGTATCGTACGTAGCCGAATACCCTTCCCCTCGTGAGATATCCTCCGGACAGAATGACGGAAGTTACATGCAAAGTGGCACACACACATACACACAAACACTATTTTTTTATATATAGTAGGATCATTCGGCCTCCTAGTCGCAATTGAGAGTCGTTGGTAAATCAAATCCGACGGGCAGGACGTAGCCCCTCATTATTGGCAGCGGGCACCACCACGGGACGTTTTCATCAAGGCATTTACGGACTGCCTTAGCAATGCTGAATAAAATTATGCTATTAGATTCTTTTATTCTCAATGAAATAATTGGGAAAGTTTCAGATTTTAACCCCTTCTGATTATTATTCATACATTTTTGACCACAAAGTCAAACAAATTTGAAATCGATGGTTTTTTACAAGCTTTTTCTTTCTAAAATTGTCTAAAATACTATGAAATTGTCTGGAATTTGTTTAGGAAGACACGAGATTATATAAAAAAAGTTTTCTCCTGCTAAACCCTTCCCCCCACCCTCCCCCCCCCTCGGTTAAGAGACCAGAACCAATCAATTTAGTTTATACCGCGCTGTCGGTCTCCTTCGAAGCGCAAACCTGAGCATAAACGGATGCGTACACTACGCCTACAACCTCTTATTACCAGCTTTTCGCTAATAAATCAGCTAAATTTGCTTCCTGGTCTACAAAAAGTTACATCGACATCGGGAACACGGACACGCTGTGGGCGCAACGAGAACAATATGGGGCTCAAGATTATGCAAATGTATCACCGATCCGGGACGCCGTTTGTCGAGGACAAACGAGTCGAAAGGGAAAATTTCCCGATTGGCTTACCATCATTTGACCGCGGTCAGTTTCCGATTACCGGCAATGAAGGCAAATATATAAACCAGATATTTTTGGGAGTTGTTATTAAAAAAAAACACGTTTTGTAAGATTCACTCGCATGGGTCCCGTGGATTTTCCCATTTGATAATCGCTTTATCCATGCAAGAATTTACAACCTGCTCGACTTCATCGAGGTCACACTCCTCGGCGGGGGGTTCTCCAAAAAATTAGTTTTTATGCTTTAGTTGACCTAACATTGTGTTTCAAATTTATCAAACCCTACCGTTATCAGCAAGTTCGGCCGAGATACAGTACTCGGTTGCGAACCGCTTGAAAAGCCTCGCCCCGAGCTTTTGATGGCGGGCCTTCTCTTCAACCAATCCAGAAAGGTTCCTGGAAATTATGGAGCTGAGAGGGTGCATCTTCAACTTACTGGCACAAATTTACCAAGGGTTTTTTCAAGCCCGATATGCGAGAGGTCGGCGAAGATTGTGCTAGAAAAAGTATTAGCGACTTTTTGCCGTCGCTAACCATTATCTACAAGAAGAAGGGTCGACAGAATTAGAGCAGATAATTTTAGGATCATTTTCCAAAATGAGAATGGCGGTTTCGAGGGGGAAGAACCATAGAAGGTGCAGACACAACAAAAATGAGTCATTCGTTTTTTGTTGATTGTTGCTCACGTTCCAGGACGCTGAAAGTAATTGCAAAATAGGACTCCAACTTGGCAACATCGAACACAATGAATTTATCAGCAACCTAACCATCAAATAGGTAGCAATGAGCTTGGGCTTCGGCTTAGACTTAGGCTTTGGCTCAGACTCAGGAGTATGTCTATGCTAAACTTTAGTAAACCGCAAAATAATTCTTATTCGCAATTCGCACCACACTCCAGTTTGCGCTAGTCCCCCCTGTTCGACATGCTTTTTTAATTTGGCCTATCTCTTTGCTGCAGAAAACCCCGGCTGACATTCAGAAGTTTTTACCAGTACCGGGCTGTGGCCGTCGCAGAGAGTTGTAGGATTTGTTGGCACAGCCGTCGAGCTACACGAAAATTGTGGCATATAAGGATTGGGAGGGGTCAGTGGGTGGACACTTCATCAACGATGTTGGCCTTCAGCACTCTTTGTATTGGAACCGTTCTCGTTGCCCAGGTTTGTGACCGGAAATAGGAATTTCGGGATAGTTTCAAATTTAAAAATGGCTTGTTAACTAAATGTTGCATACTTTTATTTATTTCTTACCCTATTTCCTCAAGTTTTAGGCTTTCGCAGGTGCGGCTAACTGCCCTGCTTTTACGCCTACTGACCTGACTACCGTGATGGCTCGTACGTTTTAGATTTAAATTTGGGTGGATTGAGAAAGAAAAGGAGAGAGAGAGAAAGAAAGTGAGAGATAGTGAGACAGAAACAGTGATAGAGGAGTAATTCATGCTTAAAAGAAGGGCCGCTGACAGTCTAAGCTTCATCTTTGAAGCCGCCGTCAACGGTGTGTGCAGCGACTCTAGCCTGGTCTGCCGCTATATCACCACGTACCTTGGCAGCAGCAACGCTTGCGTCACGGTAAGCCCACTGTAACATATCGTACTGCAAGCGGCAAAAAATTTATACCACGATTTATCATGGCCAAAAACGAATTTAACTTTTTTTAGGCGGCCAGCGTCTGCAAGAAATCCACGTACATCGACCCGAAGTCTGTCGCTGGACGTAAGTTCCAAATATTCATTAGAGCCCGAGTAATACCCCACTAATTCCTAGTATATCAAAAAATATATAAGACTTTTAAAAAAACTTTTCCAGCCGCCGACTCGAGCCTGAACTGCCCGAAGACGACCCACTGTGTGACTGGATCGACCACCAATGGCTATACGGGCAGCTTCTGTGTCTTTGACGGAATCGTCGACTACACCGACTATGGCAAAAAATAAGCGATTACTACTAATATTAATAATACTAGTTGCTGCCAGAGACGGCTCTACCTTTTAGTGTCAAAATTGTAGTCGCCAATTCAATAAAAACTCCAAAAAACCAAAGAGCCAGCAAACGATTCACCCAGTCCATAATGTGTATTTTAAAATGCAGAACACAAGCTCGAGAGACAAAAGAATTTATTCATCCAAAAACGGTTCCGAAATTGTATACAAAAGGTTATTAAACGTTTAGCGAAAAACGCGCGTATGCAAAAAGCGATTTCAATACCAAAAAATGGGATATACAAAACGCATTACAAAAAGTCTAGGCGCTACATGGCTGTACTCTGTACAAGATCGGTTTAATACCCATGGCTCGAAGGCGTGGCTTAGGTTGAGTAGCTGCTGATCTGCTGACGCGATGGAGCTTCTTCCGGCCTTCTAAATCTTTGAATAAACTTTTGAATCGAATACCCAGGTCAAAATCAATTTGTAGTATCTGTTTTTGGACCGCCATTTTTTGAACCCACGATTCACAAACATTCCAAAGTCCAAAATTGTTGTATTGTTCCAGTTTCCACATCTAAATTCGCCCAAATAGACCCGATTTTTTTCGGTTTACCAAATTGAGCATAATTCTTTTTCTGGAGTACCACTCTTATGGATATATTTTGATTATTACCTACCTTTAAGTGCTAAAAACAATTACCCACCTTTACTACATGTTGTTCCAACTATCGATAGTGTCGCGCCGTCGAATCAGAACATCATTCCATCATTCCAGCCGCCTGAAAAGTATTTTGTGGGAGCTACTGTTAGAAGGAGACTTAGAAATTGGAAGAGCTAAAATCGGGATTGATAAAATCACAAAAATAAATGATAAATATCTACAGCAGGAGAAATCATGGAGAAAGATATTTTAAACCTCAATTTACCAAATTACAACGTAAAAAGGCCCCTTAACCCATATTAAATCCGTAAAAACAATTTATTTCGGGGCCTATAGAACTTAGCTTTAAAGCGAAAATCATAAATATAGCCCTTATCCGCCTCTAAAATATTTGGTTTTGAACAATTTATTTAGGGCTTCGAAACAATTCACAAAATTATTTTCGTATAGTAAGTTCAGATAAAAACCTTTACAAGATTTACTGAAATTTTCCAGGGGTCAAACATTACCGACCAAGTGGATGGCTTTCCAAAAATTCAAAAATTAAAAATTCAATTTTTAATGGGCTTTGAAAACTTTCCTAAATTTTCCATCAAAAGTCCCTGGGGGTTGACAGGGAAGAACTCGTGATAAGTTATATCATATCGCCTCACTTCTGGGAGTACAGTAGTTTTCCTCCGCGAACCCGAAGGGTTGTCTTGTGGAATTGGGAAAATCTTCGCCGCCCCAGTCCGACCAAATTTGGATGGAAATTTGATGTTCAGAATAAAAAATCAATCTAATAAAACTTAAGTAAGCAACAAGGATTTAAATTTTTAATAAAGCCAATGAGCGTCAAAAAACGGGCGGCAAAATCTTCCGCGATTGACAAGAATAACCCGAAAATGAAGTACAGAAGAATTTGCCAGCCCGTGCCGACCAAAGGCGGATGGCTTTCCGACAAGTTTTAAAAACCGTCACAAAATTTGAATAAAATCTTCCAGATTGCGAAAATTTTGTGAAGAATAAACTCATTTAAATTTTGTAAAAAGCATTGCAAATTGACAAAAAACGACGCAACAAAAGCTGATAGTTGTATGAGACAACATAAAGTTAAGAAATTCAAGAAAAAAGGATCGAAATACCCGTAATCAAATATTTAATGAAATTTGGGGGGGAATCGATTCAAAAGGGTGGAAAATCCCGATTTTTGCACTAGAGACAATACCCACCTGCTAGCCTTGCTAGTGTCTATTAAGGCCAAAAAGTTGCTATTTTCCCAGAATGTCGATTTCCATAATTGTTCCATTTTGATGTTGCTCTCTTCTTTGGTATCACGCGTTTGTGTGTTGTCCATAGTAGTGTCGTATTGTCCGTATATATCGTGGAGTGTAGGGTGTATTGTCGTGTAGCTGCGGGCCGAGCGCATTTTTATCCTAAGAAAAAACAATAGGGTTAATTTTTGAAAACCAACCTCTTCAGCCGCTTCCCGGTCCCTAAGCAGGCGTTCATCCGGGTCGCGATCGGAAAAATTGGGGAAATTAGTTGTCGGAAATTATCATAAAAATGCAGTAGTTTCTGGTGGGTTAGATTAGTCTTGAAAGGTGTCGAAAGGGTTATTATGGGGACAGCCAATTTTCCAAGGCCAAGCAAAAGGTTAGGGTTTTAAGGACAAGTTTTTAAAGTTTTACCGGTAGTTAAATTTTCAAAAGATTCAAAAATCGAGCAAAAAATTACCTGGTGGTCAATAGCGCCTTAGAATCCAGATGCGAAGTAGAGCCAAGTCGTCGAGCTGATGCCACATCCTTCTTCTTTCTTTTTTTTTCGCCATTTTTGTGCTAAAGAATTTTGAGGATGGTTCTTCGGGCAAGATGGAACCTGGCGTCAAGGCGGAGGGGAATTCCGGAGTCGTCCATAGGCGCGTAGCGTAGTATCGTGTAGCGTAGCGTAGTCGAGGTGTTGCTGGTGTTTCATAACCTAAAATTTTAGGTATTCTGAAGATGGTCTCGATTCGCTACCTTTCACGTGGACGTCCGGTCCCTAACAGCGCGTTCAGCTGGCCTGTAAGCGGAAACTTATAGGATTAGCCTTTAAAACCTGGATGTTTGAAAAATTATGGAATTTTTTGATACCATTCGGTCTTAAATTTAGAAAATTCACCTGGAGATAATTAGTCAAAAACCATGGTGCATCTTTGGCTGTGGTGTTACGCGTCTGACCTCTTGTTTCTAAAAATTGTATAGTTCATTGTCTAAGATCGTGTCATACCTTGTGCGCGGAAGCTGGTATTTTCCTTGACATTGGCGGCTGTATTATCTATTCCTAGACTCAGTTATAATAATAATTTACAAATTAAACCAACCTTTCAGCCCGGCAACCGGTCCCTAAGCACGCGTTCATCCGTTTCTATAATCGAAAAATTTTGGGGTTAGTATTCAAAAGAGAAAGGGTTCATTTAATAAAGTTTGAATAAAAATTCACCTGATATACAGCTCGGCCGAGCTTTTGCCGGCTTCCTTCCAGGGAGTGGAACTCGTTTTCTGCTTCAGAACATAACTTTTAGAAACCGTAAAAAATTTACCTCTTCTTCTTTCCGGTCCATCATTGCGTTCAGCGTTCAGTAATGTTCAGTAATGTTGCACAAGGGATGTTTGTTTTGTTCATAGGAAAATTCGGAAGTGAGATTCATAGATTACAGATGATTTTGAGAGATGAGGTGGGAGATGGATCTTCTAAAAAGGGCTAGCTAGCAGAGGTATCACAACTTTTTACAGGACCGTTTGTATGTTTTTCTACCCAAAAAGGTGTAGTGTCCGTAAAATTAAATTATCAAATAAAAAACTGGCAAAACATAAACCTGACTCACTTATTTAGGGACCATAGGAAAACCATAGAGGAATTTATGAGAAAATGCTCCGATTTGAGAAGGGATGGGGAAGCTGAAACAAAATTGCTACGCAGGGAATTTTTAAAAGTTACAGTACCGTTTGTTTTTACTCAAAATGGGTAGTATCTGATTTCAAAAGTAAAGCATACTTCAAATAAATCGGAAAACCATCAAAACTCACTTATTTACGGGACCATAGAAAAATCATTGTGGAATTTGTGAGAAAATCATCAGATTTCAGAAGGGATGGAAAGGCTGAAACAAAATTGCTAGGCAGGGAATTTTTAGAAGTTACAGTACCGTTTGTTTTTACTCAAAATGGGTAGTATCTGACTTCAAAAGCAAGCATACTTTCAAAAATCGGAAAAGCATCAAAACTCACTTATTTAGGACCATAGGAAAACCATAAAGAAATTTACGGGGGGAGTCATCAGATTTGAGAAGGGAGGGGCATTCTGAAAAAAAATTGATAGGCGAGGAATTTTTAAAAGTCACAGTACCGTTTCATTTTGACTATAAATGGGTAGTATCGGTTTTTAATATTAAACGTTAACCTACCAGACATTAAAGACCTTAAAACTCACTTATTGAAAATCAAATCAAGCACTGGAGTTTATAGAAAAATTCCGAAAAATCAAGGACACATTCAAGATTGAAGAGCTGAGAGGACACGACTAAAAGGAAAAAAATTTAAACCGAAATTCCTTAGTAAAAAACCTATTGAAAACCTTTCTAAAGCGTAAATTTAGATTAGAGAAATTGAAAACAAAAAACTATGGCATTACGCCGAAATCAACACTTACACAATATCAGGGTAGAGTCATTTTCAAAGGAGAAGTATTTTCAACAATCATTTCAGAAGCTTTATGCAAAGTTTTCGAAGTTGGAGCTGAATATCAAGACGACTTTTGGAATCCGTAGCCCATTTCATACTTTAGATTTTAGCGGCGACCTAGCGTAGTATTTTTAGAGACAGTGTTCATCAGTTGTTCACTACATCTTCACAGCCAAGCCTAAATATCGTGGCTACAGTAGTCAACGAGGAAATAAAGGGTACCGTACCCCCAAGATTTCTCGAGCTTCTCAAGCCCTAGTATCTCTCGCTTTATATAGCTTTTGGGTTGTTTTCGACTGCCATGCGGCGGCCCGCCCAGTCAAATGACCGAGGCTATTTCAGTTTGTCGCTTTCTTTCTTTTCCGTCTCCACTCTTTGCCATGTCCTTTTCACGGGGCCTCCCCCAACCGGTCAACACCATGGAGAAATATTCGCGAACCTTCGCGATAGCCCTAAAAATATCCAAAGATCCCCCGTGCCACACCGGAGAACACTTGCAAAATCGACGATTTTGCAAACGGGGGCGGGGCTTGTGGCTGTCAGCTGACCCTTATCGAGGCCGTTCTAAAATACCTCGTGGTCATGGAACTGTAGGGTTCGCACGGAGTGCTGGTGGGAAAATGTTTAGGTAAGGCTTAGAAGAGATTTAAGCCTCTCTAAAAATAGTTCTATAGAATATTACGACATAGTTTTGCAAGCAGAATCGAAAATTCGGAAAGTTATGGGCTAAGAAGCCTAGGCAAGCCAAGTCGGGGCGACCCCGATCTGGCAACTTCTGTCTCTCGCTGGCTCTCCTTCGCCCTAAAATTTTTCGGGTATGTTCCCGACGTAGGTTTGCATCCAGGCTACGAAAATCAATTTCAAAACGGCTTGCGATCGGGAAGTTTAGATACAAATAGCGTGCTTGCGGTTAAAATATAAATTGAAGTGTTCTCCGATCCCAGCTTTTCTGAAACGAGCTATATCTCACCATTCCTGTCAACATATTTTTGAAGCGCACCTGCCCCATAGCGCACCGTAACCGAGATAATCCACCCCGCACGTCTGATTTCGCGTGACCCAGCTCTTTCTGGAGTAAATTCAAGTAAATTGGGACAAGAATAGTATGTTTTCGCTTTGGTTCTTCTGCTATTTTGGTCCACACATTGAAGAAAACAGCTTTATTTCGGAGATCAAAAGAAAAAGTGGATGTATGGACAGAAACACTGTAAAAACCCGTTTTTCTAACTTGTCACAGCTAGTACAAGCTGGCGAGGTATGAAAAGAGGAGTAGGCATAAAAATAAATATAGAAGGCGAAATAAAAGCGGCTGGACGGCCATGAGCTACGATCAATCAAACCGTTCGGGAATCCGATTTTCGACAAGCAAAGTTTTCGGTAATCGAATCAGCTTTTTGGCATCATCATCGGCAATCATAGAGACAGATGAGACGAGAAAGAGTAAGAATGCTATGATGATGATGATGCAAGAAGAAAGTTCTTCTCGAAAAAACTCATAAATAGATTACGAACGCCACGCAAGTGGTGGAGACCAATTAGTCACCGACCTGAGTGGGTGTTGGCCAAAAATTAAATATAGTCCCTCAATACGCTGGGAATTTGCTAAAAACGAACATCGCCGCCAAATCAGGGAAGCCCAGCTATCGCCCGGTCTGTTTGAAGAGCTGGCCGGGGAAGCCGTAGGTGCGTGCGTGCCAGTATAAGCGTATTTCCATCGACAAAGACCAAAAATCGGCGAATGGGACTTAATGAACTGATGAAAAGTGTAGTCGCTTTTTAAAGCCAAAATGTGGTAGACAAAAGGACTGTAAAAGTTTTAATAGGGAGTCAGACTCCTTCGAAGGGACAGGAAAAGTTTGAAACTACCGACAATTCTGCCCGAAGGTTGCAATAATCTTTGGGAGTTGTGCTTGTATTGCAAATCGGTGAAAAGTCTCTAGCCAAATTCGACTCGGACTTGGGTTTAGGTTTAAGTTAAGCTTGGCCTTGGGCCTAGGATTATGCTTATGTTTTAGGGTTAGCCATATTCATAAGCTCAGGCTTAGGTTTAGGCTTCGATTCGGCACATAACCACCAGTTTTCTTGAAATTTCACCCCCAGGCGTACGCACTTCCACCGCCCACGGTGCGCAAACATCGCGGCCACAAAAAATGAGCCTAGGCTCCTTTTCGGGCCGAGGATTCCAGGCTGTTCACACAATCGCCACAGTCAACTGATCGCGGGCGTAGGCCGGCTAGTAGGCGGATGCGCAGCTTTTATAATAGCCAATCTGTAGGGATGTGCTATGGTTTTGTGAACGATCTAGTGGCTGCCTGGATGGAGGAGATAGGTGAGGAAATGTTTGATATTTTGAAGTTATTGATCTAGGTCCCTAAGATCCCGATTTTTTAGAATTTACGGAACCTACGGAAGCACAAGCTTCATCGTCAAGCCAAAGGAGCTATCAAGAAAATTCTGGTGATCCGGAGTTTCAACGAATTTTGGCGGAATTAAGAGAATTTGAAGAAGGCGAACAGTCGAATTCTGGGAGCTGGAAAGAAGAATACATTGAGTAAGTTTATTATCTCAGAGCATAACTCAACGATACAGTTTCAGGTCAACTGCGTCATCCCCAATGAATCTCTTAGAAGAATGGCACGAATTGTTTGAAACTGAAAGGCGATCGAGTGCTCCGTCGTGTAGTGCTCCTGGGCCTGAACCTATCGAAAATCGACGGCAGCGAAAAGCACGTAGCTTAGGATCGCCGACAAATGTAAGTGTATCGTAAATCTTTTAATCAGAATTCCACCGCCCGTCCGGAACTTAATTGACTACCTTGATCTCCGCCCATTCAGTATCCTCCTTGTGAAGTGTGTGCATCCCCTTCATCTGGAATTCATTACGGCGTAATGACTTGCGAGGGGTGCAAAAGCTTCTTCAAGGTATATCACGGTACCAACTCGATAACGTTGCTTTAGCGGGTCGTTCTGACAGAGGCCTGGGACCAATTTTTCTGTCGAAATGAGGGAGATTGTATACTTACTCGAAGGTATCGTTGAAAGAAACTCCCACGACAGAACTTTCTCCAGAACTAAACCCGATATTTTTAGCAATAAAAAGTATTGCCGTGCCTGTCGATGGGAAAAATGCGTAGCCGTCGGATTGCAGCAGGAGGGTAAGCTGCAACTCTTTACCAGGCATCGAAAAATTTTAGCGGTCCGACAAGGAGCACTAGCTGGCCGAAGAGGGCGAGCCCATGGTTGGCGAGCCAAGAAGCCGTATGCTAACGGGTCAAGTTCGAGTCTTCAGTAGCCCATTAGAATCATCACCTTTAATCCATTTTCGCTTATTTCCAAATTATCGGTGGTTTTCCTAACTTGCCAATTTCCTGTATATCGGGTTCGAATTGTGTAATATTTTATCCGAAGTAATTTATCGATTTAAATGTTGTGCTTTGGTACAAGATTGTGAATAAAATTTGTTCAAAAAGCAAATAGATTTCCGCGAAAATTTAACTTGGAAAGTGGGGCCTTAGTAAAACGAGTGGGGAACGGATGTTTGCACGATTTCGGACATAGTGCGCCAGGTCGCGCGCGTTTCGGCCAATGGGGCGAGCGCAGGGGTTAGCCCAACCACCCGCAGCGGCGAAGGCGCTGTAAGCGGCTGTTTTTTTTATAATTTGCCAATGTCCTGTATATTTTGGGCTCGAATCGTAGACTAAGTTATTTGAAACAATTTATTAATTTAAATTTGGTGATTAATCGTCCGATTCTCAATGAAAATTATTCAAAAAAAACAAATTGAACCCCGCGTAAAACTTTTGGTTTTGCCTCCTCCGATCGCAACTCCACATACCATATCTTTAGCGGGTCTCGTTCAACAACAATTACGCGTTGATCAATATCCCGGGTTATATAAGGGGCAATTGGGATGCTCCGCATCGCGCTCGACATCACGCGAATTACCGAAATTTCTCTGATACCGTGCCGCCATTCCTCTGCCAACCGCTCCAACAATGGCGCAAAGCCCTGACTATAATTTTCTGTCACTTGGATGCACATGTTTTCGTTCTTAAAAACGCAGTAGTTTAGCGTTTCGGACACGGTTTCGAAGATTAGCAGATCCACGTGGTTTTTCATGTATTCAGCTAATTCGGCATTTGGCCGCAGGTTCCGGACCCGTAGGCATTCGAACTTCGCCCCAGCTGGGCGGTATGATTCCAGCACCTCACTCATCGTACCGCTGTCGTATAGTTCCAAATATTGGGCAGTGAGATTCGGAATCCGCAAGGTCGGGTCCAGAAGTTTGAGATGCCACACTAGGGCACCAGAAAACAGGAGGCGTCGCGTTTTCTGATGGTCAATCGGCCGGGTCCGTTGCTCTAGGCACATCGTAAGTCGATTATTTGCCTTGATCTCCAGGCTTAACACCCAATACTTGCCTGGGCACGCTTCGGCAATTTGCCAGTGGCGTCTACTGGTGGCGGCGAACCGGAAAAAAGACTTGATGTCAAGGTATTTGAGGATTTGGTGCTGCACGCCGCGGGGTACGTCGGAGAAGTCCATCGTCTGAAAATCCGTGTATTTTTCCGGATTATAACTTCAAAACGAAATTGGAAATTTAAGAAAATGGTAAATCAGAGTAGAAATTGGTACAGAAAATCGATAAGGAAGAGCAAGTTGGATCAACTTGGAGGGCAGATGCCAAAATGCGAGGCAAAATCGCCTCAGGCCACTCTCGCCAATACCAATAAGATAATGCCGTCCCCTCTCAATCGATTAACCGCTGCACGCACTTTTGTGACCTACGAAAATATTGTTAATTGCATATTTTTATAGCATTAGCTGTCAGTGCTTTACAAATTTTCTGCGCATTTCTCTTGTCTCAGCTATAACGAAATAATTTATCAGACATACAATCAATTCATTGATATAAAAATTCGGCATTCGGCTCTTCCCCGACCAGCTCCACATACGGCCAAAAACGGTCCGTCACGCTACTCACTACAAGGACGCCCCCATCACATCTTTTTATCGTAGCACGATGTGGATCGATATGTCTCGTATATTTCGACAAGCCATTCAGACTGCTTGGACCAATGCCCAGGGCCAGAATTTCAATCTCCGCGATTTTTCTACTGCCGTTTAACCATTCTTCCACCAATCTTTCGAGAAATGGAATAAACTTATGGTTGAGTGGGCGCGGCACCTCCACTTTCATACGATCGTTCTTAAACTCAGAATAGTTAATCAGGTACGTATAGCTCCGGATGAATAAGTTTGATGCGTGCTTTTCGGCAAACTGAGCAATTTCGGAGTTTGGTCGCAAATACCAAAAATTTAGACTTTCGAATTTGCCCGCAGGTTTGAAGTATTCTAGCATTGGCATCAAGTCTGCACCCGTATCATCCAACTCCAAGTTCTTTGCGGTCAGACCCGGTATCCGAAAATCCGGGTCCTGAATGCGTAGACTAGCGACGAGAGCTCCAGAAAATAGAAGAAGCCTCGTTTTCTCATCATTGACCAGCCAGTTTCGCAGATGGTTTGGATAAACGGTCAGCTGATCTTCCGGCTTGACGACCAGGGCGAGGTTCCAATACTTGTCTGGACAAGTTGCGGCTATTTCCCAGGACTTCTTGCTAGATTTGGCGTATTTGAAGAAGGAGAGGAGGTCGAGATGGTTGAGAATTCGATACTGCACTTCACGGGGCAAGTCGGGGAAGCTCATCTCCTGGAAAAAACGTTACTTTACTGAGAATTGCACATTAAAAATTACACCCGAAAAGTGGAAAACGCGAGGGAAGAGACCGGAGAGATTTGGGATATTTTCGAGCTAGGGAAGTATTTTTTTATAGCCAACGAAAGAGAAAAATCATTCCACAAAAAAGGAAACCCGACAATCAAAACTTAGGAAATAAAGTGTTTATTCATCCTCCTCGTCCGGCAACTCAATGGAAAATAGATGCAGCTCGACTGGTGGGTCTTGTGGTCCATCCGGCCCAAATTGCTTCCGAATGCGATTGAGCACGAGTCCATGATCCCTTGTCCCACATCGGACCTTTGCTCCAAGGTACGGATCGTATTCCTCGTAATAATCCTCGAATTCCTCGATGGCTGGGATGTCTGTTCCCTCGATACGTATGTCCCAAATTTCGCGTTCCTTGGCCTTCCACTCTTCCAGAACCCTTTTGACGTACGGCACAATCTGATGATCTTCTCCGGCGGGTACGGTGATTTTCATAGATTTGATCTTGATATAGAGGTATTCGTCCAAGGGTGATGTACTCGAGAAGCAGAGCCGCTCCGTGGCATTGTTCAGGAATTCGGCCTTTTCGGGTGCCGGGTGAAGACGTGAGAGTGTGAGGACCGAAAATCCGGGTGGCCTCATGTGGCGCTCGATCAAACTGTATGGCTCGACGCGTGCCTGAAAAAATGCATTCTAATTTTGTCAGCATAATGGGGCTGTTGGGTTTTTACTAATGAAAATGATTTGCAACTTTTAATATTAATAGCTTTCCGAACAAGACCTTACCTCTATATACAGCCGGTCCACTCGCATCGATCCATCGTATCCGGGAGGAGCACGTCTACTCCTCAGCGTCAGCCCGCCGTAATGACTATTCCTCAGCAAAAGCCCGATTTTCAGCTGGTTCTTGAGACGCAACTCGGTCTCCCCTGCCTCATTTAGGATAGTAATCGATTGACCGCAGTTAAATGTGATGTTATGCGTTGTCCAGTCTTTTGGCACGCTGCCAAAGGAATACCAGAGGGCACGGCTGGCCGAGGCAAAGTTCAACAATTCGGCGGGGCTCAAAAACCCTGCGATATGGGACAAAACATCCGGCGGAAGAGCAGAAGGATCCATTTCCTGCAAAAGCTTTAATTTTTGGGTATTTTGGCATGAAATATGTTTTGAAAATAAAATAAAGCAAATAAATAATTTCAAAATAGCTAGGTCTGGTAAGTGGACGTGTCTATTGTTGCGAAAGGCCAGGGCTGCAGTGGCATTCGTAGCGCCGCGTACCGATGAAATTAAGAGCTTACGGTGGACTTTGCAAAGTGAAAACTGGTGCAATAAAAATTCCTAATTGCTAACAAGAGCTAAAAAGATGCGATGCATTGTCTTTGAGGATAAGCGGGTCAATATTAAAATATCATGTATCTTTCTGAACAGCAGAAGCCAACTAACAACAACAATTTATTACGCAGCATAAAAATTCATATGGCCGAAATATCGAACAATCTTAATTTGTTGTCCGTTTGGTCGACGATAGGAATCGTGGATCATTATCTGGTCGTCCGCATCAAAAGTCATCGGCTTCATCCGGACCTCGAATTCGACAATTTCCCGTTCGCCATTCTGCCACTGTTCGATCAACTGGTCAAAGTAGGTTTGGGTGAGAAATACAGCGTGGTGCGCCATTTTTAGCTGGGCCCGTGGGATTTTGATCTTCAACAGCTCGCGATGTCGAAGGTTTTGATATTCGAGGCGTTGCGTTGACTTGTTTAGAAACTCGAAAATGCCGGCGCTTTTGAGAAGCCGGGGCAGGGAGACGAATTCAAATTGTTGGGCGGGCTTACAGCTTTCGAGCACTCGGAGGAGGTCTGGGTTTTCGTTGTGCACCTTCAGGAATGTCGTCTTCAGCCCGGGGATCGTGGGCTCGAAGTTATGGTCGTAGATCTCGAGCCTGGGGATGGTCTTGTGAGAAAATAGCAGTTCTTGCACAGTCCGGCTCTTGAGAGTGAATTTCTCCGGGATTTCATCGAAAGTGGGCGGAATGTGTGCGCAAATCTTCCAAAAGTTGGAATAGATCTTGACATGATCATTCGAGATTGATTGGTAGTTCTTGGTAAAATTCCATAGGTAGCGGCAGGCTTTAGCGTACCGGAAGCGAGTTTTCAGATCCGTGTCAATGATATGGCTGTAGATTTGGAGGTGGACATCTTCGGGAAGGTCAAGGAATTCGGGCATCGAATATTTTTGATGTAGAATGATGGCAAACGGACATGGTGATCGGCAGCTTTTGCAGCCTTTGTGACCTAGTTTGTTGGTTTTCAAAGATCAACCCAAATAGCCTCGGGCAAGCAGGGCAGAGAGTTGTCTGTCTTGACGCTGTGTTCGTCTATTTCACTTATAGGACAATGCGCATCTGTCGTATGAGCTCCAAACTACAGGAATTGAATGCTAAGGGGAGATCTCAGAAATTCACATCTAAAAACAAACCCAGGTCCTCGCTTATTATCACGCCAATTGATCGCGTCATGCCCGAATTCCTCGAACTTCCAGATGAGATCAATCACCGAATCCATCACTACATCGCAGCCATGGACCTGAAGACACGCTTCCGGTATGCAAAAAGCTCTAAGTTTCTCTGGACTGTGTCGAAAAGCCCCAGGTCGCTTATCGAGACTGATTATGTCATCGACTTATGTGACGCCCACTGGAGCGTTAGAGAAACTACTGAAGGCCCATGTTCCAAAACTCAAGAGGATGAACCGTCGCTCCGCATCGCTAACCGGACCACCCAAGGACTACTTTTTTCACACATTAAAGTGAAAAAGCTTGTGATATGGATAAAGGACGTTGAACTACCGACCAAGGGCCTGACCGTCCGGACGCTCATGATCCATGCAAAAAATAAGAAGCTTTTGTCGCTACTCAAAGCCTGTAAACCTGACGGACAATATGAAGGGGTGGGACTTTACCATCCGGTGGAGGAAGAAGCCGTTTTCGACTTCCTAAACAAATCGACCGTAAGCCTGGGGCATCGAGGCGTCCGGCTCAACGAACTGCTGCGATGGAAAGTGGGCAAGGCTTGGCTGACGTCAGCCAAAGAAGATGATTTCCAGTTTCGTCCGTGCTACGATCAACTCATCGCCGAATGGCGGGAGGGAAGGCGCGAAATCGAATACTTGAACTTCATACTGGAGCCGCGCCATTTAAACGATACTTTCCACGACGAATTCGAGGAGATGCTGACGCGCGAAAATGGACAGCAGCTTTATGCTTTCAAGTACGAAAATCAGATCATCGTCCGAACGTTGCCGTAACGCGACAATTTCTGATTAAATTTTCCGTGACTGCATACTTAACTTGAGCTCAAAATAAATTTTATTAAATTTTGTAAGTTAAGACATGCAATGATTCACTCTGTGCATCGTTGTGTAGATTGCTTTTTGTTGTTTCTGATCTCCAAAAGTAAAGACATGAAACGGTTTTATTAATTGCGTGAAAATTGATCAGTTCACGCCCTAGTTTACCAGTGACGCTGCCAGGCCCATATTTTCCATCGTACGCGATTGTGGTCGAGTGCAACTTGTAGAATCCGTCCATCCTTCCTCAAATAACATTTTTGGAGCTCGAACTGGTTGGCCATCTTCCAAATCGGCATTGCGCAAATGGTAATTCGCTTGATTATACGATTACCATTCATCCAGTCCTGAATGATGCCATTGATGTACGCTCCTATTTGATGTGCCGCCTTCGGTCGAATATAAAATCGTATTTCGGGACATTTGAGAGGGATATAGCCTTTTAGGTTGATCGTCCCGATTTCCCAAAACTCCTTGATATACTTCGTCCCGAATTTGCAAAGCACCAGGCTTGGGTTTTGGGCGTGAAGACAGACGTGGGAATATTTTCCGGCGGGTAGGAATCGTTTCAAAATAGGTATGACATCTTCTATCTCTTCACCAATTTCGAGCCGGTCGGCTTTCAAGTTGTCTAGCCGAAAATCCGGGTCGTAAATCTTCAGTTCCGCTACCGTAGCGCCGGCAAAAAGTAGCTCCTGAACATTCACATTTCTTATCAAATGGCTTTTAAATCTGCCTCGTGAAATAAAAACTTCAATTGAGTTCTGATCAGCTTTCACCGAGAAATGTTGGCATTTTCTGGGGAGGGTCTTCAACAAATTCCAGTTCGATTTGGAGGTACGGGCGAATCGGAAGCGGACATCCGGCTCGTGGAGATTCTGAAGAATTCGTTGCTGCAATTCTAGTGGCAGCTGGTCGAGCATGAACTGAAAAAAATTTTACTTAGGCTATTTTAATGCAATTTTAAAAGATCATTTCAAGATGAGACGCTTGAAACGAAACGCTTTGCAAATAATAGTTTATGTTCAAGGAAAATAAACGTCCAAGCCAGCGTTAAACGAAGGACAATACACCTAAATTTTCTCTAAATAAAGATCTGTAATTGTAAAAGTAAGAGAAACGAAAACATATGGTTTCACATGATTCCGCGGTGTTCGTGAGTAGGCTGGCGGATAGAGCGCCAGACGGCGGGGTGCAGACAGACAGGGAGGGGGGGCGGAATAGGCGGCGAAAGGTGGACTAGGCTATAGGGCACGGGGAAGGAACAGGGGCGGGGCAGAGCGCAGATTCTCCCTTCCCCTGTATGCCTGCCATCCTGTCCCGGTCAAACGAACACAACTGGTAAAGGGCGGAATGCTGTGGGTTTTAGTATAAGTTTCATTAATCCATTACGAGGCTGTAAGTTTTCTCCCGTGCTGTCTCTTTGTCGCTAGCGCAATGGCGACTCACGGTGAGAGTACCCTCGCGGAATACCCTAGCCGGGAAAAACAAGTACGATTTTCATGTTTTTGCATGTTTTTTTGGCGAAAAACGCTCTCTTTTTGGTTTCTGACTTTTCACATTACCCGATCTACGTTTTCTTTAAACTTGCATAACAGTTAAGCAAAAAAAACTTGGCCGCTGCATTTTCTCGAGAACCTGTTTTTTTTTTTTTAAAAACGGCTCAACTAATGAAAACATTGTCAGGAATGGATTTTCTGCGCTTCCCCGCCGAAATCCAGCATGAAATCGTCCGACTCCTCGGCATCGACGATTTCTTCAAGCTGGCCAGCTCGAGCAGGACGCTGTGGGATATTTGCGAGAATACGCCTGGAAAATGCTGGGGCGGAAAGTTGTGGAACCACGAGCCAAATTTTTTCAAGTTCGCGCCGCGTACTGACGAGGCTTATCGTGAAATCACACTGAAAGAAAAGGCGCTTCAGCTTTTCTTCAAGAATGCTTCGGTCTCGGAGTTGGAGCTTGCCGAATCCAATTTTCCGAACCCAGGTGTGACCACGAAGCGTCTCACGTTAGATTACACCTCGGAGAACCTACTCAACCTATTGAAAGGATATAAAACAGAAGCTAAATACAATTACTTGAAAATCCCATCACTGGAAGTAAAACCAGAAGTCGTTCTCTGGCTAAATGAGTGCGTTGAAGATCTCGAATTCACTGCTGCGGTTCCACTACCAGAATATACGAAACTAACGATACCCTCAATATGTATCATTCGGCAAGAAAACGTTGAGACGAAAATGGAACCCTTCTTCCGCACGATCATTAGAGAATGGCTGGCCGGCAAGCGAGAAATCACCTGGATCTGCGTGCGTGGCGACGAAAACGGACCAAATTTCTCGGATTTCGAGGGAATGGCCACCGAGCTAGACGTCGCCGGGGCTCAGGCCGAATTTGATAGAGGCGACGGAAAGGTGCTCGTGCTCACCGGGCCACAAACCGAAACTTTTTCGACAATTTTGGAGGTGCTTGATTGAATTTGTTGAGTTTTTAAGGATAAATATTTTGTTAAATTTGGAGTGCTGGTCATTATTACATGATGGTCGTGGCACCAATATATGTATGGACCGTCTTATTCACATAACAATAACAAGACTAATAGGAAATTGCGGAATAGCGTATTATTATAAAAGTAGTGACTACTCGTCCACGTAGAAATTTCCATTGGAAAAGCTGTCGTTCGTAATGTCGGCTGAAAATAGACGGTTCCAAGGTAGCCAGCAGCTTCGCCTGCCTCAAATGCGCGTCCGCTTTTCCACGAAACCTGAAACTCTCGTTTTTAATCCCTTTTATAAAATGTCTCGTCTAAAAAACCTCACTCGAAGTTTCTGAGCGGCACGAAAAGTTATGTTTAGCGGCAATGTTGGCAAAGTAGTGACGTCAAAACTAAAATCAGCCCATCGGTTTACCCCGTAACTTTAAGCCTACAGGCTTCGATCTAACATCTGAAAAGTGCCATCCATCGCCGAGATTTCGAGCGTGCCAAGGTTCAGGGCTTTCAATTCGTATTGGAAGTTGATAAAGCGCTCTAAAATTGCACGGTTGCCTCGAAAGCAAGCTTATACCGCATTCCCAAAGCTTTGACGTGTTCGTCGCTTCAAAATGGTCGTGAAAAGGGTCTCCAAAAGCCGGTCCGACATCCAGGGCCATTCCTTTGCACTGGTTCGTCGGGACTTGGATATGGTCATCATAACCTGATTGTATTATTGGGCTCGATACCGCAACCACTTACTGACAGTTTTTGTAGCTACCACAGGGTTACATCCTTTTGGTATAAAAATTGAATAGACACCTCCGGGGATAAATTGAGGAATGAATGGGTCGACATCGCTAGAGAAAATATAGCGCAACGATACCTAAGGCACCTACCGAAAAGTCGCTAGCGGTAACTTAGCATCTGGTCTGAAAATAGCACCCGAATAAAGCTGATACTCGCAGTTGTTCTCGCTATGCGCCTGATAGCCTACCGATTTTACGTCGAGTAAATTTCCTACCCATTGCAGTTGACCCAATTGTATCCATAGACTGCTGTAGCGGTAGCAAAAGGCCATTAACACGATTCTGTCTTGCTGCATAGAAATCGAGAATGACATTCTACGAAAGTCCCGACCATACGGAATTAAACCCACTGTGAGGAAGCTCATGTTTTCTAAAAGCGATGCGGAACGACCTCAAAATTACCAGCAATCGAATGCGGCAGCTGAACGAGTAGTGAAGAGTACTCATTATTTAACCGTATCTGAGTGTATTCATTTTTCGACGCATTCAAAACCATGCGACAACAGATCTGCTTCGAGTAGGTCAGATCGAGACTAGAAGAAAGGATGGGTGCCTTTGGCTCACTACTAACTTGTAGTATATGCATCCCTCGATTGGGGTTTCGCTGTCCGGGTCGTTTTTCTGTTTTAAGTTGCAAAGCGTCGCGATGATTGCGTTTTCGTGGTCCGCAACATTATCTCCAATTTTGGGGCAGATCAGTTGACCTCTAAAACCATATAAAGCAATTACAAGACTTACGATTCGAACTGAATTTGATTGATGGTAAATAAGGGGTTTTCTCGGGTGAGTGTGATGTTTTGAACACAAGTCTCTCTTGCGATCCGCTTGGCCGTGTTTCCGACATGGACGAGAAAACCGCGAGGACCATCATGAGCCAAATCAGGTTCGAACACGGCTTCGATCCCCCGGACGTTGAGGTGAAACGTGGCGCCAAGGTCTGTGGCTGTAAATCTGGTAGGCGTGCAAAGAATAAATACACGATTTCTAAACTTATAATCGTACGACCTACTTTTTCGTATAATTGCCCAGGGCTTCTTCGTCGTTTATCAGCAGAGTTCCTCCCTCGATAGCCGTCAATTCAACATCAATTTTCATAAATTCCTTGCCGACTATAATGAGCGTTGCTTCAACTTTGGGCACAAACGCTTAATCCCGGTACGAGTCGAAAAATAGATATCGTCGGGCTCGTCAAAAACCCAGGGAAATTTGGGACTGATTAGTAGCAGATCACGGAAATCGGTGTCGTAGCCATTGATCGCTCCTAAAATCTGAAACGTAAAAAGGTAAAAAGGGCCCATGCCTTGCTGGTTGAAATAGAAGGCGAGATAGATATCCGATTCCTTATAGCGGCTTATTATCGAGACAACGGAACAATGCAGATGGATCAAATAGAAATCCCTAGGTTTCAAAAATTAGAGTGTCGTAAGAGTGTTAATGAGCTAACCGCGAAGCCAGTAATAGATTTTTGTTGCTGATCCCCGGATCGGCGCCAATGTATAGTGGAATTCGATACGCATCGCTGAGCCCTTCTCCCTCTAAATCCCGATCAAAAGCGGCGCTGAGCATTAGATCCGGAACCGTCTGATTCGTCAGTTTCCTGAAACCAAAATGAACACACGAGATTGATGATCACTCGGGCGCAATCAGCACCACGCTCCAGATATACATCGACGGAAGCCGAAAATTGAGCATCGCCTTAGTGTTTATAGGCCACGGATCGGAGGTGGCTTGCGGGAATACGATAACATCATATTGGGCTGAATTTCCTGGCAAATATTCACATATGTCTTACAATTGGACCATTCTTGGACCCGAAATGATATGGCAAACTCCTGGAAAAGCCCCGTAACGATAGGTGAGACGTGTAGACTTGACATCTTTACCGCATAGCTGCAGCTATACAAAAATGCTTCGAACTTTTCGCCGATTGGCCTAAACGCAAGTTTTGTTTTCGGGATGATTTTCATAAGCGCGTGATTTACATCTAAAGACTCTTACGTAATTAAAATACGGGTGAAATTAAGAATTACCTCGCTTCTGTGCATCCTACATAAGTTAAATTCGACCCGAGAACCGCAAAAGGGAGCGGATCGTAACATTTAATGTGATCATTCTAAGAGAAGTGTGCTTCAAAACAACCCCAATTTCCTCCTCTAATTTTTCCTTGAGCTTTATGAAGCGTACCATCTGAATACCCGATTCATTGTAGCATGTTAGGACAGAATAGTCGATCAGAAAAGTACATCCTTCGCAACCAACAATCGTCAAATTCTAAAACTATATTCCGTATGGCTACTTAATGTACGTTTTTGATTTCCAATGCTGTCCCGTGCAGCGCGTAGGATGGATTTTCCGTCGATAGTTGAAAGAGCCGTTTATCCAGGTACCCCGAAGTCACAAAAACATGGCAGGAAACTTGTAGGAATACATAGGTAAATACATATGTTTTCATTGTCAATATTCGACTCAAAGCTTAATGGTGAGTAAACCGTTGGTCCAGCGCCAAGGCAGTCCAACTAGAATTGTTGCCCTGCCCTTATCGCAAGCTGCCGATAGACCAAAAGAAAAAGCGGATTTTCTGAGATTTTCATATCGGAAAAATGGAGCGAATGAAGGAGAGCAACGAAACACAATATTAAAACACTGGGGCAGGGACGTAGCGTAAGGTGGCCCCTCTGCCCCGAAATCGGCCGGGGACCGAAAATTTCATAAGGGAAGCCCTTATGATTTTTACTTTCTCAAAAATGTTGCTGCCTGCGGCGCTGTTTTTTCACGTTTTACTGCTATTTGTAGAGCTAGATAGCCTTTTTTCCAAAATTTTTCGCCTGCGGCGCTGTTTTCTCGTTAATTTTTTGAGTTTTTTTCGGAAAAATTTTTTTGGCCCCCCCGCGAAATTTTTTTCCGGCTACGCCCCTGCACTGGGGTATGTGTAAGGCACCAGCTGATTTGTGAACTTGCAAGGGACTACTGGGGATTAGCACTGTACATCAGTTGTTCATCTTATTTCCAAACGTAATAATATAGTGAGAAAGAACCAAGTTAACCGGGTAATAGAGGTTTCGTCACGGTTCGTCGTCAACTTAGGTAAAGCGGTTGTTGTCCGTTTAGAGGGCAGAAAATAGGCCGTTCCGAGGTATCCGGTGGCTTCTCCTATATAAACTGGACCACCGCCCTCCCAGTTAACCTGACAATAGGATTTGTAGTTTACTTGAGTTCTGGCATCTGAATTACTCACCTTTAACTTATACACTCCTCTAAATGTTGTGTTTTTTGGTAATTCTGGCAAATTGTCGGCTTCAAAGCTAAATATCATCTCCAGGCTTTAAATTTTGAAGTGCTTACCATTCTCGAGCGATGATTTGAGAATCGGCATCCAACGCCAGTATTTCCAGAGAACCCATATTCAGCGCTTTCAGTTCGTATTCAACGTCGATTCGGCTTTCTAATCACAATCCACAATTGGCCGCAGAAATACCGACCGCACTCCCAAATCTTTGTAGAATTCACGTCAACGTTGAATTCATGTAAGCGATCGCCAAATCCGTGGCCCACGTCCATCGCAATACCTTTGCATTGTTCTATCAAAGCTCCTGGGTCAGTATTCAGCTCTAAAAAGTAAGCTATTTATTGGAAACGACAATGTTCACGTATCACATTGACAGCTATCGTCGGATTGCACCCCTTGGGGATATAACTAGAATACACGCCACTGGGTAGGAATTGCGGGTAGAACTGTTCGCTTTCACTGTAATCAACGTAGCGTATCCGAGTAAGCGACGTACTGATATGTCGCTAATGGTAATTTGTCGTCTCCGTTTGGGATGGCACCCGCATATAGGTTATATTCGCAATCCTGGTCGCTGTGGGCCTAATACCTTGAAATAAATAGCAAATTTGCCCCTGCTCACCCTTCTCAGCTGTTCAAGGAGTCCCCAGTTAGTGTAGCTGTAGCAAAATATCAGGAATACTAGCGTGTCTTTTTCGGCATTGGCAGAAAGCGACATTGTTTGAAAGTTTGAAGAAAAAGGCTGTATGCCGATCGGCAAATAATTTACATCTTCTAAAATCACGGATTTGAGGTTTAGTTTCCCTAATGCTACCTAAAATCGAATCAGACAGCTGGATTAGAAGCGAAGAATATTCTATATCTATGCGTATTTTGGTATAGTCGATCCGCGTAATGTTCATCGTCATACGGCAGCAAGTTTGCGTTAGATAGACAAGGTCCACGCTAAAACTAGACATTTTTGACGGTTTTATTGAGAAAAAGCCGAAAAGCTTGCGACCCACTCGTAATAAATGCAGTCATCTATTCGGTGCTCTTTCACGTGGTTATTTTTTGATTTTAGGTTGCAATATGTCGCGACAAGTTGCTGTTGCGTTTCGTTTGTCTCGTCTAGCTTCACGCAAACGTACTGACCCCTAAAAGAGACGTTAGATATGATTTTAAGGAGCGTCAGAAGGCATAGGCCAATCCCCTAGTGGATTTTCTGACAAATCGCCGCGTGTGAGAGACCGCACCCAGTTGAGAGGCGGAGACGCCAGGGTTCGACTCGCGTAACCGCAGACGTAGTCCTTTCCCTTTTCCTCTTCGGGTGTCAACTCACGTCTGATATTGAACCTGATTGATGGCAAAGACTGGGTCGGCCTTCGTGAGCGTGATGTTGCGCACGCAACTATTCAGCTCAATTTGCCGTTCGATGCTTTTAACAGAAAGGAGGAAGCCACGCGGGCCGGTGTAGTTGGCGTCCGGCTGGAATCTCGCCGAAACAACGTGCGCGGTGCTTTGGAATTCGTGGCCCAAATCCTTTGATGTTAGTCTGCAATCAAGAGTAGGCATCAAGAAAAACATTAAGGGATATATACAAACATTTTCGTCTTGTTCCCCGCTCTGCCTGCCATCTGCAAATAGAGTGTTCCCCCCTCGATAGACATCAGCTCGAGGTCCATTGAGGCATAGCCGCCAGCCACTTAACATTTCTGGACGTACTAGTTGCTGGATTCACATACTTTCTATTCCGGTCACGGACGCAAAATCGACGTCCTCCACCTCGTCAAAAATCCATGGATACTTTGGGCTGGTGAGGACCTGTTCACGGAACTTGCCCGCTAATGTCTCCAGCCTTTCTGTTCAGATCATGACACGGCGTGTTTACGCATAATACCTTGCCAATTGAAAAACAGGGCTAGAGAGATGACCCATTCCTCGTATTGACTAATGATCGTCACAGCAGAGCAATGGAGGTGTTGGCTGCAAATGTAGACTTGGTTAGTCATCCCTTAGAAGTAAATTTTAGGTAAATATCTGCGGTAAATCTTAGGAGACATGAAATTAAATTGAGCTGCATAGCTTAAATAGGTGTTGAAAGAAATATAAATGTGATGGCCACCTTACCGTGGGGATACGACCAAAGATGAGTGCAGGGTGTTGGTGCTCATGCCAGGATCGGAGCCAACAAATAGTGGGATGCGGTACGCATCACTGGGCACCTGGTCCCCATAATTAGAGAAAAACAGTGATTCAAGTGTAACGTCTGGGTAAGTCCTGTTTGTCAGTTTCCTCCAAACGGATAGAATTTAGTACCAAATTGCTTACTCTGGCGCTATCAGAACGACGGTAAAGACATGCAATGGCGGAATACGAAAAGTAATCGGCGGGTTTTGGCGGGTGGCCGGATACGGATCGGTGACAGATTGCGGAAAAAGAATAAGGCCATACTGTGCTGAAACATAAATTTAATTAGATCTTAATTATCTTTCTATTCAAGGCAAGCTTGGTTAAAACAGCCATAAAATGCTTTATTACCGCCTACAATTTGCCCACTCCAGAACGCGAACTGATATCGCAAACTCTTGAAACAGCCCAGTCTCCACGTAGGTAATTGCGATGGCTCGGTTCTTAACAGCGTAGGCGCAGCCATACATTGCGCTATCATATTTTTTGCCTATTGGCCTAAACTTTTGATCATCGCTTCGGACGGAATATGCTAATTTAGCCTGCCTCGGTTAATGTAATAATGATGCAAATTTATTTAAACCAGACCAAGCCTCCGTGCATCCCTGCACATCCATGATAACCTCCGAAACGGTGAAAGGTAGAGCATCGTAGCACTTTATTGCTGTTTCCTGAACCAATATGAAGATGTGCGAATCATACTCACCATCCCGACCCCGGACTCGTTATAACACTTTCTTACGGAATAGTTGATTAAAAAAGTGCAAGTCGTACAGCTTGTGATGGTTATGTCCTAAAAACGTACAGTATAAGTTGAGTTAGACCCACATTTTTAAATTTCAACGCTGTGCCGTGTAATGCATATGATGGATAATCGGGTGATAGTTGAAAGAGCCGTCGGTCCAGGTATGCACAAATTACAGTTATTACACAGAAATGCTATAAAACCTATGATTTCTGTCGTTATACCATACCAGCCAGATATTGAATATTTTCATTAGCAGCGAATCAATGCAGCACGTTGCGCTTTTGCACCTCGTCATGTTCCGCTAATCGCTGGGGGCTGATGGGATTACGGGTAAGATAACGCATGGAATCAGCCGTTAATTTTACGTCTCAGGTTTTTTTTGTTTAAATTTCTAAAGGTGATGGATGGCTCTGACTCAGTCAGGTCAACCTCCGCCTATCCGTACTAAATAGTAAACATTTTTCTTGCTTTTCCTTTCGAATCTTTAATTAAATTTTTGTAAAATTTTGGGTGATGTGAAATAGTGCAGAACTTCATTTTATCGTTTTTTTTGCTAGCATCACCATGCCAGCAGCATCTGCAGCCAGAAAATGTAGATCAAAGATTCAGATTACTGAATAACCCATAAGAGATCAAGCACAGCCCAAGATTCAGGAGAGAAATGTATGCACTTCTGGCACTTCTCGGCGAGGTCTCCCGTGGTGCTGGCGTTGTCCTCCATGGTGATGTTTGAAAATGAATGGTTCCAAGGTATCCGGTGGCTTCCCCAATGTCAGCGACGCGACCGCCAATCCAGGAGACCTAAAAGCAGCTGATGCTCTTTGAATCGCGGAGTTTCGCGGAACGTCTGTCTGAAGTACGACGACTTACCTGGAGTTTCCGGGCACCTCTGAATGTAATGTTTGTTGGTAGCTCGGGCAAATTCTCCGACTCAAAGCTACAAGGATCAATAAACGCTTGAGAACATTGCGCCTACAGCATTCTATCCAACACCTGAGACTCCGCATCAAGTGCGGCCACCGCCAGCGAGCCCATATTCAACGCTTTCAATTCGTATGTCACATCTATGAGAGTTTCTTAACAAATTCTCGGTGGAACATAGGTATCTTTGCTCATACCGCATTCCCAAGTTTTAGTGGAATTTGTCTTGTAAGTTTGGTCGTGGAAAGGGTCGCCAAACCCTCTGCCAAGATCCATCGCCATACCTTTGCATTGGCGGGTGATGGTCTCGGTCCCGGCTTCGGGGGCGAAAATAATGATCATGATCAGAAAAATGCAGTTAAAGCTTACTGAGTATATTTGTTGCGATGGTCGGGTTGCAGCCGTTTGGGATGAAAATCGAATAAACACCGCTTGGGAGGAATTGAGGGAAGAACGGATCGGCGTCGCTAAATTTTAAAGATTTTTGTTGGAGCCAATCAGATTGTCGTTGGGCTTACCGGAAAACCGCCAACGGCATGTGATTTTCGGGACCAGATACAGTTCCTGCATACAATGGATATGTGCAATTTTGGTTGCTATGCGCCTAAATCATATCTAACCTCCAGAAGTCCCAATCTACCCATTGCAGCTGTCCCAGCAGTCCCCAAAGATTGTTGAATTCGTAGCAAAGAACTATGAATAGCAGCGTATCCTTCTCAGCAAAATTCGAAAACGCCATCGTTCGATAGTCTAGTGCATATGGGGAAATACCGACAGCAAAATAATTTTTGCTTTCTAAAGTTTGCTATTTCAGCAAGGCGCTTACTACTTACTTGAGATGGCGGAGGGCAGTTGTATAAGCAGGGAGGAATATTCCCTTTCCATCGATATTTGGGTGTATTCGCTTCTGCTAATGTTCAGCGTCATTTGACAGCAAGTTTGCATAGAGTAGACGAGATCGAGGCTGAAATTGAATATCCGAAATGCGATGAATAACGACACTGGCTCACTTGTAATAGCTACAGCCCTCTATAAGGTCCTCCTTTCCATGATTCGCCTTTGATTTCGTGTCACAAAAGGTAAGAACCATGTGATTTTCGGCAACGGCATCCTCGCCCAACTTTATGCAGAGCAAACGACCGCTAAAGACAACGTATCTTCTCGATAAACACATACGAATCAAATTGAATTTGATTTATGGCAAAGAACGGGTTTTCCTTGGTAAGTGTGATGTTTCGAACACAGCTATTCCGTAAAATTCGATGCTCGGGAGATTCGACAGTGAGTACAAAGCCATGTGGGCCCTTGTGTTCCGGATCCGGATGGAATGTGGCATTAAGGTCCTTGGCTGTTAGTTGCAATCGCTGCCCTAGATCAGCTGCCGTCAGTCTGCAAACCGGTATTCTCAACAAGAGCAAAAAATGATCACTCACATTTTCGTAAAGTTCTCCAGCTGGCTTGCCGTTTTCAAAAGCACAGTTCCACCCTCGATGGCGGTGAGCACGACGTCCATTGGCACATTGTCATAATAACCTGATCTTGCTTTATTTTGAAGAGGGTACAACTGACTATTGACTTCAGCCAACGACGAAAAGATCACATCATCGGACTCATCGAAAATCCATGGATACTTTGGGCTCGTTATAATGATGTCCTGGAAACTGTCTTCCACCGTCTCGGGTTTTTCTATATCAATGCCAAACAAGTTTTTAATAAGTTTTAGTACCTCGGGCATTAAAATAGATTGTTAGATAGATGTCCAGGTCCTCATACTGGCCCATGAGAGTTGCGACCGAGCAATGCAGATGCTGCATGAAATCTCTAAAAGTAACAATATTTTTGCATGTTTTTGAGCAATTCTCAAGCGCTGAAGGCTCACCGATTCGACACGATCAGATTTTTCGTGCTCATCCCAGGGTCTGGTCCAACGTATAGAGGGATTCGATAGGCATCGCTCAGCCCTTGTTGATCGAATTCTTTATAGAAAAACGCGTCGACGGTGATGTCTGGGTAGGTCTCGTTTGTTAGGTTACTTAATGGCCACTATCAAGTTTTGAATAATATTCTACTCGGGTGCAATTAGCACGACAGTCCAGATATGCAAAGCTGGCAAGAGGAAGGCCACCGCGGGATGGTGAGGCTTGGCGGGCCATGGATCCGCGATAGATTGTGGGAATAGAATAACGTCATATTGCGCTAAAATGCCTTGTACATGCCCTTAAAGTATTTGATAAGCTTCGAAACTGTCTTTCTTTAGTATATACAAGAGTTCAACCCTCGAAAAACCCTTCGAAACACCCACAATTCGCCCATTCCATGACGCGAACTGATACGGCAAACTCTTGGAAAAGTCCGGTATCGATGGAACGCATCTGTAGCTCCAATGATTTTATCACATATGTACATGCATACAAAATGGCGTCGTACCAGTCGCTGATCGGCCTGAAAAACACGGGCTTTCTTGCCTACGTTGCATGGTAGACATGTCTTAAAATACCAAGTCCATACCAAACCTTTGTACATTTCTCGTAAGTGATCGGAAAACCAGAGATTGCAAATGGTAATGGATCGTAGCATTTTATCTGCGTGTTCTAAAAATGTAACTGAGTTTCTGAGCTAGTCTATTAGGACTCGCCATTCCCATTCCCGACTCGTTATAGCATTTTCTCACAGAATAATCAATCAAAAAGGTACATTCTTCGCAGCCAAAGATTGTTAGATTCTAAAATCAGGTAGCTAAAAATGAAGGCATGCTAACATTTTTAATTTTCAGCGCTGTGCCATGCAATGCGTAGGAGGGATTCCCTGCCGATAATTGAAAAATCGCTGGTCGAGGTAGGCCGAAATAAACGGAAACATAAAGAATAACAAAATACAGCGGACAATTTTCATTTTCCAAAGCAAACACCACAGAGTGGTGATGTGCAAGTTGTATTTTAGGGCCTTTCGGTGTACTAATCGGATTTATTCCTGTCACGCCTGCTTATCAACCCCTTATAGCAACTTAACGATTTTGCTCAATTTAGCGGTCCTTGGGTATTAAAAATCTCTGGTAAAACCGTTTTATTCTAGTTTTTTTGCCATTTGTGATGACCAGGGACGTAGCGTAAGGTGGGCCCCCTGGGCCCGGTGCCCCCCCCCGAAATCGGCCGGGGCCCGAAAATTTCATAAGGGGGGACCCTTATGATTTCTATTTTCTCAAAAATTTTGATGCCTGCGGCGCTATTTTTTCACGTTTTTACTGCTATTTGTAGAGCGGTGTAGCCTTTTTTCCAAATTTTTTCGCCTGCGGCGCTGTTTTTTCGTTAATTTTTTGAGTTATTCGGTAAAAATTTTTCGGGGCCCCCCCCCGAAATTTTTTTCTGCTGGCTACGCCCCTGGTGATGACGTTTTCTTTACATAATTGTATTAGGGCGAGATTAGCACAAAATTTATTAATATACATTGAATAGTTGCTACATCATCGTCGATTCAAAACCTTCAACCAAATAGAAGGTGTGCTCCCTGGTTGTGGCACTCTGAGATGCAAAAATTTGCCGTCTGCTCGCTGGATTACAGCTTTTTCAGGGCTCGGGAAATCGGCGCCGTACTCATAGAAGTCCTCGTTCTTCACCCCGAAGTCTTCGTCTCCATTAATCGTAATCCAGAGGATTTGGCGTTCATTTCGTATCCATTCGCCGATGACCTGCTTCATATATGGTAGGACTTGGTGGTCAAGTTCATCCTCTACAGCAATGTTAATGGTGTCGACCTTCAAACCGGCGTAGGCGGGGAGAGATTGGGTAGCCTGAAAAAGAGAGGTTTCTTTTTTTAATCAATCAATCAAAAACCTGTAAAACGAATCGTTACCTGGAATGAGACGTTTTCTGTCGATGAATTCAGCAGCTCCACAATTTCCGGATTCGGCACAAGTTGCCGGATTCCCAAATATCGATACCGCTGCTTTAAAGCCCGGAATTGGTCGAGCAACGTCAACAAATCTTCAGCATTATATTGCAGCAAAATGGTTCGGGTCTTCATATTCAATTCAGGACACCCAGGCTGCTTCAGGGTGATCCGGTGAGCATAGGCATTCCGTAATAGGACTCCTTGAGCACTCTCCCCCAATAAAATCGGGTCCATTTCGCCTTCACCGGTAAATTTGAAGGTCCACAGGTCAGCGTGAGTTCCGGGCCAATACTCGAGCAAGCCGGGCCAACGTTTGCCTGCGGAATGTTCGATTAGATTCCACATTTGATGGCTTGTCATGGCAAGTCGGAATAGACTGTGCATGTCGAGGTATTTAAGGATACCATTTTGACTTGCGGCGAGGATTTTCGGAAGGTCCATATCTGTAATTTGCGGATTTCATTAATTTAATAAAGTCTAGGTGATAGTCGCATTTCAAAATAAGCGAAAAATCAGGGCAGGACAAAATCAAAAAATTTACGGAGGAATAGGTTTTCACGTGGAGGGGCGGTCGGAAACGAGCAAGGAAATTGCAAATCCTAAGAAAACGGGCCAGCTGGAGATTGTGCGTCATTGTGACTCCCCAATATCGATCGAGTTGAGGCACCGGAAAGGTCCCGGTGGTCGTTTATTTACAAAGAATCGCGAAAATGAGTCAGCATCTGCGCTTTCTGAACCGAAACTGAAAGCCGAAAAAATCATATCCCGAAATTGTGAAATGCAAAAGGGGACAAAACCATGTTAAAACACCCACTCTTTTACATTTACGCCATGTAAATAGCGTTATGCGTGTGAAGTCGAGAGAGGACGGCCGAGAACCCCAAAAAAACAAACAATAAATAGACCTAAAGAAGGGAAAAATGTGAGAAAATTTACCACAAAGGAGATTCCTATTAAAAAACTCTTATTTCCAAATTTTTATGTAGACTTACAGCACGACTGGTTGTAAGATTCGAAGGCTATGAAAAAATTGCTTTGTTTTACAACGCTTACCTTGTTTTTTGGAGGGTCTTGAAGTTATTTGTAGCTCAATTCCGTCCAGACAGTTCCCTTCGATTCGACCGAGAACTTTCGCCTTTTTTGTTGGCGTCATTCTTCAGTCGCGTATAAGCTGAAAATACCTGCCAGTAGGCAAGCCGGTAATGGAGTGGGGCCTTTAAGAGAAGTGGGCCCTCAAGGAGTGCGAAGACTAGGCCTCATGGGATTTGATAACCTCTTTCTCATCACAATCGGGCAAATCAGCGCCTTGCTTGTGCAGAGCCACTCATTGTGTCATGGCTTGGTATTTAATTTTTCCGACAATCGTACGGGAACCGTTTGTGGAGCTGGTTTACGGTAGGGAAAGGTATACAAAAATTGGTGGGGCAATGAAAGTCAACGCCTTTCAGCAAAGATACGAGAAGCTAAAGAGCACATGGTCTGTTCACCAAATGAGACGTTTCTCAAAAAAACCAAACCTCCGAAAAACCCCAAACGTGTGCGTAGGCAGGCCGAATCAATTCGTTTCTGGCCCGAGATTTGGTGCGCGCAATCCAGGGATACAAAACAGCTGCCGGGCTCCGGACGCCATAGGCGGCCACTTTCCAGTAAGTATCACTTCTCCGCATTATAATGCCCCTACCAAGCTCGGAACTTGAAGCCGTCGTCGTCGTCGCATTCCCGATACTATGGATTTTGGGATCTATTCTTTTCGGACTAGCTATTTATCTCATGTTCACGGTCCCATCGCTGATCAGTAAAAGTTTGAAAAAATATTTGCTATGTTTAATGGTCAGCTAAAATCGAGCGGCCGGTATTCAAAATTGTTTCCAGCTATTCTCTGAAATTGGTGACACATTCGTTGCGATATTTCGGCCTATAATTTATCTGCCGGCACTGGCAGTGAAGCTTCCAAATGACACCAATTTTTCTATATTAACAATGCTCATTGGAGCGGTAAAGCCCTGAAAATCAGGATTTTCAGGAAATATATTTTCTTTCAATCAGCGGCATGATATTCACCTACTTTTCTAGCGGAGTCTCAAAGCGACGTCTTCTCGACGTAACGCAAAATTGTTTCTACAGATTCATGGAAATCTATGCCTATGTGATGTTTGCCACTCTCGCCATCACGCTCAGCTGTTTCATCTGGGTACCTTATTTTCAAGGGGTGTTGAAGAATTATGATATTACTCAGGTACAGTAAGAAAGACGGTGTCGGAAAATTCTTCAGGTATGTACGCAAGCACCCGCTTATTGTGGACGGGGTCCGATAATTATATTAACCAAGCCGGAAGGGGCAAACGCGTGGTTCGGGATTGCAATCGGCATATCAGTGATTGGGATAGTGCTTTATTCATTCACTGTAATCACAGCGATCATGGAATTATTTTCCAAGGATGTGATGTTGAGCTCGAGTACTTATGAGATGCAAAAGTATTTCACAAAGATTTTTCTTCTACAGGTATTGTGTATATCGCTATCGTCTTTCGAAGGAGAATTTTAGAAGCGCAATCTGCTGCGTCACAACGCCGGGGATCTGCATCTGGCTGGGGGTGATGGGCTTTGAGAAGGTGCCATTTTTAATACTAGGTACGCTAATTGTAATTCAATGCTTTGTTTCTTCTGAAAATTATTGTTTTGTTTTGCAGTCGGTCAAATAAGTCTCTTGATTATCGAATGTCATTCGCTATGCAACGCAATGGTCTTCATTTTTGCAACTGCGGCCTATCGTAGAAAATTCGGCTCTATACCGATAGGGGGGATCACGGTCGATATAGGGGACCAATGCCGGTATAGGGGATCACCGCCGATAAAGGGGACCAATGCCGGTATAGGGGATCACTGCCGGTATAGGGGATCACTGCCGGTATAGGGGACCATTGCCGGTATAGGGGATCAAAAAAATGGCCAAATTTTCGAATCGTCGATATGGGGGATCAGGGCCGATATAGGGGATCACGATTTTTTCGAATTGTCGATATAGGGGATCAAGAGCAGGATAAGCATTTTTCATGGCTTATCAAATGCCACGTACATTTCCGGTAACGACACCGGTGATTTCTGACATTACATGTTTACAAGGCTGTGCTAGTCCTAACACCAGAGCAAGTGGTTACGAGACGCGCTTAAGCCACTTGGTTTTTGGCTTAAACCTGGGTTTAACTCAGTTTTTTACGATCTTTCGCGGAAGCTTCGACTTTAGTTTAAGCCCAAGATAAGCTTGTCTTGACTTGCCCAAGGAGCCCAAAAGGGGCTGCTATACATGGCTTACTTAGCGTAGAGATAGGCCTAACTGGGCTCAAGCTATTATGCTTATGAGTTTAGTTTAATTTGAAAGCTGTTAAGCTCCTTAGCTTATGCTAACGTTTCCAGCGGCTTAGCGTTTACAAAAGGCGTCTTTGGAGCGTCTTGTAGTCTAAATCCGGACCGACCTCGCCCTAGTGCATTAGCACCGCCTTGTAAACATGTAATGTCAGAAATCACCGGTGTCGTTACCGGAAATGTACGTGGCATTTGATAAGCCATGAAAAATGCTTATCCTGCTCTTGATCCCCTATATCGACAATTCGAAAAAATCGTGATCCCCTATATCGGCCCTGATCCCCCATATCGACGATTCGAAAATTTGGCCATTTTTTTGATCCCCTATACCGGCAATGGTCCCCTATACCGGCAGTGATCCCCTATACCGGCAGTGATCCCCTATACCGGCATTGGTCCCCTTTATCGGCGGTGATCCCCTATACCGGCATTGGTCCCCTATATCGACCGTGATCCCCCCTATCGGTATAGAGCCGAAAATTCTGGGTCTGGGTCACATTTGGCAAAGGTAAAGCGCTGCCAGAGGTTCTCCAGCTTTAAAATTGCTTTAGCAAGCCAGCACCAAGCGACGGTGCATGTGACAACGACGATCGAGGTGAATTCTGCTCTCCAAGAAGCTAGGCCGCATCCAATCAACTATGCCAAGGAATTTCATGCAATGAGCTTTGCCTTCAAATAGAGGTTATTGGGCCCGCTTAATAAAATGCAAACTGAAAATTTTGGCTCAGAATCGTGCTAGCAAAAAAAAGTTGGGTTGGTCTTTGGTGAGCGGATATCACCTGCGTGTGGCAACCATCAGGCACTTTGTTTTAAACATTAGAACTTGTTGAACGCTTTGATGCTACCAAGCGAGGAGCTCGAATCCGTTGTTTTTATCGGTTTTCGCGTTCTCTGGGGAATAGAGACTTTTTGCTTCGGGCTAGCCACCTATTTTATGCTGATGGTTCCGTCACCTATGAGCCAAACTCTCAAGCGGCTTCTGCTGTCGATGATGGTTCGTGATAAAGCTTTTTTTACGAGTTTTATCGATTACCTCGTTTCTCTAAACTTCTTCAGCTGTTTTTGGAGCTTGCCGACACAGCCATCGCCACTTTCCGACCCATCCTCTATCCACCAGCTTTTGCCATTCGGCTCCCAAAAGGCTGCAATTTCCCAACATACACAGTGTTGATTGGAGCGGTTAGTTCAGCCCGCGTTGAATGAGAAAAACTCTAGGAAATCTTCTTCCTAAGCTGGTGCGGTGTGCACTTCACCTACTTCAGCAGCGGGTTGCTCAAGCGCCGTCTGCTCGATATTGAGCAGCACTACTTTTACCGTTTTATAGAGATTTATGGCTACGTTATGTATCCAACACTGGGCATAACGTTCAGCTGTTTGATATGGGTGCCGTATTTTCAAGGGACGCTGAAGAGATATGATGGTTTGGAGGTAAGGGAAGCTTCAAGCTTTTTCTTATAGCTGTTAATTCAGCTTTGCTTTCATGAGCCGGATTATTGCGGACGGGATCCAATGATCATTGCCAAAGATGCGACTCAACTAAATTTCATGTTTCGGATTGCATTTTGGGTCGCGTCAGTTGGAATGGCCCTCTATCTGACTATTGTCGTCACGGCGATCGCAGAACTATTTTCAAAGGACCTCAAGTTGAGCCCCGGCGCCTACGAAATGCAAAAGTACTTTACAAAAATTTTCCTGCTTCAGGTATAGAGCGAAAACCAAGCGTAAACCATTCATCTCTAGAACGTATGCGCGGTTGGTTGCGTAACGGTGCCTGGAGTTTGTCTATTCCTCGGGCTTATGGGAATTGACAATCCGTTCATATTAACGATTGGCCAGATTACATTTTTACTCGTCGAAGCACACTCGTTGTGTAATGCTTTGGTATTTATTTTTGCCACGAAGGCTTACCGGGAGCGGCTGTGGCGATGGGCAACTTTTGGCAGAGGTATTTCAAGAACATTATGCAAAAATTACCGATTCCAGCAGAAGTGAACGGTGCCAAGATACATGTTGTAAGCCTGCCAAATGCAGCGTCAATCTCCGAAGTCAACGTCATTAACATGAAAACAGCCGTACACCCTACGAGCTTTTCAGAAAGAATCTTTGCTATATAAAATTTTGCAACATAATGGATATTACAAGGTCAAGCACTGGACAATAACAACAAAGCTCCGATAATTTCTAGCTACTAGCAACAATGAGGCCATTTTCCGCGTTCATTCTTTGAACAGCCATCATTAGCTCTGTGGAGACATTGCCGTATAATTAAAACGGCATAAAGGGCAGGCCGGGGGTACGGCAAACACCTGCTGCTTGTGGGCCCAGAATATTATTGTTTAAAGCTGATCCCCAACGAAAAATTATGGCGCTGCCAAGTGTGGACCTTGAAGCTGGGGTCGTATTTGCATATCCGGTATTGTGGCTGGCAGGGACGATCTGCTTTGCTCTTTCGATATATTTCATGTTTACGGTCAAGTCGCCGATTAGCGAAAGTTTGAAGCGGCTTTTGCTTTGCATGATGGTAGGTAGAAATAGCTTTCCCAAGCCCTGAACCAATTTCGAAGTGACTAAAACCTTTTTCAGTTTTTTGCTGAACTCATGGATACGATGGTGACAATATTTCGACCAATAATTTACCTTCCTGCTTTTGTCATCAAACTCCCAAATGACTCCAATTTTCCGACGCTTTCTGTAGTTCTTGGAGCGGTTTCTCACATCTTTAAAGTTTTTACTTTCTCATTTTCAGCAAGTATATTTCCTTTGCTTTTCCGGCGTATTTTTCACCTATTTCCAAAGCGGGATTCTGAAGCGCCGCCTGCTCGACATCGACCAACACTATTACTATCGATTTATGGAAATCTACGCTTATATTATGTTTACTTCTCTAGGGATCACACTGAGCTGCTTCATTTGGGTGCCTTACTTTGAAGGAACGCTGAAAAATTATGACACAGCTGATGTAGGCCAGAAACAAGGTTTCCAAAGTCTTTAGGTGTGCATTTTCGAGTCATTATACTGCGGTCGAGGGCCAATAATTATCGCGAGCCGACCTGACGTATTGAATGCCATGTTTCGGGTTGCATTCTGGATCTCGGCCGTCGGGATTGTGCTCTATTCGACAACCGTATTCACCGCGGTCAAGGAGTTGTTCTACAGCAACGTTAAAAAGAGCAGTAGAAGTACCTATGAGATGCAGAAATACTTTACAAAGATATTTCTATTACAGGTCAAAGAAAACCTAAATCCACTAAAATCCAAATAAGTATTTTTAGAACACTTGTGCGGTTTGTTGTGTAACGATACCGGGTACTTGCTTGTTGCTAGGTCTTATGGGCCTAGATTCGGTTCCTTTGCTACTTACCGGTGCCATTACTTTGTATTTCCTAAATATACCTTTTAAGTCGGTCAAGTTAGCTGTTTATTCATCGAAAGTCACTCGTTATTCAACGGGTTGGTGTTTATTTTTGCTACAAAAGCTTATCGTGAGAAGCTTTGGAGTTGGATGACTTTCCGGAAAGGCAAGTGCTTTATAGACGTTTGCCATTAGATAACTACCAGGGTTGAAAAGCCGCTTCGCGACTTTTCAACCCTGGCCCCCGTCTGCGCCCATGATATTCTTGGCTTTGCATAATTTTCGCGGATTCGGATGGCGAAAAAGGAAAACTGGTCTCTCCGTCCCCTTATACAGGCTACCGCGACGTGCGGTGCATGCTAATTTGGCCCTAACAAAGAGGGGTGTCCGATTTTCCATGAAAAACTTAATTTTAATGTCGAAAACAGCATATTTTGTAAAATCTACTATGTGTGCAGTCATCTCCAGCCCATTACGCACCTAATGACGTATCGAACATACCCCTAAGTACTTCCCTTCTGGAGATACTACTGGAACACGGTGACGGAAGTTGCATTCAAATGCACACACACACACACACACACACAAACACTATTTTTTTTATATATAGTAGGATATTAAATTATTATAACTACGATAGAGAATTTCAGGAAACCATCAGCAAGCCCGAGTCCAAGTCGTAAGCTTACCAAATGTGCTATCGATCACCGAAATCAAGTGCGGTTACCTGAAACCGATAGACGCAACTTCGAAGAGTATCTAGTAAAGGCATATTTCCCAAAAATTCACGTTTATTTCAATCTACAGATCAATAAAACACCTGACCGTAGCCAGCTCTAAACGTACTTTATTTTCATAAGCTCAAAATAGAACGTGTGGGCCGGAATAATTACAAATTTCACCTGTTTCGGAGCAAAGTTTCCGGATCTGCTCCTTGATTTTCAAAGCGTTATCATGCGACTTCCAAGTGAAGAAGCTGAAGCTGTAGTTTCGATTTTATTTCCTGTTTTATGGCTATTGGGTACGCTAGCATTCGGATTGGCTACGTATTTTATGATTACGATAGCTTCGCCGATTACCAAAAACTTGAAACGCTTGCTGTTGAGTGTTTTGGTATGTAATTTGAAGGATTAAATATGCAGATTCGTTCGTTTTCCAAACTATCTCCAGATATTTTCTGAAACCATGGATACGATGATAACAATTTTTCGCCCTATATGCTTTTGCGATTAAAATGCCAAATGATGCAAGCCTACCAATATTGCTAGTGCTAATCTCAGCGGTAAATAGCTACAATCCATGTTTAATGGTGCGAAGCTTTAGCAAATTTACTTTATCGCATTTGGTGGGATGTTATTTACAATGTTCTACACCGGCCTAATGAAGCGGCGACTCCTCGACGTCACCCAAAACTATTTCTATCGATTTCTCGAAATCTACGCTTATCTCATGTTTGCTACATTGATTATAAGCCTCAGCTGCTTTATATGGGTTCCGTACTTTCAAGGATCAATAAGAAGCTTGGGCAACGCCGAGGTCCTCCATTACAATCTTCAAAATCTAAAATTCAGGCCTGTATTTACGAGTCAAGCTTCTGCGGCCGAGCGCCGATACTTCTCGCGAGCAGCCCCGGTGAACTGCACATCCTTTTGCGCGTGGCTTTCTCAATTTGCGCTATTGGTATCATCTTCTACTGCTTTATCGTCTTTTCGGCGGTTGCTGAGCTTTTTTCGACAAACGTAACGATGAGCCCGAGCACATACGAGATGCAAAAGTATTTTACAAAGATATTTCTGCTGCAGGTATCCCAAACAAGTCATTAAAACCTAGAACCTTGAGAATGCCGGCGCCGTATGCTGTGTAACATTTCCAGGTGCATGTTTGATTCTAGGTCTAACCGGCTTTGACGATCTTTGGCTTATCAGAACAGGTGAGCGTCAGCTCGTTACACAAACAAGTTGCTAGTTGGGCAAATAAGCCTTGTTATAATCGAAACACACTCCCTATGCAATGCTGTAGTCTTTATAATGGCGACAAAAACTTATCGAAAACGACTTTGGTGCTGGGCTACTTGTAGTCGAGGCAAGCTATTGAAAGTTTAATAATTTCATACAAAAATCGTCAAAACTAATGGCACAGTTTAGATTTGCAAAAGAACACTTGTATCGTCGTTTCTAGTCTCAAGAATGCTACTACGTGGACGGAAATTCATTCTGTTAATCTGAATGGGAACTCGACGCTGAAAAGTTTGCGATAAGACTTTACCGACAATTCTTATAGCATGTTATTCACACAATCACAGTATTGGTATTCCCAAAAATGTAAAAGAAAACACAGTAAAACGCTGTCAACATGAAACGTGAAATACAGGGGCGCCATGAAGCAGGGACAAGACAAAGGAAAAGGCTAAAAATTTTGGCAAGGATGTTTAGTACTTTCGAAGAAAAAGTTAGGGTGGAAGTGAGGGGCACCGTTTTCGTTGTATCGAATTCGATCACGGAATCCGCGTTGACGCGGCCGGCACGGATCATCGGCGCGGAGCAGGGCTCGCCGTCGCGGCGACCATTTCCTTGTCTAGCTTGCTGCCTAGCATCCAAGTCCTCGAGTTTGCTGAAAAAATTGAATTATAACAAGCCAAAGACACTTAATCGGAAAATGTGTAAGGCTGGAGCAGTTTTACAAAGTATTTACTAGAACGTTAAGAATTCTCACCAATTCACCCGAATTTTATAAATCCGTACTAGACAAATTACACGCTTAGTCAGTGAAAAAGCAGTGTTTACAAATTTTACGTACCTAAGAACATGCCAAACAACCGCCGGTGACCATCCGACGAATCGACAACGCCGGAAATCTCGATCCCCATAGCGCCAAGCTTCAATGAATCGACTGGGCGATTCCCAGGTGGGCCAGGCCGTCGGGTCGGCGCGAAACTCGATACTTTCCGTGTTGATCTCATGGTACTTCCAGCAATTCACCACCATATCTGCCACAAATCCCTTCGAATTCTCGTTGACGTATTCGATGAAATCCGGGGACGGGTCGTCATATTGTGACACACGAATGGAATCGAACTTTCCGGGTGGTTTCAGTGCTGCTACTAGCATCAGCAGCAAATGCGGTTGCGCAAATCCTTGGGTTAGCTCGACGTTCTTCGCCTTCGTTCCCGGAAAGAGGCGCGGCCAATGGCAGACGACCGTGTGGACGGTGGCGTTGGTGAAGAGTACTTTCAAACAGTCCGTTCCTTCGATATGAATCATCGGCAGATCTCGATCAGCGTCTGCGTGCACCATCGTTACCGAATCCTGGCGGAAGATCACGCGATAGTCCCAGCTTTTGCTTCGAATTGTGGCCGCTTTCCAGTTGTATTTGCACGTGTACGCCATCTTGAAGTACGTCTTCGGGTCCACATAGCTCAGGATTTGGTGGAGGATTTCGGGTGGGAGATTTCGGGCGAGCATCGGCTGAAAAAAAAATGTTTCAATGGCCAAGAAAGGAAAAAAACTGATCTGAAAAGCAGCAACAATTCTGGAAATCGAAAAACATACAATGAAAAGAAAGTTGTAAGGAAATTAAAAGTAAGAAAGTGAAGGTTTCTCCATTTTGCCGGTTTTCAAAGATGATTGAAAAGAAGACGGTCCCGTCGCGATCCGTTTCCAAAGTCGACCTTGGCTATCCGGCGCTCGGTTCGCGCATTAATGAGAGGTACGAAGCGCCGCATTTATCACTTTTCTGCGATGCCTCCGAATTTATTTAGAAGTACCAGCGGGAGAGGGGCCGCTTCACGACTAAGCTTGTGAGGTTAGCTTCATTCTACAGGCTGCGGCTCAGGTTTGAGTGACAATGTGAAAATGACTGTTTGAATGGTTATTAGATAGCAGCTGATCCTAGGCTCGTAATTGTCGTTTAGATGCGATCGAAGGAAGAAGGGAAATCGGCGACGAGCTCAATGATGGATAGCAAAAATATAGCAAAAAGACGCAGAACCACAGTACCCCAGGCTCGTACGGTGAAAAGCGACGTACCTGCAGTTAGCTAATTAAATTGATAAATAAATTACTTTGAATGTTTGGGTCAAGGTGCGAGTCGTCAAAAGACGCACATAAACAATTTAAGCAAGCACTCAGGATTTTCCAGGCGTTTAAGAACTTCAAGAGCTCCAAGTCGGCTATAATCTGAAAATGAAAAAGCTGAATTATTTTTCCCGGAATCTCCCTACTGATTTGGCACGCGAAATGACGTATGTTCCCACTGGTGGCAAAAACTCACAACCCAACCCATTTGCCTTAAAAATACATCAGTTTCAATCAACACTATTGCGCTCGAACCGCTCGAATCTCCGCGCCCAAATAAAATTAGCACCAAAACGCAGCGACCAGAATTGCGATAAATGTTCCGTGTTATTTGACCTGATTGAAAAGGAGATTGGGCGTCTTTTGAAAGTGGTTTCAGATGTAAAAATAGAATTGGTCACGTATAAGGGAATTAAATAAAAAATCCCAATACCAGGCCTGGACTTTCTGGCAGCTCCCCCCGATATTCCAGAATAACCCCTTCTACGCGTCGTTTAATAAAAGTCAAAGAGTGCTCCTGATAAAGGGATAAAGTTAAATTTATTGTATATGAATTTTTTAAATTTCACGAAAAAGGCCGATGATTCATCGTTAGGTCGTGGCGCGGGCTCCGGCGGCTTTAAAAGTTACATCTCGTGTACCCCAGAAAATCCGAATCTGGTCCACTAATTTTTTAGCCTTTGAGGCTGTACTCAACCGTTGCGTCCGCGCGAATCCAATTCCAGCACGCAGAAAAGCCAAGTTTCTGTAGGTTGGCGAGCCAGTCCGTGCCAAAATATGAAACTGCCCATCCGCAACCTTCTAGCGCAACATCCTTATTTAGCCGAAATCCTCGCTGTGATTGTGATTGCCTCGGCCAAATTTGGTACTTTTTAGGAAAGTTAATATCTCTAAATTAATTCCTTCTGTTTTATCGTTTCAGGCATCTATTTTGGGCTGTACTGGATTGCCGATGCGGTCACGAAAGTCTTTCCGGCGAATCCGTGGGGCGGTTTTAACGTCGAAAACACGACTACTGAGGAGCAAATGATATCTGCACTGATCTGGTTGCACCCGACGATCGCTGTGGGTTTTTGGGGGAGCGGGGCATTGTGTATCATACGCATTTTTTGCATAGCTTCAATTTTTTTAGTTCAAAATCATTGGATGGTTTGCCAACATCTGGGCGGCGCTGATCATTTTCCGGATACACGGATTGGTGCTGCCAGTTCGGTAGGTTTGCCTGTTTTTCATCCCTTAAATACTAAATCACTTAAGTTCGGTCTTTGCAATTCTATGAAAAAAGTAAAATATTATCATGCATGCAGCGAAGTGGAAATTTACCCCCAGCCCCCCGCCCCCATCTCGCGCAACCCCCATTCCTCCAGGCTACTATGGCTGAACGAATTCTTGGCCGCAGCAGTCTATATAACTGTGCAGCTGACTGTATCGTTGCCGATCTATCTTGGACAGCTCTGGTTAGTGCTGGTTGTTTATTGTAGAGAGAAAAAGAGAGAGAGAGAGATAGATAGATAGAGAGAGGGAAAGAGAGAGCGAGAGAGAGAGAGAGCAAGAAAGAGAAAAGGTTCCCTAGTACTACGTAATACTAACCTGTTACTTAGCCAACCATGCGGAGAATGGTTAGACAGCATCGATGAGTATTGGACCTTCTATACGGACGTGATGGATGTTACCTTCTACCTGGCATACGTGGAATACGTCATCTATTTCCAGCACGACTGGATGATCTTTTGGTAACTTTTTACTTTGCCTGTAGCTGAAATCCTTGCATTCTTGCACAATCTTTTTCAGCCGGTTCCTGGCTCTCTCCTTTGACGGTATCTACTTCAGCTATACGCTCAAATGGCCATGGGCTCAATTTATAATTCCGTATATCGTAATCTACGGGTTGAGGATTCTATCCCCTTATCTCGATCCAAATATTCTGTCAACTTTCCACTTTATATTTACGGGCTTTTTTATTTTAAACTTTGTGGCGGCCTTCGAAATTCTGGTCGTCTATAAATTCAACAAGGTTTGAAGGCATCAGCATACTTTGTCATCTAATTCCCGACTCTTATAAATTCTTTAGCGCAAAAGTACGACCAACAGTAGGAGCGAAAAGGTGTTGATTTTTACGGTAAGCTAAAGCGGCCTCTGTAAGTGCTCACATTTTCCAGCTCGTACTATCCACATTTTCCCATCTATTTATTAATGACATTACAATGATTTACATTATTTTCACCCGGCATTTGATTGGCAGCCGTCTGATGAACATTTCGACGCGGATGCTGACCGGGATTTTACAGCTGCTGAAACAGTGTGGGGCGCCGTAAGCTAAACGCTAAGCTAAGACTTATTTCCCCCAGACTCGTCATCATCCTTTTTATGCGGACAAAGCACGAGGAAAAGTCGACGTTGAGTTCAAGTATGGAGGGAAAGAAAAAGACGAGGCTTACCGTGGCCACCTTGGCCCAGGCTAACCCATCGAAAAACGGTCCAACTACAGTGAGCTAATTGCCCTGAAGAATAAATGGTTTGTGTGTTGAATATAGAAATGGTTCGATCTTAACACTATACATACTCTTCCTTACAATTTTTATAGCCTGCTATGAACGATGCTCACGTAAATAAACTTTGTGATTCTTTACACCAATGGAACGCTACACTTTAGGCACTAATATTGTCTCACGCAATTTGCTGCCAGTTCACACATCATCGCTCGCAAAAATAGCCCCTGAAAGACGTATCTATCTTGTACCTTGTATTTTATCGGGATTCTGAAAACGCCATCAGAAAGAGGAGGCGACGCCTCTGCCACCTGTTTGTGTGTTTTTGCAAAGACAATGTTTTTTTTTCAAATTTATTTTATCCAAAACCCTTGACCGCAATACGCACCTCGACACTCACGAAAGCGACAAGGACAAGGCATGTGACAACGACAAGGGGAAAGAGAGGACGCCAGAGGGGAGGAATCATTCGAATTCGGATGGCTAGCCAGTAAAAGAAGATGTAGAAAAATTCAGAGGACACCATCCGGTGCGACGAGTACTCGGCGAGGGTATCGATTTCGACGTGACATTCTCCGTCCTTACTGCCGATGCGTAGTAATGGTAGTCGCTGCCTTGGCTTCGGGTAGAACACGGCCTCTTCCTCAAGTTCGACTTGTAGCCTGGAAAGTGTGGAATGATTTCGTGCTCTCTCTCTCTCTCTCTCTCTCTCTCTCTCTCGCTCTCTCCCTTTTCATACAATACATCTATGAAACGATTTATAAGATAAACACGGCCTTCAAGAACCTTAAAACAGCACAAGCTACTACCTAAAAAATTCATCATTAACTTACATTATCATATCCATCATAATCTCGTATGGCCATCCGATGAATCGACATCGTGTAAAGTCACGCTTCCCATCCACCCAATCCCGCATGTAGACACAAGGTAGCCGGTCCGCTGGCTCCTCATCCGGATGGGCTCGGAATTCCAGAAACTCGGTCCTTATCCCCAGGTAGCTCTGGAATTGCGGCACTCTATCCACCTCGAATCCTCGTGAATTCTCATTGATGTATTCGATGAATTCCAGGCTCGGATTTTCGAGTCCGGCCACGCGGATCGAATTATACTTCCCGTTCGGTTGAAATATTTGCAATAGATCAACATCCGGCCTCGTGTTATCTGAATCGATTTCCAGGTTCCTCGCCTTCATGCCCGTGAAGTAAAAATCGCTGCCAAGTCGGAGTCTTTCGAGGGTGGCGTGACTGAACAGCATCTGAAGCGTCTGGGGAGCTTCAATGTGTAAGACCTCAATTTCCCAACCGCTTGCCATGGGTACAAGGGAAACGGAAGTGTCTCTGAGGATTAGCAGTTCTTCAAAGTATTTGAGTCGACAATTCTTCACGAGCTCCCAGGTTTGCCTGCTGGCAAGGGCCGTTTGGAAAAGTGATTTTGGTGGCAGGTAGCTCATGATAAGATGTTGAATCTCGACGGGGAGTGGTGGGACTTGCGTCATCTGAAAATTCTAAGCTTAGCCAGTGACTGAATTTCAGACACTGTCGCCATAGTCAAAACCTAGGGCAAGCCGCGAGTGTTTTCCGAAATTCCACCGTGCCAACTCGAGGTTTCCTTTTGAGCTGACAAAACCTGAATAAACATAGGAACGTACCTTCATAGAAGATTGTCGAATCAAGCCGGTCAGTTTTCTGCGGGAAGCTATCTATATAAAGGCAAGGTAAGATAGGGAATTCCAGGACGTATTGACGCCAAACAGTCCTCGATCCCAATATGACCACTTTGTCGGACATCTGCCGATACCAAGCATAAATCGTAGTATGTGATAATAGGAACAGCATGGCGTAATGAATTATTTTGAGGTGCATTAATGGAGGAAATATTTGCAATTGTAATAAATTTTAGGCCTAGAGAAATTAATAGCAATTACTAAAAAAAGCAAAATTAAGTTTTTTTTTTGTGTAAATTTTAACTGAGAAGTCGAACTTTAAGCTCACACTTTATAATTAAACAAATTCACTGTCTTTTCCGCTACTTTTCTAGCCTGTTTGAGCTAATTTTCTGAAAATCCGGCAATTTTTGGCCCCCAGTAATCTTTTCAGCCGGCCGTTCTCACGCGGACGCATTGGCCCTCCCGAAAATAACATCCCTTTTTGCAGCCCTACAAATAATTGCCAATATCCCGCGTTCCCAAAAAACCCTCGGCGAACCGACTTTTTGTTCCCATGGCGATAAACTCGAGCGCCCTGAGGGTCACACTGAGCTATTTGTTTTTCTAAGATTTTGCCCTCTAAAATGGGTCCCGGGGCGAGGGTGATCCATGAGGAATTCCGGAACAATAAGCTCGTTTCCAGGACGTATGCCGAGTCGAAAGGGGTAAGTTTTCTAATTTTGAAATGATGGATTTAGGCTAATCATTGTGGCCCGTTGCTGGAATACAATCAAAACTTTAGTAAGTGTAACTTCTCAAAGAAACCGACTTTTTTAGATTACAATCATGGGCGTAGAAGTTACTCTAATGAACGTAGGAAAAATGGTGATTTTGTTTGTTCTTTGATAAATGGCTTTCTACGTTTTTTAAGATTTTTAAGATTTAGACTTTCTACTTTTTGATTTCCGGATTTTTCTAGGCAACAATCGGCATCGCCGAAACCGTAGCCTACCAAGAATTGATTCTTGCGCTCCGCCTTCTTATGACGAAACTTTTCCTGGTCAAAATCAATGCATTACAGGCTCGAAGGTATTTGTAACCTTTTCATCGTTATCGTTTTAGCAAAAAGCCATCCAAACAGATCACCTTGACATCAAAACATGGGCCCTATTCCCGGGACATCAACAAATTGTAGAGGTATCTTTGATTTTTGAAGTCCAAATTCCACCTGGATCTAGATTGAAAACGTTTCCGAGTACGACCAACGGTTAAAATTCCATGCTAATCGCTGTCGGGCTAGCCACAAGGGCTACAATTTGTGGCCCGGGCGAAAAATGAAGTAAGTGTGGCTGCTACAATATTTAAGTTCACACAAATTAAACGATGGAGTGATTATGCTAATTTTTAGGGTACGTGTCGACGGCCTCGACAGTTTCGAGGCCGACAGCTATTTGATGATCAAAACCTGGGCTGAATATGCAAAATCCGTACCTGAAAGAGTTTGCGTGAAAATGACCGTATTCCCTTAAGCACTGGATAAATTTTTTTAATTTCATGGAATTCAAACGTGTAAAAAATAACAACACGAGACTATTATGGTGCGATCAATAAAAATCACTGCACCGATAAAAACTTGCACCCAAAAACACAGGGGAAACAGAAACAGTCCAAAACTGGTGTTGCCCTACGTTTGCGATTTCGAGCATCAAACCAACTAACACCTCCGCCCAAAAGCCGGTCCCACGGAAGCCTATTTGCACAATTTATCCCAAATCGACGACGATAATAAAAGCACTACTCACACCGGCTGGTGATTCAGGCTGTTACTCTGATTGTTTTCGTGCTCACGCCAGCTTTTGGTTGTTTTACCTTTTTATTGACTTTTACTAGGTGCAGAAAGTTTTAACGACGGTATGTATCGTATTTTGTGCTTCTGGGGAGCTTGTGAAATTTTATATTAGCTTCTCGAACAATTTTTTATCTTTGCAAAAACTGTCACTGGCCGAAACAACAAGTTCTCGACTTTGCCCGAGAAAAGTCCGAGGTACTCGAGCTTCCGAAGCGATTTCCGGGATTGGTCGCAATAAAACGAGAGTCATGGCCCTTATCGGCTGATCAATTTACAATCGCTAGAATCCGTGTCGGTTTCTTAAGGGTCAGAGTATACCCGTCATAATAGGAGATCTCGGTGCCTAGCAAAAAATTCAGACCGGATACGTTACTTGAAACGTCAAAACCTGTAGTTTGTTGTAGCCCGGTTCATCTGCCTAACCATTATTTTCGTAGATCAATCCCCGTAGCATATTGTCTCTTTTCCACTTGGCCCGGGCGCACGTCATAAAGATGGTATGGAGTGTCTATGCCCTATCACCCGCCCCCCTCCGAGTCCCAAATCCGGGGTTTTTGGTCGTAAAGGTTCTTTGCGAGATAACGGAAAGGCATATAGGGGCCGATTAGCGGGTTGGCAAGCGCTTCTGCCACTTGAAGGAAGTCTTCCCACACGAAATGAAGACCCTCATCTTGTTAGCGGCCGTATGCGCCGTCGGGCTCAGCATGGTTCGGTGCGTTTTTTCTTGAGAGTAGCTACGAATCGTTCGCTTACGGCATTTTTGGGGATAGTAAATTAGATCTGGTCGCCCGATTCTTTTGAAATCTATATGATGTGAAAATAAAACTTGGGCAGAGAGGGAGAAAGAGAGAGAGAGAGAGAGAGAGAGAGAGAAAGAGAGAGAGAGAGGGCGAGAGAGAGAGCTAGTATCTTTTAATTCTGATTTTCAGCGTCCCCATGGAGAAACGCGGTGCCCTTAAGCGGCCAAACCTAAAGGCTATCAGCCAACGTCTTCGCAGCCGTCACGACAAGACCTACCAACTCGTCCAGAAGGACGCCTACCAAGAGGGTCTCTCCGATTACGAGAATGTACGTTTTACGCATCGACTTTAGCACCTCAGCCCGTTCTCATCATACTTTCTGCTTAAGAATTTCTGGGGCGAAATCTCATACGTTTTATCGATCCACCATCCATATTATCGATATTATAATCCCTCCCGTCAGGAGTACATCCTTCGATTTCTGGTTTTTCTGATCTCTATCTTCCAAACCTCTTTCCTTTGTTCGCACTTCTCAATAACTCACCATCTTATCTTTTTCTGTTCGATCAGACCACGTTGCTACGTAGGCGAGCGCGATTACGGGAAGCTTCTGGGTAGATAAGCGTTGTGATGAAACAGGCTTAGCTAAAGCGAGGCTTAGAAAATAAAAATGGTTTTTCCAGGCCCAGTACTACGGCTCCGTCACCATCGGAACCCCTGCCCAGAACTTTGCTGTAAGTTTTAGAATAACCTCCGATTTTTGTGTTTTATAAGAGGTTCATAACATATATTTTTAGATCCTTTTCGACACTGGCTCCTCGAACCTGTGGGTGCCATGCGCCGACTGCAAGATCAGCAATATTGCCTGCATGCTGCACAAGAAGGTCAGACAGTCAAAACATCTTGAAGCGGCGTTTTCAAAGCATTTGCAAAGAATCACTATAAAAATTCACTAAAAGTGCCAATTTTTAAGAAGAAAGGGGGCAAACGCCCAAACCCAGCCCCGAAGAAAACCGGGCGAAAAGTGCCAAAGGTTAGAGCGTGCGACTTGACTAATTTAGTTGCGTTTTACATTGATTTCTTTTAGTTTCACGATTTCGTTTATTTGAACACCCACCATTATTTTACATTAATACATTTTTAAATGTATTTTTATTAAATTCAATAATTTTTTAGTAAATTAGATAATTTTAATTTTTTTAGTTCGACTGCAAGAAGTCGAGCACCTGCACCGCCACCGGAGCCCCGTTCGAGATCCAGTACGGCAGTGGATCGATGGCCGGAGTTGTCGATAATGACGTTGTTTGCGTAAGTATTTAAGGCACGGCGTACATATTTACTCTTTTGAACCATGAAATAAGTAAATATTTTAGTTCGGAGGCCTGAGCAGCGGCTTCTGCACTGACAAGACCCAGGGCTTCGCCTGCGCCGAGACCGAGCCCGGAATCTCGTTCGTTGTGAGTTTTCATACGTAGTTTTAAACCGCCTAAGAAGCATTACATTGTAAGCATCACACTGCTGAATTCACCAAAACAATTTTTTAGGCCGCCAAATTCGACGGTATCCTGGGTATGGGCTGGGACTCGATCTCCGTCAACAAGATCCCGCAGCCAATGGACCAGATCTTCGCCAACAGCGTGAGTTTTTGGAAGCGAGAAAGAGAGAGAGAGAGAGAGAGAGAGAGAGAGAGAGAGAAAGAGAGTGACCATAAAATTCTGAATCCTTTCAGGCCATCTGCCCCCAGCAGCTGTTCGCCTTCTGGCTGAACCGTGATCTCGACGACAACGCCAACGGCGGAGAGATGACCCTCTGCGGAACTGACACCGCCCACTACTCTGTATGTAGTAGTAACCTTCGTAGTAAATTCGTTGAACTAAAGAAAGAAACGATTGGGCTATCAATACGTTTAGGGCAACATCGCCTGGGAGCCGCTGATCGCCGAGGACTACTGGCGCATCCAGCTGGACTCGATGAGCATCAAGGGCAAGCAGGTCGCCACCAAGATCGCCGCCATCGTCGACACCGGTACCTCGCTCTTGGCTGGACCCACCGACGCCGTCAAGGAGGTTGGTTTTTATACCCCGACCAGGGTTGAAAAACCGCTTCGCGGCTTTTCAACCCTGGCCCCGTCCAGAACCTGTGAAGTCCTTAATTTGCATGTTTCTTCCTGAATTCTAGCAAAAAAAAAGTGAAAGACGGCTCCTCTGTCCCTTTATATAGGCTCTTCCTCCTTCCATTTCCCCTAACAAACAGGGTTTTACAAAAACCTATTTTTAATAGCGAAAACAGCAATTTTTAAAAATTTTTATGTGTGTGCAGTCGATTTCGGACCATTCTAAACCTATTGTCGTTTCTTCCCTATCCAAAAAACCCTTCCCCGAGGCTGTAGGAGCGGAACATCCTAACGGAAGTGCATGCAAATATACACACACACACACAAACACTATTTTTTTATATATAGTAGGATCATATAGGAAATACAGCTTTTTCTGCTTCAACCTAACGTTTTCAGATCCAAAAGCAAATCGGAGCCTTCTCGCTCGGCAACGGCGAGTACATGGTAGACTGCAACCTGATCCCCCTCCTCCCCAAGGTCACCTTCACCCTTGGAGGACAAAACTTTGTCCTCGAGGGAAAGGACTACGTCCTCAAGATCACTGAGCAGGTAATTAACTTTGTTCACAAGGCCTTTTAACAATAATCTAGGGAGAATCCGTGTGCCTCTCCGGCTTCATGGGCATCGACATCCCGGCCCCGAACGGACCCCTCTGGATCCTTGGAGATGTCTTCATCGGCCGTTTCTACTCCGTCTTCGACCGACAGAACATGCGCGTCGGATTCGCCCAGTCCAAGAAACAATAAATTTATTTACGTTGATGCTTGCCTGTGCATAGTAAATTGTCAAAAAATTATTCGAAGTTAGACACCCTCTCCAATTGAGCGAATTCTTCCCCAAAAAGTTAAACAGAATTCAGAAGCTCTGTATTTTCGGTATTTGGATGCAATTTGACGTGGAAATGCCAAGAGAGAGATGTTCGCAAAACCATCTTTGGAAACGGCATGAAAAACTACATAGGAATTCTATTCAAGATGATTTTTGAAATTAGAATTTATTTGTGGCACAGCGTTCGTCAGTTGGCGCCTTACGTACGACACCTAGCTCGAGTTAAAAGACTGTTTTGAGGTAGAAATTTGCAGTACGAGTCATTACCACCATGGTTTTCAAATCTGTATAAAAACTACCTACTAACTGCATAAGCTTTATAATATTTATTTACAATCATTATCCTGAGCAAAAATCGACGGGATACGCTGTACCAATACACGTTCCGACACTGCACTTCTGCGTGTACGTCACGGCGCCCACGGGGAACCCTGCAACAGGAGTTTGATGGTAAGCTTGATAAGAACTTATTGAAAAAATTAGCAAAAAAACGGATAGTAAAACCCATCACTGACCGTCAATGTTAAATTTGCAGTTATTGCCATTAGGGTGGGTGAGTACGCAAATGGAGAGCAGCGAGAAGTCGAATGCTAAAAAATTTCTATTAATATGCTTAAAATTTTTCTTAAAAATGTTTAAAATCTTAATTTTTTAAATTTTTTTTTGTATCAGAAAACCAGTGTTACATGGCGAAGTCCCAATCAGAAAGCCGCCCGTCTTCTTGAATGCCTTTTGCCATTGATATTGGAAGGTTCCGGTGAAATTCTGAACGCATAAACGTCAATATTTCTCAATTGACATGATTCTAAAGTAAAATTCTTACCCCACAGTTGCTGTAATGCCCGTGATAGTTGATCCCCCCCGCCTTCTCCTGACGGTAGTAGTTGATCCAACTGAAATATTACTTTTTTATTGTTTGACGTGGCTTACTTATGATGCCCATCAACCACCGTGCCCTTCCATTCACCGGAAAACACGTGTTCCCACCCTAAAAATCGATAGATAACCAGTGTGATCATCTAAACCTGAAGACCCGAGAATGCCGTTGTCGCACCGGCTGTAGGTGCCGAACCAGAGGGTGTAAAGTCGGGTCTTCAAGTCGTCAATGTCCTTGCACTTTCCTTAAAGCAGGATTGTTCAATATCTTCTAGAACTGTTTGACTTACCGGCTTTTTGCAAGTAATTCGCAGCCAACTGGAACACAGTCGTATTGGCCGTCATGTCGAGCCAGTCCTTCAGAATGGCAGTGCGAAGGGAGGAATTCGATTCAGGGATACAGGTCTAAAATTCGATAATAAATCGAACAGCCCGAGGATAGGCTCAGGTTCGATAAAAACACCCACGTCAGCGTGGAAAAGCGTCTGGTCGTAGATAGCGATCAATTTCTTGTAAACCGTCCTTTCGAAGAGCGTCTCGTTGACCCAGGTGAACAGTCTGAAAAACTTTGGGGGTTTAGAGCAGAAGTTAGAATTGGTAGATACATTGAAATACCTACGGTGCCGAGCTGACGTCTTGGTTTCCGACCTCTTTCTTGCCCCAGTTTAGGGTGTAATCAGAATACTGGAAGCGATCCACATCGGCGTTGCGCATGGCGGTTACCTCAAGGAAATGGCGTCTTATAGCACTCTCTAAGATAGAGAGGGAGAGAGAAAGCGAGAGAGAGTGAGAGTGAGAGCGAAAGAGTGAGATCGACTGAGGGGGAGAGGAACTGACAGTGCGATAGCGCGAGTTATAAAGATCGGACTCCAAAGAGTCTACTTCAAAACCTACTACAGCCTGAAGTTCGGCATCGGTAGGGGCGGCACTTTTCGGCGGTGCTGGCGTAGTTTTCGTGGCAGCTCCGACGGTCGGGTAGCACTCATCGATCTTTAAAGGAAAAATAAAATTAAGTTTGAACTTGACACAAGTACTTAGGGTTGTCTGATGCATAGGTTAAGTTAACAAGCATCAAAATTGAGTAACTTACCACTTGTTGCCCGTTCACCGTCTTCGTCGTGGCGACCAGGTTCAGGGTGACGCCCTGAATCGTGGCGGCGCACTAAAAGTAGTGGTTAGTTAAGATAAATATAAATTTTCGCTACGATATCTGGGTATTAAATCAAATTATGCAACACCTCTCACCCTAGCGTTTTTCAGACCTTTTTCGGTCATAACCCCCGAGTCCCGAATTTATTTGCCGGATCTCCCCCGGTTCACAGGGTATGAATCAGCGCGCGAGGCCCAGACGCGCCTATGACACCCCAAAATGAGCATCGCGCGATGGGAAAAACGCGTCCACCTTGCCCCGCAGCTGTTCAAATCTCCAAAGGAGCGCCGGAGTGTTCCAGAATAAGGAAAAAAATGGTGGACGCCCTGCGCTCGATGGACCGTTCAAACTTTGATCTTATGATTTCTAGAGTACTGTAGCATGTCGGCGTTCCTATCACAGGCAAAAATTACTGGGAATCCCTCTGATTTTGTCTGGAATTTTTAAAAGAAGAAAATATCAACAAGTAATAGCTCATTTCTTACTGTAGATGACTTAACGTTTTTTTCGTGCTTTGTCTTTCCCTAGTTTAAAATACATGTTTACAAATTTTAAACCCTTTTTTAAATATTTTTGCATTGAGATTTGAATTTACGCGTGAAACTCACATTGCCATCTCCAGCCAACGCGCACACCGTATAGGCCATGAATTCAGCCTCCGGCGACGAATTCAACAGGAACGACTTTTCAATCGCCTCCGCCTTCCCCCACATCCATTGCAAATCGATGTTGATCCCCTAAAAATAGAGCATTTCAAGCGCCCCATATCGATATTTACAATCTGACGCTGTGGCTGCTTATGTTTTCCGCTTTTTTTGCAAATAACCCCCGACCCAGCAGCCCCCGTGATATCAGGAGCTCGATTTTGCCTAACAACAATAATATGGCTCTGCTTTTTTTGCGTCTCAGTACTTTTGCTGTGCTCCTTCCAACATGACGGTGCGATTTTTTAAGACGCTGGACTCCGAGGCGTTTCTGAGGGCCACAGCACCCTCGAGTTTTTGGGGTGATGTGCTGGGGACGTTCAAGGCCAAACGCCAGGTTTATGGTGAGTATTTTTGGGTGATAGCTATGCAGAAAAATTAGTTATTATGTACACAGGTTTAGGTTTACGCTTAGGCCTAAGCTTAGGCTACAACTTAGGCTTAGGTTAGGCTTAGGTTTAGGCTTAAACTTGGGGCGAGGTCTAGAACTCGAATTACAACTCGAATATGTAAGATTTCTTAATCAAATCCGGCCAGACGGCCGACCCTTTGATTCCATAGCTTATCGTGGCAAAAAATCAAGGGACGCTTTTAGAAGGCCATTACATTCCCATCGGCCCCTTTTCCGTCATCTCACCCCCCCCGCCGCCGAGATTGTTTGGGTATCACGGCGTGAATTTAACGATTTCCCGTAGGGGGAAACGGGCCCGGCAAAAACCATCTATTGATTGATCACAGATTCGGTGGGGTCTGAAAAATTTGGCTATTTCTTTTCCTATGCAGATTCACTTTGTCTAGTCATTTTACTAAAATGCTTGTCAAACTCGTTGATGAGGAGACGGGCCTTATTCAAAAGTGTGAGTTTTTTTATAGGAAAAGGCAAAGATTCTAATCGATCGTGTCGGTTGATAATTTACTAGCAACAAACTGGCCAAAGTCATTTAACGTTAAAACGTTTAGATTTGGTAGCGGCATTTTAGAAGCATTTTAGCATCCCGCAAGAATTCCATAGTGTGGTTTTTGCTGCCTGAAAAGCTTGTGGGTACTTGTGCCCTCAAGACGCGCGTTCCACGACAGTCCGGTGCAAAATGGAAATAAAGATAAAAGTCGGCCGTCCTCCGGATGGATGGCTAGCGCGATATGTCGGACCTTCTGATCGCAGTTCGGCCCATTAAACTTTTACTTTGGAGTCATTCCGTTAACCAGTCATTCAGTTCAATTTAAAGTCTCTTTGATAAGTCTAACCGGAAAATCCCATACTTGATTTTCCTTAGAATATCGTAATCATCTCACTTCCAGTCCACATCATGGGTAGCCGTAACAGTGAGGATGTGGAGAATTTTCCGGATGCCGTTGCGAGAAGGGATACCATTATGCTAACAGGTTAATTTTGCTGCCTTTTCCAATCTAAATTAAGGGCATATTTGATACCGAATTGAAGACTGGGCAGTAAATATATTATTCCATTTTTTAGACTCAGAAAGAGAAAAGAAAAGACGGCGCTTGGCTGTTTATCAGATCTTGGAAAAGCCCACAACGTTCACACAGCTTGCCTATAATTTTAGTAAGTTGACGTGCTTTATGTATTAAATATGCAAAATTTAGTCATATTCTTTTTCGTGCTGGTCTCTGTCTTGCTAGGAGCTGTGGCCGATGCTAGCCGTGATAATAAAATGGTGAGCTTTTCATCAATTTTTGCGAAAATTATTAAATTAACTTTTAGATAAAAAGTTGTTGGGTCTAGTAAGTTGGGTGGCGTGATTTTCATGTGTGCGGTGCAATCTGGAGATATTAACCTTATCAAAATTGCTTTTTTTAGTTCTACAACATCAACTTCATCACTGAAGTCATCCTGGCGATATATTTCATATCCGAATTCTCGGTCCGTATGTGGGCCATTGGGGCTGATGTGAAATATCGTGGAGTTTGGGGTAAGTATTGATTTTAAGGACGACTGAAGGCAAAAAAAAAAACGGCATCGCCAATTCGACCGATTTAGGGTTTCTACGCTACGCGCGGCGCCCGGTTTGCATGGTCGATATTTTGATCATATTCGTGACCTTTGCACTATTATTTATCGATCGGGAGAAGAATAGGTATGATTGTTAAATCATTTTCGGAGTTAAAATTCAGAGGAACGCTGCTGGACATATTTCGATTGGTTCAAATCCTTCGTCTATTCCACGTGGATCGCCAAATGTCCACCTGGACGCTGATTTATCGTATGCTGCAGAGGAGTCAGTAAGTTTTTTCACGAATTAAGGTCTAGCATTGACAAGTAACGAGTTATACCTTTATTTTAGCTCGCAACTTACCGCAATTTATTACATTTGCGGAATTGTATTTGTTGCAATGTCACTAACGCTCTTTGAAGTGGAAACCTATTTTCACTATCGACACCTTGGAGGGAACGATACTATTGGTAAGCTAAAAATCCCTAGCTGATACCTTGATCTAGACGCCTCCAATCCGACTTTTACTAATTACGGTGATGCTATGTGGTATAGCTTGGTCTCGGTATTAACTATCGGGTAAGTGGGGTAGAAACGTACAAAAATAGGATTTTTTAGGTATGGCGACATTGTCCCAAAAGAAGGGATCTCAAAGGTGATCACGGCTGTGATGGGTTTTTTGCTAATTTGCATCTGGCAAGCAGCTTCGAGTCTTGTCTCCAGTAAGATAGATCCTTTTAATATGATGTTTTTCTAGTGGGAATGACAATGATGATGGATGAGGATCATAAATCCCAAATGAGCGCCAGGGTGAAAAATGCTGCGGCCGAAGTGATTCAGCATTGGTAAGTTTTGAGTGATCGTTAGCAACTAGCCCCTAGGTATCGCTATCATCTTGCCACTCATCGAAAAGAAACGTGGAATACGATCCCTTACTTTAAGTAGGTATAACTTCAAGTGCGACACATAGGTCTTAGACATGTTTGCGTCAAGCTCTACGCTGCTGATGAGCGCATCAAAAAGACCAGGGAGCTGGAAGAGCAATTGCGGGAGAAAATGATGCGTAAAAAGCAAAAGTAACGGAGTCTAAGCTACGGTAACAAAGGTCATACTTTAGAAAAGAGGAAACAAAGCCCGGCGGCCGCTTGCGGAACTTCTTTTCCCAACTAACCTTCGAAGACCACGGCTGGAATTTCAATCCGGGAAAGCGGGATTCAATTCTGAAGCCTTTTATTAGGGTATGACTGCTTCAAATCCTCCCTCTAAAATTTTTAAATTCTAGACGGAATCCCTCAACTACGTGCACAAGAATTTGGTAAGAAAACGAAAAATATGAAATTTAACAAATTCAGAGCGAACAAGGCTTGGATGTGATGGCTCAGAAGTGCAAGCCAAAGAAGGAGGTCACGATAGTAAGTCCGGTTTTAGCAACTAAAAGATCGGAATTTAGATCGATCCGAAGAGCCCGAAATTAAACAAGCATAATTCTGGATCTACCTCTTCTCTCGACTCTTCTTTTGACTTGTCTGATGTCGAAAAGGAAGTGAATGTTAAGGTAACTTTCAAGCCATTTCGCATGCGTTTTACTACTACGACTATTACTACTATATTTTACCGTTCTCTAGATGTATTACGACCTCCCCTACATGAATCAGCGAAGGTCGAGCACCGATATTCATAGTAAGCTCGCTGAAACTACATAACCAAGAATCGTTTAGCAATCGGTGAAGAGTGCTTACAACGCTACCGACCGTTGATTAGATTTTTCAATTATTTGCTGTTTAATAGGTGTATGTTAAAATTTAGGAGGTAATTATTACGCCCTAATTCCCAGTACCAAATTACAGACTTCGAAAGCCATATCAACTACTCGATGCCGAGGCCGAGTTGTGCGAGATGGAGCATAATAGGAGTCAAATGTTTCATGAGGTGAGCCTTGAAAACCAGCTTTTGAAGGGAATTTTAGCTCGAGCTTCGACTTGCGGCTACTGTCGGGAAAGCTGCACAATCTCCGTTTAGCCCGGTTAAAGGTTAGTTTCATAATACCTTGAACTCGACCCCTAATTTCTCATTGGGTTCGCGTCACGGCACTACACTTTGCTACCATTTTCCGCTGACCTGACCCCTGATAAGAACGGCGTCTGTTTTTAGACAAACTGTCGATCGAACAGAGATTGGTGGCCACGGAGCAAGCGGTGGAAAAGATCAATGCAAAGCAGCAGGAGTCGCTACGATTGATCGAGGCCATTGCAGAAGCGCTAGGGTGCGCCAGGTTCCGGCGTATGCTTAAGGTTGGGTAGTGTGGAATTGGGAGCTTTCATTGGACTTAGGCTTGGGCTTAGGCTTAGGCTTAGGCTTAGGCTTAGGCTTAGGCTTAGGCTTAGGCTTAGGCTTAGGCTTAGGCTTAGGCTTAGGCTTAGGCTTAGGCTTAGGCTTAGGCTTAGGCTTGGGCTTAGGCTTAGGCTTAGGCTTAGGCTTAGGCTTAGGCTTAGGCTTAGGCTTAGGCTTAGGCTTAGGCTTGGGCTAGGCTTGGGCTTAGGCTTGGAGGCTTAGGCTTAGGGCTTAGGCTAGGCTTAGGCTTAGGCTTAGGCTTAGGCTTAAGCTAGGCTTAGGCTTAGCTTAGGCTTAGGCTTAGGCTTAGACTTAGGCTTAAGTCTTAGGCTTTGACGAAACGAAAAGGCCTAAAACTTTTGTACTCATTTAAGCCTAAAGATGTAAGATACAATTTCTACTATCAAATGTAACATATTTGAGTCCAAAGCTTCTAAAAATCCACACCACCCGACTCAAAAACCCAGTGTAACTCCCGCTTGTAAAGTCAGAAATGTGCGTGTTCGCCTCGGTGGACTTTGAGACAAAGGAACGGATGAAGGACCCGCTGCAGCTCAAAATCGAGCAGTTCGAGAAGAAGCAGAAAATTCAGCGCAAAGAACTCGACGCCGAGACGATCGAGGAGCTTGGAGACCTGCCCGCTGTCTCCCATACCCTCCCCAAAGTGTCCGTCAGCCGAAAACCCAGTGTGCTGCAGAAGAATATCTTCCAGGCCCCCCCCGGGGAGGAGTTGATACATTTGGAAGAGCAGGACTAGCTGTCCCATCCCCACGGCTTGACGTATTTGTACAGCTATACCGTACACCTAGTGTTGTGATGCTATTCAGGATTGTCGTCTCGCTTTGTACATAATTTCCCCCCATGTTATCCTCCATAATATCTTCCCTAATTTGCATAATTATAGCATAAATGAAGCGACGCTAGCAACCGCTATTGAATGCCCGTCGGTCGATCGACGGCGTAAATTCAGTCGTCAACAGACCTTGCCCGAAGTCATGTGAAAGATATGTGGTGCTTGTAAATAAATTATTTTGTCGTATTCCACCGGATTAACACCTGTACGTTTGTATGTAAACCGACCTTATTCCTGGTGAACCATCCATGATAGTCGACGGCGGCGTCTTTCTCTTTCAAGTAGAAGCCGAGCCAGTTGTTGCCTCGGATGATGCTGTTCGCTTGGGTCTCGCCGACGAATACTGATTCGAAACCTGAAAGAAATAGAGTCTATAAGTGGAGTACGAGGTTTTATTTCCAGGAAATAAACCGATTTTCAGAACCAACCAGAGGGCGAGAATGAGAGAGAGAGAGGAGAGAGAGAGAGAGAGAGAGAGAGAGAGAGAGAGCGATACGGACCTTCACTTTTCGCTTCGAAATTTTTTGATCTCAACCATCACACTTCAACTTCCCCAGTTTCCTGCCCATGTTTGCCCAAAGAGCGTCACGTTTTCCCAAACCCCCTTGACTTCTTATCACCCTCCCTTCCATGTTCTCCCTCCTTACCGGAACTCCCAGTAGCTTGTCCCCTGGCGTACGGCGTGAACCATAGGGCGCTCAGCTGCTGTTTGAAGACGGTCGGGTCCTGGGAGACGTGACCTAGACAAAAACTTAATTTGATGACCTCTCAGTACCGTAATCTTGGAGGTACGTCCAGGCAATGGTGTAAGCCTTTGTAGTCGATATTTTCTCGATGAAATCAGAAGCAGCGGCCTGTCTAGCGGACGTCATCGGATCGTCTTGGTCGGAATCGGGAATGGTGAAGGTGGCCTGAAAAAAAATACCAATTTTTAGGAAAATTTTTCAGCTATTTTGTATCAGAAAACTTACAACTAAGTTGTTGAAGCTGGCATAAGTCGGACCGCTCAACAAAGTGGCGTCAACCAGTGTGAAAAGTCTATAGAAATTTTGTGAAGTGTCTATAAAGAACTTACGGGTTTGGCGCATTGTCGTGATCAGGGTGTGCTTTTGAAGCCATATTCTAAATTGCGAATTTCAGAATCTCTCTCTCTCTTGCTCTTACTTGCCCTTTCTTTCCCTCTCTCACTCTCTCTAACTCTCGATATGTGTCTCTCTCTTCCCAGCTATGCCTTTACCTGATAGTTGATCGTAACTTGCGTGTCCTGAGCTCGATTGTCATCAGCATCAAATAGCTGGTTTAACAAGGAGTTTGTGTCCAGAACTTGGAACGGCTGCGCACGGGCTGAAAACATCTATGTTTTAAAAGGAAATCAAGAACTACCGTATCCGGTCCCCGCGAGCAACCCGATAGCGAGCACCAATCGGAGTAGCATTTTGAGTTGTTGATTCCACCTCCCACCCAGGTTATACTAAAGCGGTAAAATCGTATTAAATGCAGAAAAAAATGTAAAAAGAGCATCGAAAAACTAGAAATGGTATTTTTAGGTATATCTACATATCAGTGGTATTAAACAGCGAAGAATGAAAATACACAAATCGATGCCGCGAAAGTGAACGCGAAAAACCCCATAAATGTTCCGCATCCATCTCAGCGACACGCCCTTTTAAAGTTGAACCCCAATGCAAAAGTGTGCCCCTCCGGATCCACGGGTCTCGAAGAGACGAAGTTGCCAAAATACCGTCAAAATGTGATAAGTTATCTGGGCTGCCATGTGGGCTCCCGGCACTCCTCCCCCGGTCGATCTGCCCCCGTCATCACGAATTTTCGTGGAAAAAGCCGCAGAACTTTGAAATTGGGGGGAATTTCGTAGAATGTCTGGGCGTTGCAGACGGGTCTGATCAAGCAACATTTTTTGTAGTCTATACTTGCTTCTCTATGATTTCACATAGAAAGTATAGACGCGAATTTAATAGGAAAAATTTAACGTATTTTATGCAGACCATGCCAAAAGTTTTAAAAATCCCAGCACTGATATATTGATGCTTGAATTCGGGCAGATGTTGGCTTGGTAAGTCGAAAATTTGCAATCGATATGCAAATTCGGGGCAAGGACACGATTACTTACATTCAATAATTAGAAACGAGACTATTTTATTACCTTTTAAATTTAAATCAGATCAATCTTGATTTTTCATCACTGAAATTGATCTTCAGGTATTACTAGCAAGTCTAGAACATTAAATTGTTGATTGACTATTGATGACGACCCGAAAATCCTTCTTCTAACCCTTTACTTGAATTTTATATTTTTTAATATTTTGAGAATGACTACAGAATCCCCAGATTCCGTTGCACTCCCCTTTGCACACCTGGGTTATGCGAAGCTGACGATGGAGTAGGCTAGCTCTTTCCAGAGCCGTGCAAAAATTTTGCTTACCTCGGAAATTGTCGCAATTCAGCGGCAATAACTCTAAAGCTGGATATTTCACAGAGAATGCTGCATAATTTGACGCTCAATCCACCGCGGAATCCGCCCATCGAATATGATGAGCATTTGCAGGAATTGAGTGATAATGTTTGCAGGTAAGAAGTATAGATTTTAGAGCGAAGCAATCCTCTATGAACTCGGTTATTAAAAGAGCTAGTATTTTAGGATCAACGCTGTTGTAATCCGAGCTATCAGTCTAAATACCGCTCCTACTTCTTCTCTAATAATCCCGCAATATGAAATGTTAGTGGTGGGAAAGAATAATGGAGAGGTAGGGACGACATTTTAGGCTCAAACTTTATACGACTATATAAATTTTATACAATAATTTATACTATAAACTAACAAACTATAATCAATTTTCAGATAGTTTTCGTACCTTATAACGTCGACCCGAGCCATGATTCCCGAAGAACTGTGGCTTCAGTGAAAAACAGACAACGTATAAAATCGCCAATCACGGCGCTAGCCATTGGAAGGAGATCCAGCCAGCATCCTGAGTGAGTTTAATAAGCTTATGGCAAAAATGCATATATTTAGTGAAGAAATCGTATCCATCTCAGGAAATGGGTTCTTGCAAGTGATACAACCGCCTCCGTTGGATTCTAATATTGAGCCGGAGTAAGTTGGAGCTTGCTTTAGGATCATGATCATCGAATGAAAAGATCAAAAATTTGTCTTTTAGAGTCGTGCACACCCAGATGATTCACGCAAACATCATGAGCGCCTATTTTCACGCCGTTGAAAAACGACATCACATGGAGCTGGTGGTGGTGATGACGGATCGAGTTGGTAAGGAGTCGAAATGACCTTTTTGCCTCTATTTTGGTCTCTCTCCCTCCTCCACCAAACTCTTGAATTCCAGTCCGGACCTATCGATGGGATGACGAGTTACGACGCTTTGCTGCTGTTGGCAAATGGGAGCTGACAGGACAAATAACTGCAGTGGCTATTGGAGAGTAAGTATTGAGCGATTAGAAACAGATAAAACCTATCGAAAATTTTTTTAGTGCTCCACTCTCTGGCCCGGAATGCTGGGCGAAGCTTCACCAATCCGTTCGATACGTCAGTTGCCGGTTGGGAACAAAGAAATCGGTAATTCTTCTATGAAACCCTAATTCAAAACACTCCCTGAAGGGTGTCATAACTCAGAAATGGAAATTCTAGAGAAGAATCTTACCAAAACAAGTTTCATTTCCAGGTCGAGGTCCAACAGATGAAAAGCGATCGCGCCGAGCGTTCGCTGATAATGCCCTATCGCTGCTACTTTGTCGACATTTTTGAGCCAAAAATTCAGGAAATTGTGATTTTGGGTGTGCCTGGTTGCTGAAGATTACGAAGATTCGCAAATTTTTAGCAAATATGAGAGAACGGAAGCTTTTCACACCCTCTAAAGAACTAGCCGCTGCCGCCACGTTGCGATTACAAACCTACAGTATCCTAACGATAATTGACAAGTTCGGAATTGTATTTATTTATGCGTATAATGAGAAGACGATCAAGGTTGGTTAATTGGATTTAGAGGTCATAAAGAGCTTCTTTTTCAGAAGCTTCTTCTACCTCCAATAATTCGTTTCACCTCACTACCGGAATGCGTTAATATTTCCATATGCCATCACAACAATTGCTTGGTGATTGCCGTCACGGCACATTCTAAAAAAGTAAGATGTTGCAGATTGCCAAATTTTTAATATTTTAGGTCCAAATCCATACCGTATCCATGGATTTTATTGTCGATTTGATGGCGGAGATGGAGGCGAATTCAGCCGCTGAAATTGAGACGCTACGAAAGGAATCTGTTTCTTTGTTGGAAACGATACCTTCGTCCCTCTAGTTTTGTAGCACACGTTTTGTAAATATTGATTTGTTAATGTTTCGGAAGGATTATTTGTTGTGATATATTTGTACACAGTGCCTGGATTTTAAGGGTAATAAAAAATTTGAACAAGACTGCTTGATCTACGCTTAAGTCTTCCTAAGCGTAAGCCTACACCAAGCATAAACCTAAGCCTAAGCCTATTCTAAGCCTTTTAAGCCCAAGCCTAGGCCTAAACGAAGCCCAAGCCAAGCCTCTTGCCTCTAAACCAAAAGTTAAGCGCAGACGAAAAACTCAAAGACCCTGCTATCGAAACCAGCATAAATCTTTCCGACCCTCTCACCTTCTCCAAAACTCATTACCGGAACCATCACCCTCAAAACCGCAAAAGCAGACCCCCCCGCCCGACCTGGTACACAGAGCTTTACAGCCCAAGTGGCCCTATTGCTTTTTCTGTTTTTTGTTTACGGCCCCGGACACCCTAGCGGCAAAAAAGTGTCCCCCTCTCCTTTCTCCCGTCGACTTGAAGTGGTCTCCGTACCGTCACCCCGCGCTTTAAAAAGTGTAAAATTGAAGACACGTGTCGACCTTGGGTCTTTCTTTCTGTTTCAGGCATGGCGGAAGGGATCGCTTTACATAAACGGTAGCCGGGGAACTCGCCGGGAATTCGATCCAGGTTTAGGGTTGAGGCCCAATTTTATCGAGTTCAGCAACTTTTTTGGCTTTATATCGTTTAGTTTAAAAATTCTTATAAAGCGTGCTTTTTTGAGCTTTCAAAGAACCGTCTTTCAAAGCAAAAATCTGAGCAGATTCAGCATTAGGCTTAGACTTCGGCCTAGTTTTAGGCTTAATGTCAGGCTTAGACCTCGTTTCAAGCCTGGGCTTGGCTTAGCTGTAGGCTTAGGCTTAGACTTAGCCGTGGTTTTAGGCTTGAAATTTGGCTTAGTTTTAGGGTTGGGCTTTGGATTTTAAACTTCGATTTGGGCTTAGGTTTAGGTCGAGGATCAGGTCAAGATTAGGCTGTGCCGGGGGTTATTAAGCTGAGGCTTAGGCTAGGCTTAACCGTGGGCTTAGGTTAGGCTTCGACTTGCCTGGCTTGTTAGACCTATGCATCGGCAACAGGCTTCATCCGGGCTCCAATTCCCCCCTTAAGCCCAAACCTTCAAGCTGTTTTTCAAACTCGACGAACACCAAGTTTTCTCCGCCACTTAACAAGCAAACTGACAGCTCGAATTTCAGAAATCGGATCCATCTTTGACCGGCTGAGGGGAAGGGGACATGGGTAGAGGAAAGGGATAAGCCGTGCGTAAGACAGACGCCAACTGTTGTTCCTCGTTTTCGTGTGCTCGGGGGGCTGATTCGTTTCATCCGTGTCTTTTCCTGCTTGGCCATGGCCAATCATTTCCAACCCCCTCGGCAATTATCTACGATTTCTTGTGCGGGGCACGTCTTTTGGGTTGTTGCAATTTTTGTGGGGCTTCGGTTGGCTGCTAATTGTATTCCCGGAAAAATTAGGTTAATTTGCATAAAATTTCAGTGCAGGAAATGAAGTAACCAAGTCCCAAAATTGCAGAATAGGTCGATATAAATTAAAATGTCCATTTGGATCCATATCTCTGAGTTATATTTCTTAAATCATGGAATCCATATAATCAATCGGTTTTAGGCACAAACTCTCCAGATCGGGATGTAAATCAACCTTCTCAAAATGCTGTATACAACGCCATCAAGTAAGAATCGTGGTTTTATACTAATTTTCACTATTTTAGCAGTCCGTCATGGCCGAGTTTTTCGTACGTTCAGCCAGGACCTCGAATCCGTCGCGCTGGCCGTTATAACGTTTATGTCGGGAGGTATGGTATAAAAATTTTCAACTAAAGTATCAAATTTTCAGGTATTCTAATGTTCTTCACTTGCTTTATCGTCACCAAATGTTTCCAGTGCTACAAAGCCAGGTTGAGGAGGAAGAGGAGAAAGTGAGTCCTAAGCCTAAGCCTAAGCCTACGCACAAGTCCAAGCCTAAGTTTATTTAATGACTTGTAGGGCCCTTGGCGAGGATGACGAAGACGATGATTTCAACGCCGCATTGGCAGGTGGCCATATGCAATTTGAGGATTCTGAAGATTCCACTGAAGAAACTGATGACGGACGTCAGGTTTCTCATGCGTAACCTATCCCTAAGATAGCAAATGAACCTTAATTTCATGTCTTTTGCATATTCGTTTTATTTTCTCGAAAACCGGTGCTCCGCCATGCATTTATCCCCCTGTGATCGTGTGTGAATTTCCGATAAAATATTGGTACAGGTTGAGTTGAAGTTGCTGGCGTTGAAATCGAAAAGGAGGGCGCAGAATTAATAATTCCCAGGCACTCGGAAAAGTCGGCTCAAGGTCTCTGAATATTTGGCGCTAATTATGAAATGCCGGCTTTGAGTTGTATATTTTGGTATCTAGCTTTAATCGTTTTTACTATTGGGGAAGAAGGTACTACGCAAACATCCAAGGTATTGAATACGTTACAAAATTAAGCAAGTCTCTGTCTAGCTCCGCGACTTGCTATGGGATAATGCGTACGATCTCAATATTTTGCCCTCGGAGGTGAAGAAGGGCAATCCGGAAGAAGCGGAAGCTGTCGAAGCCCTGCATGAGCCGGATGCCAGTTCGGAAGCACCAGATGATGAGCTTGAGACCGAGGTTCCAAAGGTACCGGGCAGTCAAGCTCAAACGCAGAAAGCCGAAGCTCCAAACTTTCCGATCGTCAATAATCAGATTGCGAAAGTGGCTAGCGATAAGCCATCATTGAACACAACCTTGGCATCAGGTAATAAAATGTTCATTCACTATACACTATAGGTTAATAGCTTTCGAGTATCAGTATTCTTAACAATTCAGGTAATAACTTTTAGAAAATACTACGACAATCTTAACAACAGAGAGCAATACACCCAAAACCGACATGGACTTGGCGAGCCTCTTGAAAGAACTTTTTTTTCGTGGCGATACCTCGAGAAATCCGCAAGCTACGACAAGTCTACAAATCCTGGAAAATATCATCTCACTGACTGACTCGAGAATTGCCAGCACAACAAGTTCGCGAAGTCCCATATCCACGACCCTGACTGGCAAGTGAATAGCTAGCTAAAAGCAAAAATATTTTAGTTTAGCAGGACCTGTCGCATTGAACTCCTCGAGCTCGAGTTTACCAGTTTCAGCAACGCCTCCGCAACCGGAACATGCGACAAGCACGGGAGATTCAGTAAATATGAATGGGAGCTCAGAACTGATCGGTATCAGAGATTAAATATTTTAAGTAGATTTTCCGAATTTAGATACCTCGTCGCCGGCTATCAAACTGGATTCTGCTGCCCAACTACTGCCTGGCGGATCGACGCTTGATCAAAGTGCCTCTGACAGCTCGGCGAATTCGAGCAGTTCAACTTTTAATACGGGCCCAAACTCGACAGGTCCGTTTTAAAAGTGAAAAAGACCAATGCTTGGGCCGTTCAGCTTCTTCTCCCTCTCCGGTCACCACCAATGTATCCAGGCAAAACCTCGAAGCCAAAGTCGAGACGCTGATCCAGCAAATCAACGATTTGAAAGAAAATCTTAATGTTGGTGCTCTATTATTGAGATGTTGACGGCTACTGTAGCTGCTGGATTAATTTTGGGGTAAACCCATCCGCGCGCCGCGTTCTTGCGCGATTCAGAATTAATGAGACGCAACGAGTCTGGAAATAGTTTCCCAGCTGCACTAATTTTTTGCCCATGCGATGGTCAGGGTTGCTCTGCTGTTGCTGGCCCCTTTTTGCATATTTTTGCAGATCCGTTGTGTAAGTAGTAATTCCAGATGGCAAATTAAAAAAATCTTATACATGTATGTATGTAATTTTTTAGGTTCAGCAAATTCCGCAACCCACGCAAAAAGCCTCAAAAGCCCCGAGCCAAACTGCCCAAGCAGTCCAAGCAACCCAAGCTCAACCAGTTGGCGCTAATGCAAAAATCCCCGGATCTCAAGATGCCACCGAAAAAGTTCCAGTGGCTAAAGAAGCAGAAGGCCAAGCTCAGCCTGGGCAGGAAGCTCAAGTTCTGGTCGGGCAAAGTCAAGGAAAAATAGGAAAAGTGAAGGATGGACCGGCTCAGCCTTCCGATGGCCCAACTTTGTCTGGACCTGCCTCAGCAGGTATACAAGGGTTTCAAGGTGTTATAGCGCCGAGCCTTGGGCCGAAGCTTGCAATTTCCCAACAGCCAGAGGTGTTTCAACAAATTCCAGTCTCTCGGGACCTTGAACTAAAATCTGAACCGGCCAAGATGAATGGATTGCAAAATCCTATTTTGATCTCCACCCAGCAAGTCGTTGAGCAACCCGTATTGGACAATGTACCGGTGACTCCTGTTTTAAAAGTTCATCCACAGACGCAGCCGAGGAATTCTCAAGTTATAGTGGAGAATGTTACCGGTTCAGAAAATGCAGGTGCATCTAGCCTGTACTCGGAGCTTGCAACTCAGCAAAAACCGCACGTTGCCCCTCGGATTCCAGTTGCTCAAAACGTTCCGATACAACCGGAAGTTGCAACGACCAGTATAAGGGAGTCTATTTTAATCCCTACCCAGCATGAGACAGCGGTCTTCAGCAACCACATGCCGATGCTGACGGCTGATGTTCCGAAGGTTCAGCCATCGGCTCAAACCCTGCCTTCTGGAGCTCTACAACCGGGGCAAGTACCTGGGCAAGGAAATACAGTTACACTGAGCGTTGGGCCTAAGCTTCCGATTCAGAAACAACCAAAACCTTCCCCGCAAGTTCCAGTCCTTGAAAAGGTTCCAGTAACGCTAAATACACAACCTCAAGCTACAAAGGTGAGTGTAGTGGTTCAGCACCAACCGGAAGGATTTCGCAACGTCGCACCGCTGATTCCTGTGCCGGACATTCTGCCACAGACTCAGATCGCAGCGCAGGAACAACCAACTGCACCAAGCGCCAAGTTGGACGAAGTCGCCCCCATAAACTTTGTTGAAAACTTTCCCCAGGTATTAGAATCAAGCCCAGACCTTCAGCATGATTCTGTGGCGAGGCCTGAACCCGGTGCTAATTCTGCAAATAAATCTCCACCTAGAAACTTGCAGGAGAACGAACTAGCCCATGAACATTCTAGACAGGTGGCGGGAACCCAAGAACCCAAAACCAGTCAGGTGCACCATGTCGAAACAGTGGCTGGCCAGTTAAAACAACAACCCGCTAAAACTCCAGTAGCTGGCAAAGGTCAGGCCGAAGCGCATTCAAAACGTCTGAAGCCAACGAAATCTGAAGCTTCCCCAAAGCAGATGCCAAGTGATGAAAAGCCGACCAACCCTTCGAAGTCTGCGGTGCAACAATCCGGCCAAGCAGTTCAAAAGCAAACCCAACCCCAACAAATGAAACTAAGGATGAGCGGAAGAAAAGTGGAAGCCTTTGCGTTAGATGCACGAGACAACACGGCTCACAAAGCTCCACTGGTTAGGATGGATCCGAGCTTGGAATCAGACGCTGCGAGCAGAGCTGCAAAAGCAAATTCTAAAATTCTGAAAGATGACATCAAAAAAGCGGGGAGACCATTGCCTAGAAAAATGCCTGAAAACCCGAAAGCTTTGCCGATTAAGCCCCAGCAGATTGTTAAAGGGACCCAGCATACCAAAAAACCTGCGCAAAAGCCGAATAAACAACAAAGCCCAGTGAAACACACGTTGAAACCCAGATATTCAGGGGGAAATGTAAAATTCAAGTCAAAAACCGGAAAAGCGGTGGGCAACCAGCCAAAGAACAAGCCCGTACGTAAAGAACGACAGCGAAGTTTGAGTCAACGTGGACGCAAAATCAAGAGCGACGATGGACAAAAGGATACGGGAGATGGTGAGGACAGCCCCAAGGACGATCAGCATCATCAAGAAGGTAAGGACAGGCAAGGAGATCTCGGTTAAAATTACTCCTCGCGTCACGATTCGCGTTTCAACCCCTGGGGAAAACGATAAGGCCTAAGCCTAAGCCCAAGCCTAAGCGCCGGTGAGATTCCCAAGCCTAAGCTGAACTTCCTGAGCCTAAGTTCAACCTGAACCTAAGCCCAACAATCGTTTTTATACGCACTTTAATTCGGGGCATCTAACTGCTAAGCTATTTTAATTGCAAGGTAGAGGACTCCCGATTTTATAATTCCTAATTGACAGAATATTTCTTACTTTGTTGCTCTAATCGGCGCCAGGTGTTTTAGCTTGGCAGTTTCTGCAAAGATTCGATTTTTTGAACAACCGGTATAGAAAAATTTAGATCAAAAACCCGAACCCGCAGAACAACCCCCCGGCAACATCGTCGCCGCCGAGGAGGTGGAAATATAAAACATCCCGAAGTTACGATAAATTCCCAGGTATTAGAAACGGGTATGGTCGCGATGAATAAGGATGTGACAAAGTGCGACAACTTTGCGAAACAAACGAATGCGATTAGCAGTGAAGTGAAGACCGTTCAAGTGTGAGTAGTTTTTGCAGGGATAATATAAAGATCACCTTTAGAACTCAAACAATCCATTATGAGTCGACGCAGGCGAAAATTGGGGTGGGATTGGCTTTGTTTCTAAATTTTTCCCAAAAAAATTGCTTTAACTTTAAAGCATTCACTCAATTTTCATTTCAGCTCTCCCAAACCTCGCAAGCGAACCAGTTCTTCTTTGCCGGCTGTGAAAACGCGCAGCAGTTCGAGCAGGGTGAGATGGAGAAAATTAAGACCCAGGTAATTCCAGATTTTTTAAATTAGGAGATTACACCGCCTGAAATGATCTGAAAATTCAGCAACTAGTCGCGTGGGAAGAGTTCGACGCTGCAATCAAGGTCGGCGATTATGCGCTTCGGCTTTTTGAGGATGCGTTCAAGGCCGGATCCGACTTTGAGTAGGTCCAGGTGTATTTTTTCGTTATTTTTTCTAGCACCAAGTTGACGGCACTTTGGCAAAAGGACTGCGATCTCGAATTGGTGGTAGGTAGCTTAACGAAGTTAGGCTTAAGCTTAAGCCTAAGCTCCAGACCAACGCATGGCCTTTAGCTAGCCGGTCACTCGATGGGCGCGTGCGTGGCGCAAATGATCGCCCTTACGGTGATTACCAGGCAAAGATGGCGCCGTACCGGCGTTAGATATTTTGGATTCGGAGCGCCGCGATGCGGCAATGAGGTTTGGCGGTTTTTTCCAGTTCGGCCAGGGTGCTTTTATGACCATCGCAAACCCTCTGTAAACCCCAGGAGATCTATTTTTTGGTTTCAGAACTACGCAGCCCTATTCGATGCAGTGGTTTTGTCAAGACAGAGATATTACCAACATGGGGATCCCGTCAGGGTTAGTCTCTCTCTCTCTCTCTCTCTCTCTCTCACTCTTTCTCCCTCTCTGAAACTCTTATTTTCAGGATATTCCAGACGAACCCAGTTGTAACCACGAAAACCGGAATGCCACCTTTGATTTGACGCGAACGGAAGATTGTTGGTTCCACGGATCGGTTGACTTGGTTTTGAAAAATACACTAAGCCCAAGTTTAGTTGTTTGGCTTTAAGGAGGACAAGGACTATGTCTTCAAGCCGACCGCTGAGTGGCAAGAAAGTAAGGCGCTGTAATTTCTCTATGTCTACTGTCACTTTTATAGCCGGTGTGGCCGAGGACCTTGGCTCGCACTTTGGATTCAATAAATTTAACGACACGGCGATGGAGATCACTTGTTGGTTTTCTAAAGATCATTTAGAACGATATGATTTTTTTTCTCCGGGCTTAGGGTTAGACATATGTGCTTAGGCTAATGAATTTGCCATTATTATACCAAAATCTGTTGCTTTGTAAGATATGATAAATTTGCCGATATATGTATCATTCATTTCAGGCTGCATAAACGACTCGGACTGTGCTGCTCTGAGTATGGAATGCGGCACGAAGGGAGTTTGCAAGGCGCCAGGTTGGCATTACATCAGCTTTTTTAGATAACTTTCTGTACAAAAACGCCTAAAATATCAATGTATTTTAGAGCCAACAACTGAACCTCCTCCTTCTCCCACCCACCCAGGTTCAACAATATCGCCAACAGGATCGGCTGCACCCCCCGAATCCGACACAACAACGACGCAGACAACACACGAAGAACCGGCGGAACCGGCAACAGAAACTACGTCGGCCACGATAAGAACAGAACCAACTACCACAACTGCGCCACCAGTGGAGCCACCTAAAGAGACAGAGGAACCAGTGGATCCTAACAAGGATACGCAGCCACCTGCGGATCCACCATCCAACCAAAATTTGCCGGTGGAGCCTTCCAAACCCGGCGAACCCCCAATCCAGTCCGCTTCCATGGCAGCACCCCAAGAAGCTGGTAACTCGTAGTAAATTCAGCATCGATTCTGCAACAATTAAAACGTGCAAGAGGAATCGCTGTCTAAAGCAGGCTTTAATGGGATAACGACCTCATAAGTAATCGCTGACGCGAGGGACAGAAAATGTATCTGTGTCTCGCCCCTGGGCGCGTTCTCTGTCCTGTTGGCTATTGGTCAAAAAGTCGATCAGGGGTTATCGACCTATGCCGTCGGTACGATTCAAATTTCTGCTAGACTTTACTTAACCCCCACCCCCAGCCGGAAGCTCCAAATGTTTTCCGGCCCTTTTTGCTGCTTCTGGCGGGGGAGGGGGTTAAAGTAGTTCACCTGAATTTTTGGCAAATAGCCAGCGGTGCAGATCATACGTCCAGGCTGGTGAGCAGAGACACCCCTTTACCAGGCGTAACCGATTGGCTTATGCCGTCTTTAGCTCTTTAGAGTTATTTTAAGTAACAGTTTTTAGTGACCAGAATTCGGTTCTAATTTTTATCTGAGACCTTCTTACTTTTCCTCAAAAGCCTGGTGAATTGATCTAACTCCTAGTACGCTGTCACTGAAACACCGCAGGTATTTTTTTTCAGCACTGATGATCGATCAACTGGATATTATGACCGTGGACCAAACGCAACCACGTATACGGGGTACATGTGGCTGCTACCGGAAATATTTACGCGGATTGGACTACAGCCTATTCTATATATCGCTCTATAGCTCACAGGCCGACCAACAATATCGTCCAGGGCTTCTAAAATTCCTCAAGGAGACAAAAGCGATGGGCAGGAAAATCGAGGTATTATTTTTAACACTTTGTCATTTGCTTTTGAATATAATTATTTGGTACCGAAGGGCCCCTTGTAAGCAGTTTTGGTTTCCCGCATAGGAAATCCAGCTTTTTGCTTCTATCAACATATTCTTTCATTTCAGTTATTTTTCTTTCAACAATACGAGGGCGAAGGCGCGGAAAAGGACAACAATGAGAAAAACTTTGAAAAAATGAAAAAAGAGCTGCCCGAAGACACAATTCTACGACCCTACCATCCGGAACACTCCGTGCAACTCGCGCAAAAAGTTCATGCCACCTTAGTCCCGTGGTTTGTGCTGTGGAGGAAGGGGAAGATGGTGCAAATCGACCAGAAGGAGCTTGTAAAAGGCTTTTGGGATATTCACTTGGGGGCCAATACGACGAAGGCCTTCCTGGAAGCGGTGGATAAAATTCAATAAATTGTGAGGAGCCTCGAGAGACAGACATAGCATCATAAACACTAACAATAAGAAAAAAACACTAGCTTCCGGTCTGGGAAATGAGTTTGTTTTCTTTCGACTTTCGATCTAGCGCGGTTTTGGGGGAACTGAGGAAACGTAAATTTGCCAGCATGCCTGAATTCACATGCACACAATAAGACGTTTTTGAGTGACATCCCAGTTTTGAGCACGACCAAGCCTATACTCCAGCAAAAATCCGAGAGAGAAAAATTTGTTCAAAGAGCCAGCACACGCAAATATTCGATCGCTTCCGCTAAAACCGTTTTTATCACGATGTAATCCCAGTTTTATAAAATGTTTGAAATTCTGCGCATGGTAGTTCATTCAATAGAACTTCTGTTTCTGCATGAGCAGCGCTATGACTTTTGCCGAATTCCCTCGCATCTTGCTGGAGTCCGAACTTTAGGGTTTTGAGTAGTTTATCAATAAATGTGCTGTAACTTTTTCAAAATACATATCAATCAAAAATTGGAAAACAAATTCGAAATCAGCGCAAAATTCGGCACAGGATAGGTGTCGTTCTGCTGAAAACTGGGATGTCACTCAAAAAGTCTCCTTGTCACGGATTGTGCTCGCCTTGTTGTCCGAAGAATAGTGGATCTTTTCTTCTGCGCTTCCCTTTCGGTCCGAATTGTCGGGGGGAATAGATCAACAGCCTAGTTAGCTGTACCCAAATTAATTCAGAAACGTCACAACCAATGAATTCGCTGTCTATACACGGCCACCCAAACTTTCCCCTACATTACAGCCACTGGTTCATAATCAATAGTTCTAAAAGCATGAGTGCCTGCTAATTATGCTCCAGTTCTTATTACTCTACGCAGCATTTCTAGGCGTTGCCTGCAGCCAGTAAGTTGTGCCCAAGAACCGGCTTTCTTAGCTTTGATAAACCTCCAAAAATGTCTCTTAGTTCCCTGTTCACTGGTGAAATTGCCGGGCAACCGATAGAAACCGTCGTGAAGACCGTGAGCAATAATAGTCACGTGCAGAGATGAAAAATGATTTAGTACGAATATTTCGGGGCGGCCGTGACGAATCAAAATCTGGGCAGTTGGGCGGATATTCTCTATCATTACAAGACGCCGATCAGTCATTATAAAATATTGAATTGGTAGGGAAATGGATATACACAAGAATGTCAAAATCTAGGACTACCACGGAACATCATTGGAATCGACACGAGTTGTGGAACCCGCATATTCGATTTGGGGTGCGGAGCGCTTTAGAATTGTTCTCAATTTCGCAAGCAAATGTAGTTATGAGTCCTACTAATAATTAGAATAACTCAATGTACTTTATTTGCAGTTCGCCGTCTCGCACGAATTCAAGCACTTCATCTTCTGGGTGTCCGGCGCCAACGACTCGGTGGCTTTTAAAAGCGCGATGCTGAACGCCTAAAAAAAGACGTAGTTTTTCAATTCGAATTCTAACGAGCAAAGTTATGTAAAATAATATAATTCATACGTTTAATAAATCCTATCTACACTATCTGTTCAGAAATTGGTAGAATGGCCGTTGTTTGAGAAGCAGGATTATGTGTTGGTGTCAAGTTTGATGCTCGAGGCGTACGAAATCTTCAAGGAAGCCGCCTTAACAACAATTCGGTTTGATATCAATTCCGGATGCGGTACCAAAAGGACTTAAGCGAACGCACCGAAGAGGTCTGCGCCGCCGAAAGTTGCGACTATGAATTTGTGGTAGGTTTGTAGACGTAATAAAAGTAGAGGCATTCGTTTCTATTCATTGTTTCAAAAATGGTTTAGTTATGTAAATTGCGGCATTCTGATGATTTGAGATTATGAAATTTCGACATTCTGAAATCCGGACATCATGAAATTTTGACAACAGAATTTCGCCATAGAAAATTTAAACATCACGAGGCCGTTTTCTTCCTTAAATTCATTCTAAGAAAATCGTCCCGTGTTGGCTAGAGATTTCCAAAGTTGTGATTTCCATACTTTCCAGTTCACCGGCCACTCTATCGGAGGCTGCATCTCGCAAATGTTAGCCGTTGAAGCGGCCCTGAAGAAACATTGGTCCCGACTAAAAATTTCCTACCTCGGCTTTGCCCCGACACGATGCGGGAATGTGGTTTGCCGAAACATCTCTAAATACAGTTGCTTTTAGAATTATGCCGCGCTGGTACAAGCCCTGTTCACAAATGTGTACCGCTACCAATGGAATAACGATGCGTTGACGGTGTGGGAAGTCGAAAACCACTTTAAGCGTTTGTTTTCAGAACATCCCCTACGACGAAGTGTGCAATCGATATGATCCGAAGGCGCTACCGTAATCGGGATTTTATATGAAATCGGGGTTTTCGAGGAAGGGGCACGCTAAAAACCCCCACATAGCCTATAGCCCGGGAGGCCAAAATGCCGACAGCGAAAATCCCGCATAAGAGAAAATGGCATCCAAGCTACGGCGTCGGGGCTTGGCTTGTCGGTATTTCGGCTTGTCGGTGCGTGGAGCTCTCCGATTGCCTTCAAAATCCCTCAATTCCCCCACTTTCATAACTCAAAATTCCCGGTTTAGCGTGACAGAAGGTCACACATCAATTTACACGAGCGAAGACGCTATTGGAATACCTTGCTTTTATCATGCTGGGGTAAGTATTTGGGAAGGAATAGGGTACCTCAAGCATAGGGTAGACTTCTGAGCTTCTGAGCATGAACACACAAATTGCTAGAATCAGCGTTAAAGGCTTAAATTCTATAGCTTTGGCTTGGGTTTAGGCTTATGTGGAAGCTCAGGATTCGCTTGGCTTAGACTAAGGCCCAACCATACACTTACCCACTACCACCAGTCTTTTTTTGTTTGTTTCAGAAACTCCTGATTGGCAAATGGGCTGCAGATGGCAAAACACGAGAAATCTGGGGAAATTTTCCATTTGAAGACATGTTTGTGTTGCCCGGGGAATTCGGTGAGTTCTGGCCGAAACGAAAGATTTTCGTGGAAATTTTAAACAATGTTTAAAATTTCCACGAAAACTACGGCTTTGGCTGAGCATATTCAACTTACACCATCTCAAATTTTGATATTTTGGTCTCCCATTCACATAGTTTTTTGCAGTATCAACCGACTTGGACCACATCGGATTCGACGGGAATCAGGACTTGCTCAGGTTTTCGGAGCTTAAATGTACGTTCGCAGCAATTTCATCCATTTCTCAATCGAATTTTTGTAGCTTGCGCATCTTTCGACGACGAAGAGCCTTTTCAATGCCACTGGGGCCAATGGATTACGACGAAACCAATGAGACCGCATTGGGTGCATAGACACCCGGCGGAAGACGCGGAGACCGCACCACTGGGGAAAGCGCCGTTTGGAAGTTGTTGTGGTAGAGGAATGGAGACTGGTAGATTTCAGGCTGTAATGTGACCGAGAATTGGTGTCCTCTTCGTACGAGATGCCTGATCTACAAAGATGCCAAACCATTAAATCATGAACCGTCGCCGTGGTGTCGACGTGATGAGAACGGTATGGAATAGTTTATGTTGTGTCGGGATCCGATTTTCTGAATGTGACAACAGACTGTATGTTTTTAGAATGTGTCAGCGACGATGAGTGTCGCAGTGTCCATGGAAAGACGTTTCGTTGCATCAACTTCGAATGCACAGAGTACAGCGATGTTAAAATAGTGAAAAAGAGTCAGTTATTTAATGGTACATAAAAGTATTTATCTAAAGGGTGTCCCAAAAAAACGAACCGTCGGGGCATTTTGCCGTGTTACATCCAATCAACCCGAAATTTGGACCAAAGGTGTATCAGACCCTAATTAACAACAGTCCTGACTAATAGCCCCGTAGCTAGAGTAGGTCTCGAGTTATAAGGAAAATACTGAATTCCCCCGCAATTCTAAGCATTTATTCGGCTATCTTTTTGGACCTTGCATCGATTTGCATCGATTTCCGGCTGCGAATCCTTAATTTCGCGTAAGATCTTGGGTAATTTTGCGTTGTAAAAATCGTTTCAAACAAAGTTTATTTGGCTAATTTTCATCCGGAAAAAATTTCTTAAGGTAAAGAAGGCTTACCGGATCATTTTCACTTAATGTTTAAGGGGTCTAATTCCACGAAAACCCTGTGAAAAATGGAATATAAAGTTTGTTTTTGCTATAACTCGAGAACTACTATAGCTACGGGGCTAAAAGTCAGGATTGTTGTTGTTTAGGATCTGATACACCTCTGAACTAAATTTCGGTTAATTGGATGTAACACGGCAAAATGCCAGATGGTTCGTTTTTTGGGACACCCTGTATACTATAAACTACAGCGCATAATAGCCGGAAAATGAGCGAAAAATGGGAAAAATATGCTTCTTATTTCAGACCAAACGCGCAATAATGATATAACGCGCCTCTTTCACATGCAAATGAAATCTTTAGCCTCGTTCAACATAGACGTCGTATTGCCATTGCTAAATGGATATACAAAATACTATCGAATGAATCGGACTGAAGTGGATCGAGAGAGATGGGACAGTCAAGATGGCAAGCTAGCGCTGGTCGCCGCCGTCGTACCGTATATGACACAGTATTCATCCGAGATAACTCGATTTCCCTGCTCAACAATTGTCGTTCGGCGAATCGTCGATTTTCTGAGGAAATATTTCGCTGCAAAATGGGGCGGGATGCCGTTTGACGTGATCATGTCACCGGCGCATCCGATACCTCGTTATTTATTTGAGGAGTGAGTACTGAATTTTTTTTGCTTCTATTTCAAAGGGAATGAGCAGAGTCCGAACCAAAACGATTTTTCACTCTGAGTACCCTAAATACTACCAGGGAATGGTCTCCGCTCGGCCTCGAATTTCGGGTTGAAAGTTAGAGCATCTTGTCTAGCTCGACGAGACCAATCGATTGATGTGACTTTTAGCTGCGGATACTGTAATACAACAAAGTTACAGCCACCTAAAGTTTTTGACCGCCCTTCATAACCCCTCCCCAAGCCCCCTGCCCCGTGGTCTGGTGGCCTAGTGGTGTAGTAGACGGCACCTGGGGAATCTGTCGAGTGTTCGGACCCCTCACGAATTATATTTTTTGTTTTTTTCCTCCGAAGCCTCCGTTCTGAAAGCCGTGAATAACTTTTTATTCATCATTTCTGGAAAATTAATTTTTTGGGCCACAGTGGCTGATGCTCCAGCCTCCGAAAATATTAGATAAATTTCCAACAAATGGGTAATCATCTTTACAAATCATTATAGTGCCCCAGATTTCATGAAAATTTATTATCTATTTTATTATTCTTGAAATGACCCTCCAATCTTGTCAAAATTTTCCACAATCTTTCACGGGTGGCATTTTTGGCGGGAGTGCTTCCTGGGCGAATCCGAACACTCGACAGATTCCCCCAGGCGCCGTCTACTACACCACTAGGCCACCAGACCACGGTGGAGCGGGCGTGGGAAGGGCTTATGGGGCAGTCCAAAATTTTTGAGGGCTGTAACTTTGTTCTATTACAATATTCGTAGCTAAATTTAATTTATCGATTATTAACTTTTAAAACGATAGTTAATCGATTCGTCTCGTCGAGCTCTACAAGATGAGCTACCTTTCAACCCGAAATTCGAGGCCGAGCTGAGACCATTCCCTAGTGAGTAGCTTTAGATACTTCAACCAAACGGCTGACGAAGACTGGATCCTGACAAACTACGACCCATCCCGCACTCGAAACCTGTTCGAATTTGCCGAACCGCCCATAAACAAGCAGGAATGGGGCACGAGTCGATGCTTCCAATATTATATTCTGATGTCGGGTGGTGATGCGCGTGCAGCCATGGTTGACAGCTACATCTCCGCCGACTTTTCCACCGATGTGAATTCCGAAGAATGGCTCGGCCCATTGAAGTGGGTTTGGGGCCGGGCCGGCGCGGAAACTTCATTTCAACGTCTGAAGGTGATATGGGAGAAAGAGACTGGAGTTACGGAGCCTCCTCAATAAAGAGTTTGATCGTGTTTTTGAAACAATTGTTAAGCGTTATCGACGAAGTGAATAAAAATGATATCGTCGGCTTAATCTACGATTTGGTATCAGAACCCTCTCCCTCTCTCTCTATGTATCCCTCTCTGTATCGCCCTCTCACTCTCTCTTTCTCTCACTCTCTCTATCTCTTTCTCTCACTCTCTCTATTTCGTTCTCTCTCTTTCTCTCTCTTTCTCTCTCTCTTGCTCTCTCTCTCTCTTTTTCTTACGTTCCTTCTCGCTCTCTCTCTTTCTCTCCCTCTTTTTCACTCTCTTCCTCCATTCCGTCACCGATTGCACCCTTAATCCGCGTAATAAGTCGCCAAAATACGCGCTTAGCATTATCGACACTGACCTTTTGGGCATACAGGGGGTACAAGGAGGCACAGGAGCCGATGGCCAACATTGATCTGTCTACCCCCGCTGATAAGAAAACGTCCATTTTTCTGAAATTCACTAAAAATTCCATCAAATGGAGTTCCGCCCGGCGTTGAGGCGAAAATTGTTGTTGGCCGTTGTTTATATCGGGCTATTTTTGGACTATGCATTGTTGACGTCAGTTGGTAAAGTTGTGGTCTTTTTATGTCATTTTCCTGGTATTTAGAGCCGATTTTACCCGCATTCTTCTTGGAGCAAGATTCAAAGTCTAGTGGGATCCCGGTGGTGAGCTTTTTTAGGTACCCTGATCTGATGTCGTCCGTTTTTGAAGCGCAGACCAATTAGACCAGCGAACAATTTTTCCAGATAAGGGGACCTGACAAGAGAGATCCGCTAGTTTTGAGAGGATCAAAGATAGCTTCAGGGTTTCCTGCATACATTAAAAAGCGCTTTCATCTTCCTACGAAATTCAAGCTATAACATTTGAAAACAACAAAAAGTATAGCTTTTGCGTTGTGTTATAACAAATAATTGAAAGGCTTAAGCTTCAAAACGAACCCTAACAGCCCATTTTTCGAAATTACAAGGATTTGGATTTAGGCAAACACCCCAAACCCAGCTCTCCTGGCCGACGAAAATAGCCGTCTGGGTATTTTGGTAGGCATGAAATGTCTGGTCCAGGTGTTTACCCAGCCTTTTATTGGCCCGTTGACAACAAGGTATACTTTTCATTAAATATTTCCGCAAATTCAAATATCAGAATCGGGTTCTCGGTGCCGCTTTTTATCGGATTCATCATCATGATCGTTTCCACAATCTTATTTGCGTTCGGGCAAAGCTATGGGGTGCTTTTTGCGGCCCGGGCAATTCAAGGGATCGGGTCTGCAAGTGTGGCAACGGCTGGTATGCAAAGTTTAGGGATTAAGCTCGAGAAAATTTCTAGGAATGGGAATGCTGGCCCAACAATATTCCGACGATAAGGAGAGAGCACATTACATGGGGATAGCCATGGGCGGGATGGCGTTGGGTAAGCAGGTTTTCCTGATTTGCCGATTAATAAAAGCTCTAACTAGGAGACAAACTACGCCGTCGGTTAATATATATCTCTAACTATCCGAGTCTTAGATATTCCAACACAGCTATTTTTAAGGCCTCCTCGTTGGCCCACCCTACGGAGGTGTAATGTATGATCTTTTGGAGGCAAAGAAGTTTGTTTCTTGCTTTTGGCCGGCGTTGCAATTCTTGGTGCCGGTAAGGCGCTTTGAAAAATGGAAAGGCTCGATTTTAGCATTACAACTATTTGTTTTACCCCCAAAAATCCATTACGCCGAGAACGTCGGTGACAGTACGTCGATGCGGCGGCTGCTGATGGACCCGAGAGTTCTCATTGCTGCCGGTAAGCATCAATACTGAGGTCAAATTTCATTTTTGCTTTTCAGGGTCAATCGTCGTTGCAAACCTCGGCTTAGGCGTGCTGATTCCGGGGTTAATGCTATGGATGGTGGAGAAATGGAATACCTCTGCGACTGGATTGGGTAGAAATGCAATCAAACTTATCCTGCTTCCATAGGCTTCATCTTCGTGCCTGGTTGTATCGCGTACTTGGCGGGGACCACATTTTTGCCAACGTTGACTATTAAAATTGGAAGGTAACGTTCCAAAAGATCTCTCTCCTCTCTTACGTCAACTTTCAGATGGCTCTGCGTTCTCATCGTCCTCCCGATCATTGCCGTTTGCCTAGCCTTGATGTCAGTGGCGCCGTCGATTTATGTAGTCGTTATCCCAATCACAATTATTGGCATCGGCATCGGTAAGGAAAAACCCTGATTCAACAATCAGTTTCCTAGGTTTTGTCGATTCCGCAATGATCCCACTACTTGGACAGCTTGCCTATCAAAAGCATAAGGAGGAAGAAGGTAGTGAATCACCGGTTGAATAAATAGTTTCAATTTCAGAAACCCTCTGCGAGACCTCGCCGCTGATCCCCGGAGATTTATTAGACCTGGATAGCCCTAGTGAAACATCGTTGGAGACTGGTAACTACGCCGGTAAGCATATTACGGTGTGCTATGCATTAACTTGGTAAAGCGGCGCAAGGGATACATCATGTGTTTTAGCAAACGCCTATGCGATCAGTGACGCCGGGCTGAGCATTGCCTATTTTGTTGCTCCAATATCTTCCGGTCCTCTCGTCCACGCCATCGGATTTCCTTGGTTTGCCCTAAAATTATAGGAAACCGATGCTGATAGTCATAGTGTAATGATGTACATAGGTGTATGGCTTTAGGATGACGTGGAGCTTCGCCATCTTCATCTGCCTCTTTGCCCCCCTTGCTCTCGTTCTCCGGAAGCCGATCACCAGGGAGCGGACAAGACACGATTCCGCATTGCCGAATCGACGATAATATCGTGAAATAACGGGTCTATAATCTAATAAAGTTTTTTCGCTTATAAATTTATCACAAGATGCGAGGCCATCTACCTTTCCCTTACAAATCGGGCACTTTTAGTAGATACTTAGAAATCCAAATATTTCGCCAACCCCTCACCAAAGCACACCACTTTTTACCAGTAGTCCCGACTAGTCCACGCTCTTTCCGCTATCTGATTTTGAGTTGCAGCTAGGAACAATGAGCCTGAACGCCATCAAGGCGTGGGAACTCCGTGAGACTGATAAAAAAACTGAAAGCTACCCGGGAAGTACGTGCTATACAATCAGTTCTAAAAATGGAATCGCCGCGTCAGAAATTTCTAATTCTAGCAGTGGTTTTCTTAGCATTATTACTGGATTATATGCTGTTAACGGCATTGGGTAAAATTTTGCTTTATAGAGCTTTAGGTTTACCAAAATACCTGTGCCTATGCTATCAAGCTCCGCATTACTCTGACTGACCCTTTTTAAAACATTTAGCATCTTTTCAGAACCAATTGCACCTATTATACTATTAAAACAAACGCATGTTGTCTCGGATGATACGGTAAAAAGGGATCTGCCGGGAGTCACCGTTTAGAATTCGACGACTTCGACCCGGCGTAGTGGCCAAGATATTCCGCTCGGAATTCTCATCGCCTCCAAATCAATCGTACAAATGTTTGTAAACCCTGTTATTGGCATGGTCACGGAAAGGTAAAACCCAAATTTGAAAAAAAAACATATGTTAGAATCGGGTATTCCATCCCTTTATTTGGCGGTTACATGGTGATGACATTTTCCACATTGCTGTTCTCATTTGCTGAATCTTATGACTTTTTGTTGATAGCCCGCTCGATTCAAGGGATTGGCGCCTCCTGTGCTGCTACAGCAGGCTTAGACCTTTTGTTCTTATATATTTTATTGCATTGAAGGCCTGGGATTGACTGCCGAGCTCTACCAGGAAGAAGCCGAGCGGAGTAAGGCTATGGGAATAGCGCTTGGAGGGATGTCGCTTGGTATGGTTTCGGCCTTGTTTTTCCTCTACTCTTAATCTTATGTTTATAAAATATAAATATACTCTAAAATTAAAAAATGCCACATGCAAAACCTTTAATAATTTAGGTTTATTGGCCGGAGCCCCGTACGGCGGGCTCCTATATCAGTTATTCAACTCGAAGCTTCTACCTTTTCTAGTCCTAGCAATTCTGGGCGTTATCGGTTCCGGTGGTTTCAAACTGAATTTATATGTTTTTCATTTCAAGCCCTACAAATAGTGGTACTTCCGCCAAAAGTTGAGAAACGAAAGATCGAATCTCGACCTAATTCCCTAAGGAAATTGCTTCTCGATCCATACGTCATGGCAGCCGCTGGTAAGTTATGACTTTTTGATCATCTAAACAATTTATAGCCGCAATCTTGGCTTCAAATTTTGCAATTGCTGTCTTATCACCTGGACTTTCGCTCTGGATGATCGAGAAATGGGATTCAAATGCGCTGGATCTAGGTAACAACAGTACTAAAAAAAGAGGTTCTCCGATCAGGACTGCTTTTTCTGCCCTCCTCTGTCGCTTACCTAGCTGGATCTCAGGTATTTCCAATGCTGTCTGTAAAACTTGGAAGGTAAAAAGGCAACATTTACATTGTAAAGGTTTTTAGTTGGCTTTGCATCCTGGTTTCCCTGCCAATAATCGCAACTTGTCTCGCAACAATGTCCTTATTCAATTCCCAATGGGGCCTTGCCGCCCCGATTACGGTGATCGGGCTCATGTTAAGTGGGCTTTATAAGTATCATTCTAAAAACAGAATGGCGTTAATAGGTCTCATTGAAACATCTGTTTTACCACTTATGGGAACATTGGCAGACGCTAGACAGAACGGAGTATATGGTATCTTTTGGCACTTAAAACTCTATTAATTTTTAGGAAATATCTATGCAATTACTGACGGGTCTATGAGTTTAGCATTTTGTTCTGGAGGCCTCTTGTCTGGATTGCTAATGGATAGGATCGGATTTCCAAAGTCAGCCGCATTAGATTTTTTTTGATGCCCTTCAGAATGACGTGGATAATTTCGGTCCTCATCGCCTCGGTGTCTCCACTTTCTCTCTTATTACGAAAATATTCGGTAAGCATTTAAAAATATATATAATTGCGTTTGGGGCCCAATGAACGACGAAAAAGATAAACCGATGGCCGAATAGAATACTATTTATAAAATGTATATAATTTTTTTCATCGCATAAACATTACTGCCGCTACAATGTTTGCCGCCTAAACAACACACCACATTTATAAAGAATATTTTTAATACCTGAAAAAGTATGAGAAACACAATGTCGACACGGTCGAATATCCGAATCCAGAGTAATTTCCACTCGTCTTCTACCCGGTCGCGCTCTATGTATTGCTTGACGAGATGAAGGGTCTAAAAATATTAAAGATAAGTTACAAACAGTGTGATTGTCTACCTGTGTCATTTGTTTTTGAGCTTTATAAGCATCATGGCTCCCATTCATAATCCGAATATGGTCTATGGGGGCACCAATTCGCTGCGGGTCCACTTGCGCAGAGATTTTTCGCAACTTCCGTTGACGACAGGAGAGGAGCACGATTTGGCATAGTCTGAAAATGAACAATGACCATCTGAAACACATATAGTCTTTACGGTGCTAATGCAGTTAGGGGGAGGGGGGCAGTCCAGAATTGGTAGTAAGGGGTTGCGAGGCGCTCAAGCTACTTGGTTTTCAGCTTAAGCCTAGGCTTAACTTAGCTTTAAGCCTAAGCTAAGCTTATCTTGAGCTTCAAATTTACTTACGAGGTCAAAATGGGGTCTGTTATGGGTTAGCTTAGAAAGCTTAGCTCAAGCTAGGCTCCAGCTTCATTTGTTAGAAGCTAAGCTTAGGCTTAGGCTTAGCTTAGCTTTTCCAGAGGCTTCGAGTTTAAAAACGGCATTTGGAGCGTTTCGTCGTCAAAATCCAGACTGCCCACCCAAGTGCATTAGCACGGTCCTTACAAATCCGGGGGCCTCCAATTCCGTTGATCAGCCCGCGCATGGATTTCGAATAGCGTGATCGAGATGATTGTGGCTATTGCGCAGATAAAAATTTCGGCAACGATGTAGTTACCTAGAAAATAGGTAATAATGACTCTAAGATAAAATATAGCATATAATACTGAGGAAGAACATTAGTCCTTGTTTGACGCAGACCTAATAAGGGCAACTTTTCGATCTTTGGCATCATCTCCGATAGCAAATTTAACAGCATCGAAATGGCAAGTAGCATCCCAAGGCCGAGTTCTGCCTAAAATTGCAATTTTCAAATTACTGTGCGCAAAACCCGTTGTGTTCTTTCTCTGCGTTGACTAAATGGGGTGAAAATGCCCAAGACGGTCAGCAGCCCGATGATCAAAGTTGGGGTCTGAAACCTTTGAATCTAGACCTCCGCTTGGCTTACGCCTAGTAAGTCTAGCCTAAGAGTCTGCTATACCTGTATAACCATCACATAATACACCGGCTTCCGCTTCAAGTTAATTTGATAGACGACTTGTGAGTACTTCAGTGTCGTACCTTTCCAGTCCCATGGCTAAAACTACTTGAATTTCGACGCTCACATTAATATACCACAAATTTTGGAACAACCCTAATCTCCAGTAGCGACCATTCGGCATTCCCATAATAGGCAATCCCACCGCTATTCTTAAAGCCTGGTTTTTTTTCGTAAAGCCGATCTAAATACCTCTCCAGCTAATACACCCTTATCCGGCTCCAAAACATCCTTGTTTGCACGCAGGGAAATTTGGCTAAAGTACCAGGAGCCGAGAGGAAGTTCGCATTTCTAAAAACAGGTTTCGCTAAAGATACCCCCCTTATTAAAACCTGTTTATCATAAGGAAAATCTTCGAATTTGAGCTCGCAAAGGGAGGTGATCTAGAGAAAATAAGCGTGATAAAATGTCGCGTTTAGCACACACTTCCAGGGTAGAATATTTTACAAAACTTTCACATTAATTAAGATTACCGTTTTTGCCAATGACATTCGCACAGTTCCATCGTATTCCAAATCGGCAGATGCAATCTGCTCAGGCACCAAATTCACGGAATCAATCCTAAAATCAAATAATTCAATGGTACACGTTAGTTTTTACGTGTTGTCATATATTAAATCTGGTATCCATATATAGTCATGCCGAACTTTCACTATATCAGAGTCTTCAAACTGCGCCGGATCCCATGCTAATCTCGGGTCGTTCCACAACTAAACCATCAAAATTTCAAAGCTAAAAATTTGCCGAATTACCAGCACTATCTCATTAAAAAAGTGAATCGTTTCTTGTTGTTGGTCCTTAAATAGATTTACTTGATTATGCGCTTTTAACAACGTTGGCTTACCATCTCAACCAGTCGAAATGCATTCAATGTAACATTAATAAACAACATCTCCCCCGCATCCAGCGGAAAATCATTCTTATTGTAAAAAGACGGCTTCAAAACTTCATTTAGTACTTGTTGTTCAATAAAATTCATGCTTCGCGATCTTTAAAGTATCGCGAATAGTGAGTGGTGGAGATGTGCCAGCTGTAACCCGAGAGGTCTCATCCCATGAATTGTTCAGCAGTTCCGACCGGGCTCACTAGATCGAGATGTTTGTTTGTCGTCGAAATTTGACTTTCTATCGAAAGTTGCAGCACCTTCTTGGGCGGAAATTGGAAAAATAAGAAAGGGACCGGAACGATGAAGTAGGTAAAATGATTTATCGCATAAAAAGACCAGAAACTACGATATTTGCCGCTTGGAAAACGACCAAGAGTACGAGGTCGATACGGTCGAATATTCGGGTCCAAAGAAGGAGCCATTCTCGCTCGACATGCTCCCGATTCATATAGCCGCGCACGAGGTGGAGTGTCTAAAGGGATTGAGAAGTGGGAGAATCGACCCTTTGTGTCGACTTTGTGCTGATAGCTACGCGACATGCTAAATGACGTTCTTCTGATGCCAGAACGCATGTTACAACAGCTTTGCCGGGGGTTATGGCACGTAACGTAGCTATCGGGACCTAGTCGACAGCGTGAGTGGGTTTTAGCACTTAACAATCCAATTAAAATTTATAACAAGATGTATTCGCTCAGCAAAACACTCATTTACTTGCCTCACCTGTGTCAACTGTCCCTTCACCACATTCAGCCGATAGATATCATCCTTTTCTGACAATTCTTGATGTGATGGCGGACGGTCCCGAGGTGGATCAGAAGATACGGCAAACTTTTTGCTGCCCCAGGCGAACAGCACGATTTTTATTAACCTAAAAATATTTTTCGACCTTATCTTAGATCATCTCTTCTCATCTTAAAAATTCAAAACTCACCAATCCGGAGGTTGCCAATTCCTCTGCGCAGCTCGGGAGTGAATCTCCAAAAGAACCATGCTGACCACGATCCCTATTGAGCAGATAAAAATCTCGGCAATGATGTAGTTGCCTGGGAAATCGTGTAGGTAAGGTATAGATTTTACGTTAATCTACCTAATAATGGCAACCTCGAAGTTTTTGGCATGTAGCTGGAAACCAAATTCAACATCATTGTAATAGCTAACAGCATATTCAAGCCTAGCTCGACCTGAAATCTGAAGTTTGGCCTCAGGATTGGGCTTCTTACGGTTTGCCATCGCTCCATTCTTTGACTATGCGGCGTAAACATGCCGAAAATCGTGACGGTGCCGATAATGAGGGTTGGGGTCTGAATCGTTGTCGATTGAACCAGTAAAACAATAATCAAAATAAACAAAATTTATAATTAATCAAAATCGTATTTTATTTTAGCTTACCTGGATAACCATTACGTAGTAGACCGGTTTTCGTTTTAGGCGCACTTCATACAGTATTAGTGAGTAATTCCCGTCACCGGATATATCCTGAAAAGTATTCGTGTATAGAGCTCAATGAACCGTCTTTTCTAGGTTAGGTAAATTAAGTCGTAAATACTGCGCAACTAAATAAATGTAAGTCTCAATAAATCGTAAAATTTGACTCACTTCCACAATCTGCGACACGTCAATCGACAGCAGTTGCCATTCGGAATTCCCGGTATACTCGATGGAAGGCAGCTTTAAGAATTTTTTTTTCTGTCTTAAGCTACAAAATACCTGTCCAATATTCGATTGCGGCGTCGGCACAATTTTCTGCTCGTTTGGGACAACGGTGATCTGCTCTTCTGTGAAAATCCAAGACCCGAGCGTTATGTTGCAGTGCTGAAAACTGAGGGTTCTTTAGTATACCCTCGCCTACTGCACCTAAAATTTACTGACCTGCTCGTCGTAAGGAAAATCCTGAAGTCGCAACGTGCAAGGGACAGTAATCTAAAATCCGAACACTTCGCTAAAACTTGGCCAAACTACCGTAGCCGGGACCGACACCCTCACCCAGCCGTCGTATCGGATCATGACAAGACTATCTTTAGGAGTAAGGATTGGCTCGCTGTCGATTCTTAAATGGAATTCATACGAAAACTGAAGCATTTCTGTCACGTGCTGTAGTAGATGACGTCCGGAATCCATAGCTGGTCTTCTGGGACCATCACGTATTCTGAATCATAGTCTGGGAAGAGACGACGGTCCCAGCCGAGGGTCGGATCAAACCACATCTAGGAAAGTATTAGGCTTATGCATCGTCTGAGGTTTTAGGTCAGGCTTAGGCTTCGCTCAGGCTTGGCGCAGATAGCTTTTAATGCCGTGACTTACCATCAAAAACTCATTCTGGTACTGGATCGTTTCTTCCACTTCATCCTGTCGAAAAATATCAAACTACCAAGGATATCGCTTACCATATCCAGCAACCGAAATGAATTCAAAGTTATGTTGATCAGCAACAACTCGTCGCCCTCCATCGGCGGTACATCCTTGTCATAAAACGATCCATTGATCATGTAATCGACGATTTGCTGCTCGATCGGCGTTGCAGAAACAAAAAGACAGTCTGGAAGCTCGATAATTTTTTGTTAAATTTTCAAGGCTGTGATAATTTGTAGACGCTCAAATCTACCTTGTTTCCATAAAAATAGCGACAATAAAAATAAGCGCAACTTTCGACATTTCATCGATAAAATTTCGAGCCCAAAATGGCCCTTCTGGTTTGGCCCCTTGTGTTTGTACTTCTCCAGACAAGATGATAGCATCGAAACACATTTCCGCGCCATCCACCCCTTTTTTGCAACTCTCCCTCATTTTGACGTTGTCTTGTCGACACAGCGAGCCCACGCGACAATTTGGAATTTTTGATTAGCTCTAAGGTAATTGGATGCCTGGGAGGGCTTGCGGAGTTTGGCGCTAAACTCTGGCTCACTTTGTGTGGTGAATCATTTTTCTAGGCCTGACTTGTTTAGGTTTAGGCATAGGCTTAAGCTTAGGCTTACTATTAGCCAAGACTGGCGGGGCGTTCCGTGCCAGGGTACCCGATTATAATGCCGTGGGTAAATAAGTGGGTCAGCTTTCTGGCCGCGCGAATGCAATTTACACCTTGCAAATCAGATACGGATTGTTTAAGTCGGAAAGTCAGTACCTAACCAGAAAATGAAACTATCCTACCGTAGCCCCTTGGCACACCATCCTTATTTCACCGAAATACTCGCCGTCATTGTTATAGCTACGGCGAAATTTGGTAATATTTGGTGCTGCGGGCTTCGATAATTGATTTTTGTGAATTCCCGCGTTCCAGGAATTTATTTGGGATTATTCTGGGCAGCAAATACGGTTACAAGGGTGCTTCCGTCGAATCCGTGGGGTGACGTGCACATCACGTACACAACGCCCGAGGACGAAATGGCCCTTGAAATCTCCATGGCGCACCCATTGTTGGTTGTAGGTTTTAGCGGGCAGAAATGGTTGTAAATTTGCCCACGATTTTGAAAGGTTTTGAGAGACATCGAAGTCTTGGCAGGATCTTTGATGGGGATTTTTCAGTGTAAAATCATCGCTTGGTTTGCCAACATTTGGGCAGCGGTCATCATCTTCCGGATACCGGGATTGGTGTTACCCGTTCGGTAGGTAATTGATTATCATTATTTTTTCGATAACACCTGGGCCGGGGCACGAGTCAAAAAAAGCGGCTTTCCGGACTAGAGAAACTCCAAAAAAAATTGTTTTCTAGGCTACTATGGCTGAACGAATTCGCGGCCTCGATGGTACGGGCAGGAGTGGACCTGGCGATAACTGTCCCGGTCTACATTGGACTGTTTTAGTAAGTCCAACACAGGGTGAGAGAGTGAGAGAGATAGAGAAGAGAGAGAGAGAGAGAGAGATTTTCCAGTGCCGATTATCATCTATCCAACCTTTAGCCCTCCCTTTCAAGAATGGGCAGACAGTAGCGAGGGGTTTTTTACATTTGCGGTCAATATCGTGATAATCGCCCGCTACGTGGCGTATCTGGAATTTGTGATCTACTTTCAGCACGACTGGATGATTTTTTTGGCAAGCATTTTAATTTTTAATTTGAAGAAGTGACGGTCAGAAGGCAGAGTCCTTTCCTATTTCAACCGCAACGTTCAGGCCCCCATAAATAACAATACTTTCTAACTACGCGTCGTAAACGTGCGCTTTAAAACGCCAAAAAAAAGCTTTTGGAGAATTTCAGCCGATTCCTGGCTCTCTCGTTGGACGGCATCTACTTCAATTACACCCTCAAATGGCCGTGGGCACAATTTATAATACCCTTCATCGTCGTCTACGGCATGAAGCTATCATCCCCTTATGTCGACCAAGGGATCCCGATATTTATCGAGATGATTTTGATGCGTTACGTCGCCCTCAACTTTGTGGCGGCATTTGAGATTTTGGTCGTCTACAAATTCCATAAGGTTTCCAGAACCTCGTCTCGCCAACAATTTTTAGCGCAAAAGCTCAAACAACGGCAAGAGTGAGGCGGTGTTGATCTTTACGGTAAGGCAAAGTACCGTAATACCTATCTATCGTTTCCAAGCTCTTCCTCACGACGTTTGACCACCTGTTTACTAACGAGCTATCAATGTTATATATGTTTTGCACGCGACAATTGCTCGGTGCTTCAATGATGAACGCCTCGCTGCAGGTCATCCTTGTGTTCTTGCAGCAACTGAAACATTTTGGATCTGCGTGGGGCTCTGAAGCGTTAGATTTGTAGTTTATCCTAGACTCGTCATCGTCTTCCTCATGCGGTCGAAACGAGAAGAAAAATCAACGATGAACAATAGCAAAAAGACTCGGCTAACTACAGTCGCAGTATCCCAGGCGCGGCCGGTCAAAAGCGGTCTAACCGCGGTGAGCTAACCATTTGGATAAATAACAGCTATGCAATAACGAGAGCACAGCACAAGCATCTCTTGAGCAGCAATAACAAAAAGAGAGCGTCTTTCCAAATTTCTTGAAGATGATTTTTAGGAAACAGTTTTTGAGAGATACGTGTGAAAATGCATTGGAAAAAGCGAAATATGACGCATATACCAACCGTCAACTTTGTAACGCATTTTTCTTAAAAAACGCGCGGACCCGAAGTGCCGTCATTTTCCGTGATATTTGGCCTTATGGATGGGCGGAAGCGGGCCTTTTTTTGAAAGAAGAAAAGTTACTGCCACTAAAAGTCACAAGAACGCGCTGACAGCCGTGAATGAACGATAAAAACCAAATTTCCTCGATGTTCATCCTGATAATCCAATGTAAAAAGATGATAAGATATCGTAATTTGAAATATTGTCTAAAAAATTTTATTGAGTTTAAAGCTCCGATTATGCATCTAAAAATGTAACAAAAAAAGTCGCCTGTAGATGTTTGCACCATTGGGCGACTCCGTGACCTTTAAAACTCACATCACGCGTACCCCAGAAAATCCTGAAAATACAGGAAAGATTGCGCGCTAAATGATTTTGAGTCGCCCTTCCGGGCTGTGCGCAACCTTTACGCCCGCTCAAACCCAATTCCAGCGTGAAAATAAATAAAGATTGTTCAAGTGGACAATTCAGTATCCAACTGAAAAATGAAGCTGCCCTGCCGTAGCCCCCTGGCCCAGTATCCGTATTTAAGTGAGATTCTCGCCGTTATTGTGTTAGCGGCGGCAAAATTCGGTAATATTTAAGATTCTCTAATGACTTATACGAATCAATTAGCGTGCATTATATCATTCTAGGAATCTATTTCGGGTTGTACTGGATCGCGAATGCCGTTACTTCTATGACGCCGGGAAACCCGTGGAAAGGCCTACCAGTTGTCGACCCGACTGTCGATGATGAAATGCTCGCTCAGCTACTTTGGCTGCAGTACCCGACGTTGGCAGTGGGCTTTAGGCGTCAGATTATTACGGATTTTGCACCATGAAGGGGGCTCTAAAGGTCGGCGCCTTCATCCATGACGTGTTGAGGCGTCGCGCGCGGAGCTTCGCGGCAGATAGAGAAAGGGCGTCCCCTAGGAGAGACGCTGACAGAATTTTGCATCTCTGCGAGGCATAATGGGCAGTGCTGTCAGAGCCCCTTTAAACGGTGATTGGCTTGTTTTCAGCTCGACATAATTGGATTGTTTGCGAACATCTGGGCGGCGCTGATCATCATTCGGATACAGGGATTGGTGCTGCCTGTTCGGTATGTCGTTCTCATTCTCTGTATCGTTTGGATAGTTATAACCTTGTCGACATTCATTTGGCCGATTTTTCGGCGTTCATGACTTTCCTTACTTTTCCTGGCCATCTTTGAGTCGTGAAAAAAGAGTTTGCTATATAAAACCCCTGGTAACAAAATGTTTCACTAGGCTTCTATGGCTGAACGAATTCTTGGCAGCCGTTGCGGAAATATCTGTAAAACTCATTGTCACTCTACCGGTCTACTTGGCGCCGCTTTGGTTGGTCCTAAATCTTTATTACTCTCTAATAGCAAAATCGTCTCAGTCTTATAATGAATTAGCTCGTATGCAACCCGAAAAACCGAAGGATTTCACAAAATGGCTTGTAAAATGGCAGAATTACATAAAAACCTGGTTTGGAAAATTGTTGCAAACTCGCCGTTTCAAGGGATTTCTAATGGTATTACTACCATTTCGATCGGATACTCTACGTTGAGTTAGAGGGTTTTTTTATTGGGAAACCCGTCGACAGCGGGTCTCACAGACAGCGGGAAAGGCCTCTGAAAAACTATTTGCCTCTGCTACTCTGCTTCGCAATCCTTTTGATTACCCAACCAGTTCTTTAGCCCACCCTGCGATGAATGGCTATGGAACATCGACGGAATTTGGAACATCTATATGGACGTGATGAATTACACCTACTACGTGTCGTACCTCCAGTATGTCATATATTTCCAGCACGACTGGATGATCTTTTGGTAAGTACCAATCAATAGTATCAATTCGTGTATAATGGGTCAAAGCAGTGCACAATTTAATTGTAGCAGATTCCTCGCGCTTTCCTTTGACGGCATATACTTCAACTATACCCTGAAATGGCCGTGGGTGCAAATGCTAGCCCCCTATGTTGTGGTCTACGGAATGAGAATTGTGTCTCCTTATCTCGATCCGACGATTCCGGCAACTGTCGAGTTGATATTTTCTGGCTTCGTAGTTTTGAACTTTGTTGCGGCCTTCGAAGTACTCGTCGTCTACAAATTTAACAAGGTTTGGAACAACATACGTCACGCCCATTTTCATTTAATCATTCCACTATAGATGCTAATATAAATTCGTCGCTCTCTCGTTTTATTAGACGTAAAAAAATCGTAAAAATGATTCCCTTTCGTAGAAATCGTAGAAACGCTTATTGACGGTTGCCGGCCATTGATGCGAGAATCAAATTTTTGAAAACGTTTTATCTCATCTCTATCTTTATCTTCATTACGTTATTTCGAGGGCTATCAGTTGCTTTTAGCGCAAGAGCTTAACCAACAGCAAGAGCGAGAAGGTGCTGATTTTTACGGTA